CAACTAGTCAAGAGCTGTGAGGTAACATACTGCAGTGACCTCTGTTGTGCATGTAGTGGGGTGAGGGGGATGAGAGGGATGAGGGGGGTGGAGATGTGAAGGAGGCAGAGATGACACTCCACTCATTAAAGCCTTTCTTATTTACAAAGCACCACGTGTGCTAGGCTAGTAGCTTCCACTGGAGACCCTACATAGTTGGATGGAATGTTCTGTCAGGAAAGTCAGTGCTGTGCATTTGCTGCACAGTTGCAACAGAATGGTGATTTACAAGTTCTATACAAAAGAGCTTGAATGTTGCTTTTATTATAACACATTGAGCTCTGAAGTCACAAGGTACCTGATGTAGATATAGTCAACTCATTAGGAGCTTTATCTAGAGGATCATGATGCTGGGCAGTGGCAGAGACAGTGGACATAAAAAGTAGCAAACCACCACTGCTGTGCCAGGGCCATGCAGCAAAACAGGCCACAAGGTGGTTCTGCATTAAGTTTTTATACAATATTGCATATAGACCTGTCATGATAATTACTATATTGAATTGCTTCTCAATATATTATCAATGGAACTATAAATTTTGGGGGTCAATACTTATTGTGGGTACTTTTTCTTTGTACTAGTGGGAAGTGTTTTTTGTTGTTGTTTTTTTGAAATATGATAATATTTGAGCTGTAGAATGCTGAATTATGAACAAAAATTACATAAACTAATTACTTAAGTGTTGCCTTCTGCTATTTAGATCAAAAATATTTAACAATATTGTACATACTTTTTTGTGAATAATTCTGCTTTATGGTTTGGCAAATATCGCCAATATCACACTTAGTTACTGGGACAGGCCTAATTGCATACACCATACACTTCTTTGAGAGATCTATCTAATGTCTGATAATTAGTTGAAAATCAAAGCAATTGGCAGACCATTTAAAGTATGATTTACAGTAGTTTGTATGACCTATTTTGATTGATTATATATTATTTATACAGATTTTTCTATGAGGCCCAATAAAATGTGAACTGTATCACACATAAAACAGTGTCATTTTAATCCCACTCCTCTGAGTCCTTGAGGTCCCTCTTGAGTGTCTCGGCTCTGAAAGCATGTTACATTAAGTACTTTTCCCCGGTGCCATTGCACTAGTGAAGGTCAGACTGGCCAGCTCTCATTTGGAGCTGCACAGCATGACAGAGAGGTAAGCTGGTGCTTTTGTGATATTACACACAGATGAAGAGGGAAGCTGCTCACAGCTGTGACGGGCTATTAATTATGCGTCATGATTGTGTGTGCGCATGTGTCAGGAGGCTTTAGTTGGGTAACAGTGTCACAGAGATCAGCTGGGCACAGAAAGTCTAAAACTTCACATTGTACCAGTATATTGGTATAACTGTAATATTCTTCCTCGGTGTAATAGATGTTTGGATTCTTCTGCTGTTGTAATAGTGGAGAAGGAGCTGCTGACCTTTAGTGTTATGGGATTTTCTTTATTACATCTCATTATTCTGCTTTTGTCCGGGACTAAGAGCGCATCATTGAGTTTGGAGTCCGAAGCAGAGAACAGTGTCTTTGCTTCATGATCAGCCTCCTACATTAGTTTGTCACCTCCACTCTTTCCTCTTCCATTTTGTAAAGAGGCTACAGTGTGAATGAGATGTTGGGTGCATGGTAAGTGAGTAGTTATTGATTAGACTGCAGCGTGGCAAACAGGAGGCCAATGAGAGCCCAAGGATCCAAACAGCAGCACAGCCTGCATTCCACATTCTGCAGGAAAAGAGAGAAAATGAAAGAAAGCTGTTTAGATAAGAGGAGAGCATCATGGCGTCATATGTGTCCCTTTCTGACTGATGCACAGGACGCTGCTTGTGTGCATCATGTGACTGTCACATTTCACTGCCGTGTCACCATTGGATACGGAGCTGCCATGGCAAGGCACCTGACGTGAGAAACACTGATGTGTAAATGTAGCTCAGGAATAAGGAGTCGCCAATGTACAGAATCTTTAGTGAAAGTTGAGGTTTTACCACATGTGACTGATAAGAACGATTAAGTCGTTTACTTTTATTTTCCTAAAGAACATTAGCATTGAGATTTCAGGAGTGGGCCGTTTTAAATAGGGAAATGTTTTGGTCAGTGCACTTCTGTGATTTCGTTAACTTAACTTGTCATAATTCAATAATTCAACAAGAGAAAAGCCTAAATGTAGTAAAGCACAGGTTGCTTGCCAGAAGCATACATCAAACATCACAGTAAGGGTTATGCAGTACTTATTTGAAGCTTTTCCATTATGTAAAGCCAAGCATCTGTGTGATGTGCTAAAGTGGCACATAGAACAACCAGCTAATCTAAGCATGTACAACATCACAGCAGCAAGAACTGCAGTAGAAGCCTAGGAGGTGAAGGAATGGGTTAGTTAGTGAGCCTGCTGGCCACTACAATGTTTCTATTGTTGCCATGGGAGAACATTGATTATTTAACAATTTGGACAAGGCCTGTGCCCTGTATTTGCCAAGGTCCAGTTGTAGCTTCACTGCCCCAAGGGTCTTCAGCCAAGTGTTGCAGGGTGCAATGGCAGTGGGACCCTGTGAGATAAGAAACAGTACATATTATCATAAAGACAAAGCATTAGAATAAGAACAGATGGGGAGTGAGATGATTGAGAGAAGAGACTTTTCATCACTCCTCATGGTCATTAGCACATATAATGTTCATTTGGCTGAGCACTGAGCAGTCAGACTCACTGTCATAGAGTGTAAAATGGCATTGTGTCAACTTGTATTATGATGTATTGGTTTGTATATAGGTTTAGACTTTGTGTTGTGTTTTAACTTGCACATACTGTATACATAGGCAACAAAATACACACGAAAATCCTGGATGAAGGCAGAACATGTAAATGTTTCCACTCTCAGTTCATTTTTTAAATGAGTCGTGTAGCCTATATTATTGTATATTATTGACTTGTGTTGCCTTACTAGGGCCATGTGCATGTGGTAAGATTGGTTTACTCCATAGCTGCGTCTTCAGCCCATAGAAGAATTTATCAGTCTATAGCAGGGGTCTTGAACCTTTTTCTTCCCGTGAGCTACTTTTACAGAAAGAAAATGCCTGAGAGTTACTAGTTTTAGCAGCCACAAGAAATTTAGTATATATAAAAGCCAGGGCGAGCCTTAGAGGAAGTACAGTTAAATGCCTATAAAACATAAACCATTATCCTCTTATTAGTGTACAAAGTTAGGCGTCAAAATGATACATGTGCAGTGGTAATAAACATTTAATTAATCAAATTTTACTTATTCAGCACAACACGCGTAATTCAGAAATCCCTTGGCGAGCTACTTGGAAGAAGGTGGAGAGCTACTGGTACCTCCCGAGCTACTGGCTGGAGACCCCTGGTTTATGGACAGATGCAAAGTGGCTTTCAAATACATTTTAGTTTCCAATAATGTAAGGCCGTAGTTATTTGTAGTCATTTTTGTGCATACTCTGGAGGATATATTTACCTCACCTCTTGAATTTCCCGTAGTCCACTAACACTCACACTGACAGTATCTTAACAACTTCTTGTTGTTTCTATCTTGTCATTTGATACCTGCTTCTATCAAAATCCACCTTTGGGACAACTGAATATCATAATGGGTCAAATTGGGAAACCAATAAAGGGAACTTAATCCAGACTAATCCAAGTTACCTGAGTCAGTTGCTAAACTCATGTTGAGATTACCAGAGCCTGTGAGATTATCATCCATTTTTGCTTGCTTGTTATGTGAGATTCTGATAGAGGGATTACAGACAAATCCCTTACTGGGATAATAATGCTGTTTTCTCTATATCATGGGTTTTTACTTGTAGATTGGCTGATCCTATGAAGACATTAAGATTACAATGATGAGCAGACATTAGACTGTGACATGTGTATTTTGGTTATTTCAAGAGGTATTTATGGCCAAACATTTCTCTGAAAGGTTTTCATTATGAATAACCATACAAAGATATTTTATCATCTGTTGTTGCGTTACCATTACAAATGTTTTCAATAAGAATTTTGGGCAAAGGCTGGAGGAATATATATACCAAAATGGTCCAACTCAAACTGGACCTCTGTCAGTAGATGTAATTACACAGAAAGGCTGATTGTGCTGACTATCAGGGTGTAACAGCATCTGCCTCCAGTCATAACACATCAGTACAGGGTGAAGCAAGTCAGCTATAAGAATACAGCATCTCTCAGCGTTACAAATGACTGTTTCCTCAACACGACAAAAAATAATCATCTTTAAGTAGTTCTGCCACATTTCCCCTGCTGTGAAAGAAAATGTGTATTGGCTCCTTGGACACAGATTGTATCCGTCTACATTGATGCAGGGGTGAGAAGGTGAGGATATGAGCATCAGTTAGTGATTTTTTTCTCCATTGTTGGACATAAGGAAATGTTAGGGCCCTGAGCAGCACTGTCAGCATCCCCTCACCCAAGCTGTTCAATCAAATCAATAATAAGTAGATTATCAGTGCACATGACGAGACCAAAGCCATCAAAAACATACCCTATGGGCTTTATTCTATCAAACTATTGTTTGTGTAGAGTAGTACTCAAAACACATAATAAAATAAAGATGTGTTTTACACTATAATTGCCAGTGCATAATGCATCCCCCTTTTTTATTTCCCCTGGAGAGTTATGTACATTAGAAAATTATGTTCAGAACAACTGTATGTTTATAGGTCTACCTTTTTGTATTTATGATTATAGGCTATGGTTAGCTTACACATAGTGATGGCTGTATTGCAGTGAAAGGGAAGCAGAGAAATGCTCTGAAACACATGTTGTTTGTTTTATGAGGTGACCACAGGACGCCTCTTAATAAACTGTGGTCTCTGCGCCCCAGTCCTCATTCGCGCCTGTCACACCTTCATTCCGCCTCAGCCTTGTTCCCATGGCATCCCCAGCGATAGGATGTGTGCTGCTAGCCTCACACTCACATAATATGTATCTCTTCATATTCACAGGCTAACCCTCCCCCCATCATCGTCAACGCAGACTCACTAGATGCAGGCCCTTATGTAAGTATCTGTTCTCGCTGTCTCTGTACAGTATACGTCTCTCCCGCTCACAGTCCCTCAGCGGCCTTGCATTCGTGTGTGCTCTACATGTTTGTGTGTAACATGCTGTGTGACACACAACTTCTTATGCATTTACAAAACTATGGCCCAGCTTTTTATAAAGACATGCTGTTTTTGTGTGGGGGAAATTGGGTCAACACTGTTAAATGATGCAACATATTTGGCGGTTTTGTGTGCAAAATTTTTTTTATTGTTTCAAAATTCTGTTTTAATGAAAGCTATTTTTTTCTTTTTTTCTTTCTTTTTACAGGTGAATGGGAGTGATGGGATGTATAAATATGAAGAAATTATTCTTGAAAGGGTGAGTACTACCTTCTGTATTTTCATTACTTTGTATTTTCTTAATTTTTGCCATGGGATTTAGTTTTCTCTCCACTAGGGGGTAGTAAGTATGTGTTTTCTTTAGGCAAACAGAAGTCTCCAAATCATATATGAAGTTAAAGTGCAGCTGTTGTATGTAGTTTTGTGTGTGCTGTGTCTCACGGGAATGACCAGAATAACAGTTCTATCGTCCTCATGCTCATGTCAGCAGACACCAAATGCAAAGTGCTCTTCTTTACAATAGTTCAGCAGGCAGCTCTGCTCTTGTCAGCTGTGGTTCAGCAAAGCTATACTGTGCACACTCATTATTCCTCCCACACAAAATTCCCTACAAATCTGTATTAGATGTGCAGCCTAATTATGTCCTTGCTTGTAAGTGGCATGTAGTGAAATAAACTATGCTAAAGTCACACAAACAAAAGGTCTGCAGTACTCGGTGGTAGGTACTTCCCAGCCACTCACTGGGAGCCCTCAGTCTCTCTGTGCCTTAATTTGCTTGGACTGTTTCTCATTAATTATAGAAAATAATAAAGTGAAGTCTTTTCTCAGCTGTCTTGTTTGTGGCCTGTCTCTTTAGCCATGACAGTTGCCATGCATCCTGTGTGCATCAGATCTGGCTCCACATGATGTTGTATATTCAGGGACAGGATGGATGGGACCATATGCCTCCTCAGAATCTGTCATTTGTTTTACACCAGAAATTCTCTGTAGAAGAGTACATCTACTCACACATCTGGATAGAAATAAATGTGACATAATGGCACAGAGTGGTTTTACTATTGGATAATTCAGTAGGTTATGGGCGTTGGTTTCAATCATTTATGGAATAACCGAAGATCTGTAAAGCCTCAAGATATTTTTGTTTTTTGCCACTATTAAAGCAGACTTATTATGCAAAATGGACTTTCTAGAGCTTTTAAACATATTATAGTTATTCACCTGAAGTTGTATTTGGAGTGATTGTGCAAACTATAAATGCTTACTTTTAAGACATTTTGCCAATCAGATCCCATTTCCCCACCATCGGTACATGTCCACTGCTCTGTACTTACTTCTTCAGTTTTATTTTCGGAATCATTGATACTCATAGGATTGTCACTGTGGCATGTAATCAGTCAAAACCAGTTTTCTAACGCAGAAGTTAGCAAACTTGTTTCTTTTATTAAGTGGTTTTAGATCAATATTGCAATTTTAATATACTATAAATTACAAACACATTGATCTATGGCAAATAGCAAATACAAGCATAATAGATCTCCTTTAACATGTTTTGATATTTAACAAAATCTGTGAATGTTGTAAAATTCAATCTTGTAATTCAATTTAACATGTTTGCAGGGAAATTCTGGGTTGGGATTTAGCATTGCAGGAGGAATAGATAATCCCCACATTCCAGATGACCCGGGAATTTTTATTACAAAGATCATACCCGGAGGAGCTGCTGCTATGGATGGGAGACTCGGGTGAGCACTTTATTATTTATCTCTTCATTTGTTATATCCTCTGCAAGCCTGTTTGAGATTTTGATGATTGGATTTGAATAATATACTTTTCTTTACAGAGTGAATGACTGTGTGCTGCGTGTGAATGAGGTGGATGTCTCTGAGGTGGTGCATAGTCGGGCTGTGGAGGCACTGAAAGAGGCGGGCCCTGTAGTGAGACTGCTCGTGCGTCGAAGACAAGCTCCACCTGAGACTATCCTGGAAGTCAACCTGCTCAAAGGACCCAAAGGTTTTTATAAACCAAACCTAAGAAAATACTTAAGGTATTAATACTAAAAACTTGTATTTGTTCCTTTACATAAGGACTAGGATTTAGCATCGCTGGAGGAATCGGTAACCAACACATTCCTGGTGATAACAGCATCTATATTACAAAGATTATTGAAGGAGGAGCTGCCCAGAAGGATGGACGCTTGCAAACTGGAGACCGTCTGTTGGCTGTATGAATAATTATATTTATAAAATCATGTAACTATAATATATTATTATTGATGTTATAGTATTTGAAATTAGATTTGCTATCACCTTTACAATATTTCTAACTAAATCGTTGTGTCCATGTGTACAAAGGACACACTAATAATCAAAACTAGCTTCATATCAAACAGTAGATATGAAATGCCTGCCTACTGTGTCATTTGCATTTTAGTTGTGTTACTTTGCCTCTGATGATGATTCAAAATAGCTCCTTTCATTTCTTTTGTGTGGTTATGGCAGGTTATTACCATATACCAGAGGTGCAAAATCACACTTGACTGACATTTTCGGGTGTACTGCTGCATTAATCATTTAGAGAAACAGCAAAAACACTGACAAACCTCTACCCACTGACAGTGACATATTAATGTACAATATACAAAGCATTCTATTCGCTGTAGAAATCAAATAGCTTCACCTATGATTCATGGTTATGTCGGCTGGTGTGATGGTCAGTGTTTTGCAAAATCAAATTTTTCTTCCTCTTCTTGCTAATCAGGTGAACAACATTGTACTGCAAGACGTGCGTCATGAGGAGGCAGTGGCAGCACTCAAAAACACTTCTGATATGGTTTATCTCAAGGTGGCCAAGCCAGGACCTGTGCATCTTAATGACATGTATGCGCCTCCAGACTACTCAAGCAGTACGTATCTATATCTTCCTGTAACTTCCATTTTCCTTGTACCACTTGCATGTGAAACTTAACATTCAAGAATCTGATTTTGTTATATCCTTCAAAATTAGAAACATGGTGTGTTCTCTCCCAAAATGTAACACCCACATAGTGTATATGGGTGTGTGTCTGGGCACACATTCCTCTCAACAACTTTCTCATCCTCCTACTGAGAGCTCACACTTTCTCACATCCCACCTGCTTCAGGGAGCCATACAGTGAAGTTGCAGCATGTCAAACATCCACAGAAGTGCAACCATTACTGTTGCTAGTCATGATTTAGATTTTGTGCAGTTGTTGCATTTGTTTAGGTGAATTTATGTAGGGATACAAGGGATTCCAGGCCTACCATTTAGATAAGTTGTCAAGGTTTCATCAGAATTATTCAAATAACAAAAGATTTCTCTTTCACAGAGTATTTGTGAACCCTTTTCTGTTATTCAGAGTTGTAATCATTCTTTTTTTTTTTCCCTACTGGTCTGGCCCTCCCTCCAGCCTTCCCCACTATGGTAGACAACCACGTCAGTCACAACTACATGGGCGCTATGGAGCCCAAAGCCAGTCTACCCACCATCCCAGGTCACCCCATCCAGGTACTCACCGGTCCCTCGGCACATGATGGGAGAGGAAGACTTCACAAGGTAGGTGTTTGAGTTGCGTGATTATGATTGAAGGGTAAACAGTTGAATAATACATAACACAGTAATCTGTAATTTACAGGTTATACTTGAGTTCTACTGTAAGTGCTGATTTAGAGTTCTTGGGCTATTTGTTTTAGTCTCTGTTTAGGTTAAAATGTAAATGCATTTGGCATGTTGGTCACATTGACATGTTGGACATTTGACAGCGTGACAAAATTTTTTTGCAAAGTAAATGCGTTGTTTAGTTGAACTTGTTTTGCCTCTCAGAGTCTGGTAGTAGTAACTGATCGCTGTGTGCCGACCAAAAGCTTTGCAGAGTGTCCTCATGTCACTCCGTGTACTTGTTAGGACTTTGCTGTAACCTTTGATCTTCTAACTAAGTACTGGATCTGAAGTGGCATTCATAGAGACTTGACTGGAGTATCCCATGAGGCTTGAGTCATTTTAACCCACATCTCTAGGGAGGAGAATCTGTCCCCTGTTTATTTTGTGTGTGTGAGTGTGTGTGTGTGCGTGTGCGCATGCATGCTTTATGTACTCAGACGCTCTAATGTCCTTGTGCTAGCTGTCCTTGTCATGTATGTACATTATGTCAATTGTTTGTTAGTATATGTGCCTTCTTTCTGTCCCACACTGTCCAGTTTACTGTGATTCCTGTACCCACAGCAGTGCTGAGCCTATTTACAGTGTCATCCACAAACCTGGGGACAGCAAGGTGCCCCAGGCCCTCTACAGAAGCTTGTGTTCCTCCCCTGCTCCTTTGTGCCAAGGTCCTCTCCCCTTCTCTGGCAGGTACTAACCTAGACCCTCATATCGTGCTCAGCTAACCCTCCTATGATATTTTCCCATCTGCAGTCTTAGTCTCCCCCATTTGATTATCATATATTTGAATTTAAAGATGGACCTGTAAATTACAATGCTGTAGAAAAAAACAACAGAGATGAGGGAAGGAGGGCTGGCAAGGTGCTGTTTGTTTTTATTTTTTGGCATAGTTTTTGTTCCCTGATATGTGTCTGCATGTTCATGTTTGCCTGTTTTGTAGCATATGTCCTGCCTTTGTGTGCTTATAGCTGGTTGCTGCTTTTTTTTTTACACCAATAATATGTTTTAATTATGTGGCTCTGAAAACAAAAAAGATATTGACAGTTAACTTAATATTAAAGAACAAAACATTGTATTTACATGTCACATAGAATATCATTACATTTCTGCTACAATTCATTTGTAATGTTAAGTTGAGTGGTAACAAGATTTTGATGGTTTCAATTACTTTACACATATCTCTTATGTCTTCATGGGGGCAGAAATTAATTCTTACCTGCTCTTTGTAGCACATTGGCAGCACAGCTCAACAGGGGAGCAGCCCAAACCGCTCCATACTCTCACAAGCTGCTCCCTCCCATCTGTCAAGAGGCACTGAGAATGTTCATGGTTACAATGAGAAAATGTTACCAGCAGTGATTATTAAAGGGCCCAATATATGTTGTCTATTCTTTTGTACCCAATTTAATTTAGTACACTGACCTTTTTCATCAAATCCACTGTGTCTCCCATGCATTATCCCAGACATGTTTATGTGCTTAAACAGCTGCTTTTATGTGACTCCCTGTGTTGTCCCAGCATGTGTGTTGTCAGTGTGGATGAGGGTGAAGCATAATTTCTGAATGTATAGCGCTTGTGTGGAAACAGATCTGTCTGTTACATAAATATACTATAGCACTGATTACAAGAAAATTCAAGCAAACTACAGAAAGAGAGAGTCATCTGTACACTGGGGAAATTACAGAATGCACTTATGTCTGTACCCCTCTTGCTGTAACATTAACATACTGAACCAGACTGGGTACATTTACATGGCCAGTCAAAATCAGAAACTAATAATTTGTTTACATGCACAAAATAAATCTGATCATCAAAAATGCCTGGTGACATGTGTCTGTTAATCAATATATATTTTAAATATATGTTGCATTTGGAAGTAGTAGCACAACGTTAACAGTGTTTTCATTTTTTGTCTTACCACATTGATTTACCAACCTGCTCAGGTGTGAACAATCCAAAAAATCTGATTACATCAGATGTAACTCTACATGATGTTTCAATAATCTGATCAGCATGACTCTTTGAACCATTGGCTATTAAAATATTACTGATTTCATCTGTTTTGTGTCTAACATCGCAACAGAGGGCCATTGTCTCAGGGACACTGTGGCTGACAACTCGCCTGATCCCGGTAACAACATTTGAGCCTCCAGCTCTCCCATCTGATAGGCAGATAGCCTCATTGGCTCCTTGAGGGGTCATCTCCATTGGACGCCATTAGTAATAAGAGACCTCCACAGGAGCTGCCTTGTTGTGAGGAATGAGTCAGAGCATCAGCCTATGTACACACCCCTTGGTGGGGCCACAAAAAACTAAAAACACACACCCCCTCTTCATGATAGCAGATTTAATGTCCCTTTTCTGTTTGGGTTGTGATTGATGTGGAGTCACATGTGTCCTGGCTTGAATCCAGTTTAGTCCTCATGTAGATTTGGTCCTGATTTGGTCCTAGTCCTGCTTTTAGTCATGCCAGGTTTAGTTCCCAGGTTTAATTCGTATAAATTAGGGTGTAAAAGTGAATAGTCCTAAAGATAAGGGCTTTCATTGCTCTGTGGAGTAATCTATTATAATGGGTTTTCATTGCCCTATTGAATAATGTATTATATTTATTATGATTTATAAAAATAACAGTAACATTTAATTTCCTCCCTTGTGTCTAATCATAAAATGTAGGACTAGAGAGGAACTAGTAGGAATATTATATCCAGTCCACCATTATTCAGTCAAGCAGAGCTAAATACTAAACTAAATCTGAACCCCACCTTTTCATCCATTTACAACACAGCAGCAGGCAAGAGTAGTCACAGGAGACCTGGTAACCTCTATAAAACTTTACCAAGGGCATTAAATAAATGTTCATATTAAACACACTTGATAACATTCTTTGGCGTGGCTTGGATGAAAAGAACAGCAAAGAGGAGGGTCTCATGTTCACTCATGCTTAGGTTGTGTTATGATTCATTGACTGCAGCCTTCTGACCAACTATATATGTACTTGAACAAAAGTGCTGCACCTGCGAATGGCTGAAAACGCTTGGCTCCAAACTAGTTTAGTCAGTGTTATCAGGAGAGGGACACAACGGAGGATGCAATAATCTAGAGGAGTTTAAATAAATAAATAAAGCTTAATATATACTTACATACATACATACATGCATTCATATTATATATTACAAATTTGCAGCATAGAAATCTTTTTTCTAGAAAGTCAAGCTGACAGAGCAGATCGTGTTGTGCACTACTGGAAAGGGAAAGAGACTTGGATAAACTTGAGTTAGCATTCTGGTCATTCCAGCTGTGCGTCAGAGTAGGACGGCTCTGCCTTCATTGTATAACGTGGACCTAGATAATTTCATGGACATGTTAGGGTTAAGTATCAAGCTTGTGATGGGGAGAGAGGGGTTTTGACAGCTAAGGAGCTGCTTCCCATCACAGCACACAAAGATGTGATAGGCCTTGAACACAAGAGCTTCTAAATGTGGAGCAGCTCTAGGTGTAAGGCCAGGGAACAAGAGGAGCAGAGCGTACATGTACTTTGGACAATGTGCCGCTGACACCATGTTCACGGTCAATATCTCATCATCCATGCCGATGGTGTGGACCCAGCCTGAGCGCGCAGTTAGAAAATGCTCTTTTGGAAGAAAATATGGGATCCATATGCAAAGGTAACTCATTATCTGCACTCGATCAAAAGGTTTGACTCGCCTGTTTTAACTTTATATTTCTTTAGCATGTTACATTTCATTTGATTTGCAATAGAATAATGAATATTGTGTAATGAACTTGTTTTAGTGTGACTTGTGTGGTTTCTAAACTGAGGCCATGTGTGTGCTGTCTGTATGGATCATATGGCTAAACATGATCATACAAACTTCTGGGCACATCATGAAATACTGTATGACTATCCATGGCATTGGCTCTTCATCTCCATAACTGAGCGTTCACATTTTCCAGGCAGTCCTTGGTATGAGACTAGGAGTGGAATGTTGCCTATGATAGTTTTAACAGCAAGTAAAAGAGTAGCCATTAGCGAGTTTGAATTGCTCCTATGAACCACAGGCTTTCAAGTAGACCACTAATCTGAACCATGCAGTTTGTTCGCTTAGAGGAAAGAGTATGTTTTTGTACATCTAGGTCAGGAATGTACATATGCTGTGTGCATTATTGCAAAATTATGATGGACATCTTACGGTGTGTTGTCAGAGCACTTTTGCTAAACCAGTAGTGATTTAGATTGTGTATCTTAAAACTGTGGCTGCCTAATCTGCTAGCTGGAGGATGAGTCATAGTCGCCAAAGCAGAGCTCCATGGCTTTGTTGAGAACTGTGTCTGTGAGTGTTAATAAGAGGGGGTGTTTAAGTATGTGTATATTTCCATGAGATGACAAACATAATGTACTTTAGCAAATAACTGGGACTGTGATTCAATGTGCTTTCTTTATTGTGTTATTAAATATAAAGAAAAAGTATTTTTGCCTTGGGTTATATATTGCATGTAGATCTTTTCTATATTCTTTCAGCGATTCCTACAGATCTCTCCCAGGACTAATAGTATAATAATATTTTTTTTTTTTTTGTGGTGGGGGCTCCATAGTCCCCCATTTACACTATTACATAAAAAAAATCTGAGATGTAAATCCTTGCATCTTCAGATTGCATTACGCAAAGACTCTAGCAGTTTTGATATGTTCTATAACATACTAACTTTATTTAGTACTTTATTTTATACATTTGCTTACATGTATCCATTGTTTTTCCTCTCCTGTCCCTCTAATCAACAGGGAGCCGAGGAAGGTGCTGCTCCACAAAGGCTCCACAGGCCTAGGCTTCAACATCGTTGGAGGGGAGGACGGCGAAGGCATCTTCGTCTCCTTTATCCTGGCAGGAGGACCTGCTGACCTGAGTGGAGAGCTGAGGAGGGGCGACAGAATTCTTTCTGTTAGTACCCCAAAGTGCAAATTTGAACACAACAATAGAGCCCTCCTTTGTATCAGACATATAAACTTCTACTCTAACTCTAAACTTGGGGTGTTGCAGGTGAATGGCGTCAACCTAAGGAATGCCACCCATGAACAGGCAGCTGCTGCACTAAAGAGGGCTGGACAGACGGTCACCATAATTGCTCAGTACAGACCAGAAGGTGAGTTTGTTTAATAATATGTTGTGCAAACTGAATGCTTATGGATTACTAGCAGCTCCATATTTTAAGGTTATTGAAGATTTTGATGCATAAAATATTTATTGCTTATGTACAAAATACTTCACCAATATTAAAAAGGGAATTGAAAGGCTCTGATAATAATTTTAAAAAGATCTGTATTATGACATGTACTGTATAGATGGGATTTTGTTATTTTTTGGCTGCATAAAATAGGTTGCTAGATTCTTTCATTTGAATCGTTTCGTAGTGGTATGCAATGTTTCCATGTCATCAAAAAAAAAAAAAACTCCTTTTGGGAAGCTAAATATAACTGTTAGGAGTTACTGGAGTTTAGTCACTGTATATGGTGGACTGTGCGAGTGTTGTTTATTATAGAGCCATGCCGTTGTCCAGTAAATGAGTCTAGTCCATGGTCCAGTCCCGCTGATAGGTCCATAGCAGCCCTGTTCTGCAGTATTCACATTCAGGGGCGGCCCTTGTGTTAGCAGCAGCTGAATAGACTGAACAGTGCGAGGCGGGCAAACGAAACGCGGCGGTCCTTCCCTGTTCAGACCGCTCTGCCGCCTCTGGGGTGTATGGTGGACCCGAAGCACCATGTTCACCGGACACTAAAGGATCGCGCTGGTCCATCGCGGCAGTCCCGGACACTTTTAATGAGAGAAACGTGGTTTAAAACGTGGTTTAAACTTTTATCTGCCTCCCAGTCTGTGTGTGGATGGGGGATGGGCTCCGTACAACAGCAAAGAAGCCGCATGAACTCCCTTATGGCTGGATAAAGAAACTAGCAACCGCAACAGGCAAATAAAAGCCACACAGAGCTAATATAAGGTGAGACTTTATGGAAACGCACGAACCAGTGTCATAGAGTGTTGATCTGCGGCGCAGGTATACGGTCGCGACTACTGTATCGGGATACTTTTCTTTTCGTGTTAACCTGGTTGTAACCTGTTGTGTACTGCTGGGATTGAAATATTCTTAAGGCCTATCTTGCTTTCTCTATGTTGTTGTACGATCAAACAGTAGCTTAACATCTCTACTATTGTTTTACTGGACACGCAAATAGATGTGGCCATTCATTTGTTTCATTTAGTTGTGCTCAAGCTGTACTTTAGCTCTTCACTCCACACCTTTACGGTAAACAAGGCGTTAGCTTTTCATAGGTTCCCTAGCCAGGTTGTTGGTCCGTCTCCTAGCTGTTGTTAATAAAAGGGCATTAAAGTAGCTAAAACAATCACTGTAGTGGATGTTTTGCAATGAAAAGCCAAGAGAAAGCACATTAAAGTGTGCCCCAACCGGTGTGTCACTTTTCCATGTGACATCTCTGATCAATGCTCCTTATTTAATTTTCTGGCTCAAAATGTGTGGGAGTAAGCAGGTTAGACCAGGGCCTGTAATATAAGCCTATCACAATTGGCTGTCCTAATGTGTTTCCGTATAGGCCTGAAAATATGAAGTTGGTGCTTCCATTGTTAATGGCATACATTATATTGTAGTTGTTGGTGGTTGCCTGAAACTTCTAATGGTAACTTGCCTGTAGGGTTGGTCTTTGGGCAATTAATTTTAATCGATATTGAGATTAAGTCATTTCTAATTGTCAGTGATCAGTTTTGGTGTTTTTAATCAAGATTGAGATTAAGTCAATTCTAATGTTCAATGATCATTTTTGATTTCAGTAAACTTTGGTGTATTTTTAATTGAGAGGTCTACAGCCAGTCCAATCAGTAGAAGCATGTGATTTAGTGAGGATTTATACTTTTGAGGAAGGCTTTTTGTTTTAAATGGCACTGAATTAAATTGTGTCTTGTTTGCACTCATAAAATCAAGTTAAAGCCTTTTTGTGTGATTTTTATTTTATTGATCAATACCCGGATTTTCTTTATCGCCCAGCCCAACTACTCTGTTTTGATAAGGAAAGATTGACCGACACAATACGGATTGGCAACACTGATACTAACGAAAAGTGATTAGTAAGTGCAAATCCATCTCGACAGTATGTTGTCTCACATGTGACTCCTAATGTAAGAATGATGTGCTTGATGGGGACATTAGTTTATTAAACCAAATCATGTATAAACACTCTTTGTGAAGCATTTATCTACTGGTGTACAATGTCTAACTACTCTGAACACAGAAACCCATGGCTTGGAAATTATTAACTTTATGCATCAGACAGTTGCCTGAGATCTGTTCAGTGGGCTACTGTAATGATCTGAAAGTATGAGACTGGAGAAACCCCAGTGTGTACTATGTGGACAAGCAGTGGGGCGGAGGAAGTGGCGAGTGAAAGCTGTTAGAAGCTGGGCACGCTGCCTGTAGTGTATTCTCAGGGGCCACGGCTCAGGCGTCCACAGACCTCTGATGGAAGGCCAGCAATGAGAACAACTACAGGCCGCAGTAGAGGGACTGCAGAGGGAAGCCCACTGTGTCTCTGTCTCTGAGTCTAATGCACATTTAGCTGGAAGGAATTCAAGTGAGGGATGCCCTGTATATCCACAATCCTGGCCCTTTATAAAGGATATAATTACACTTGCGCCTTAGCTTGTCGGAAATGGGAGGGGATCAGCAGAGGAAATGTTTAACCCCTGTAGCCACTGTCAAACAAACAGTGATCACTGTTTTGAGCGACTGAAGTGTATTTTTGTTTGTCTTTGTGTGTTCACGGCTTAAACTATTATTGACATTATAACTAATAATCACATTACAAATTCATGCATGCCTTGTTGCATAACTCAATGAAAAGCGAAGCTGTCCACCCCCAAAATAAAGGAAGCTGTTTGACTAATGAGGACACAGTAGGAGCAGTAGGTCCAGAATAGTCCCGGCTTCTATTACCCATCTTCTCTTCTTGTGTCATGCTGAAAATAAAAACAAGCCCCTGCATTTGTTTAAAGCTTAAATCATACTTTACTGAGGCTTATTCTATGTAGTTTTAAGAGAAATATGCACTTGTAAGGACCCATTGTAACCATTTAATAGTATATCCAAGTACATTTCTATAGATTGTGGTGACTATTTCCTGAGTTTCCTCAGGTCTGGTGCATTACAGGGATTTCAGGAATGTGAATGAGTGTAGTATTTAGCTCTAATTCCAAAGCTTGTCACACCACTCTGGGCGTCAGAGCTACAAGGTTGACTTTCAGGTTGTAAAGCTGGGCATTAGTTTGCTCTTTCTGTTTAGTTACTCTTTGTGTTGTCTCTTGGCCCCTCCCTCTCGGTGCCACTCTTGTTGCTGCCGCCTCCTGTGCCTCAGAGCCAAGTGGACTCGTCTGAATGGCTGTTTCAGCGCGCTGTCACTGCTCGAGGAGTGCTGTGATGTTGCTCTTGGTTACCGGCAGTCAGGCGGTGTCTTGTTACCTCACCTTGCAGTGTCACTCTGTCGTACAGCTAACTGGCTGAGTAGAAACCAGGGAGCAGTCTGTGCCTGCCCAGGGCCACTGATTGGTCAGTCCTAGTAGGTTTCAGTTGGACTAGAGTTGAATGACCTTATGTTTTCACACCTGCCCTGTGTCTTCCTTCTGAGAGCTTAAACTAAATTGACAGAATCATTTCAGAAGGCATGAGATTACTCATTGGTTTACACAGTACAGTAGTGGACTTTGATCGCTTGTTTGCTACGTTGTGGGAATGACTACCAGCTGTAGATGAGTAAGCTGCGGTAGGTATCTGATGTATGGCCAGGCATGATAGACTTTTTAATGGAGATGGCTTAATTCTTGATGAATTTTACTGGCTCATTATGATTGAACATGTGAAATGTTTGGCCATTAGGAATATGTGTATTTTATCACTTACTCATGAACAAAAAAACTACCTGAACATGTGTCAAACAAACAATAGGAATGACTCCTTTATATGTAGTTTCTATACCTAGCTTTGTGTCTGCACATGAGCCAACCTTCGTACTTGTTTTTCCAGCAGCATCCGTGTTTATCCAGCCGTGTGTCTGGCTGGTTCCAGTCGCCTGGCCACCAAACCCTCTGTGAGACAGGTTAATGAGACCATGCTAAATGAGTGACTTCAGGAGCATACATACTTCATCCTGCTGCTTCTGAGCACAAACTGGATTTACACTTGTATGACTGATGGTCATGCTGGTGAAATAGTTGGAGACCACTTTTTATGCACACTAAAGACCTTAAGTTAATTAATCAGTGCAGTTAATTTCCTGACACGAGACATTACTGGATATGTAAGGCGGATCTACGATAAACCATCTGTTCCTATGGTCATTAATCAGCTTAAAGATTTGCTCAACAACTCCCTGGTTAATGCTTATGTTTGAGGAATAGAGTTGAGTGAAATTCAGTGTTTTTAAGACATGGCAAATATAAATACAACTGTACCCTGTTTAAGCTGAGTATTCATGAAGCTGTTTTGCATGAGTAATGGACATATTTCCCCTTCTTTTTTTAGAGTATAGTCGCTTTGAGTCCAAAATCCACGACCTGAGGGAGCAGATGATGAACAGCAGCATGAGCTCAGGGTCAGGATCTCTGCGCACCAGTGAAAAACGCTCCCTCTACGTCAGGTAACTCATTTGGTTTATAGTATTGTTTAAAAATAACATAAATGAGCATGTTATTAAACATAATGGACATTTCCACTACATCAGGGGTCTCCAACCTGTAGCTCGGGAGCTACCAGTAGCTCTCCACCCCCTTCCAAGTAGCTCGCCAAGGGATTTCTGAATTTCCCGTATTGTGCTGAATAAGTAAAATTTGATTAATTAAATGCCTAATACCGCTGCACATGTGTCATTTTGATGCCTAACTTTGTACACTAATAAATGGATAATGGTTTATGTTTTATAGGCATTTAATTGTACTTCTTCTAAGGATCAGCCTGGCTCTTATATATACTAAATTTCTTGTGGCTGCTAAAACTAGTAGCTCTCGGGCATTTTCTTTCTGTAAAAGTAGCTCACGGGAAGAAAAAGGTTGGAGACCTCTGCACTACACTGTATAGCACAGGTCAAACCATCTCAGATTGGTTGGGCACAGGTTACTTTCATGCACGTTACCAGTACTGATCACTCCGAATCATCAGGTGTTAAATCATTTTGATCTGTGTAGACTGATATTCAGTTAAAACATCTCAAGAAATCTTGAGACATACTAATTGGTGTGAATTAAATCTCATGAAATATCATTGGATTTATCTCTATATTGCATTAAAGGGGTTCATTTATAATGTACCTTTTCTTTTTGTTTGTTCCCTCATCAAAAACATACCTAACTTGTATTGTATTTTGTTTAATAAAGTATAAAATATTTCAGTACTCTTGTGCAGTAAGTCCTCTCCTGCTGATCAGTCTGAATTACAACTTAATTCACAGATAATTATGTAACAGATCAGAAGCCAGGAAGTCTCCAGTGAAACCCATCACTGCACTTGTTGTGAACATTTTGTCACTTCAGTTGCATTCACTGGCTGTATTTATTATTTTTCATTCCCACTGATGACAGCAGATTGCACTCAATGCCTGAACAGCGACTTGAAAATAATGTTATGTTTTTTTCTGTGTTTTCCTACGTTAACATCAGAATATGAAATACAAATGCCAGGTTGCCCAAAACCATGCTTAAAAGTAAATTAAAACCACTACAATGCATGATGATATGTCCAATATGTAAAAATTTTGAAAATGGGTATCTGTGCAATGTAAATATAGTAAGATATTCATTTCATTAAATCAAGCCTTGTACATTTGCCCACTGTATCTAATTTGTGACTTTTATTCAGTGAAATGTCTGTCCCTATTTTTAAAAGACCGTCGCTCAATTTACCATGGCAGCAGTTGCCATGGCATCTCTTATACAGTCTCTGATATCTTGCTGCTTGTTTCTTGTTTTTGTGTGAATCAGAATTAGCAATTGTCCAATCGACACACAATAGTATAACTCCTTCATTGAAGGGCTCTTTATCGTAGCAGAGCATTCTGGGGAAGGGTGGCAAAGCTCAGGGATGAGGAAAGACCAAGCCAGCCTGAACCAGTGGAACATCTAAAGCCCTTTCCAAGAATGTATATTCACTTATATCAGCTATACATTGTGCATTGTGGCTCTAACACATTGTTATTACATTCCTAGATCTTTTACTCAGATCATGGAATTAATAATTTGTTATTGTAGTTTATTTGCTAATCTTAAAGGTATGACATACTAAAGTTGTCTAGGACAACTATATACATTTGAGGGTGTTATTGAAGAAGCTGTTGTATTTGTCCTCTCACCCCATGTCAGGAATGCAGAGGTGTGGATCCTCCAAGGTTCAGCCATGTTTAACACTCCCTTTGAAACCCTGACTTTAAACTAGCTATGGCTTCACAAAAGGATCTTGCTCTATAACTCAAATAGCTGGCTATTGTCATTGTATAGTAGTAACTTTTAATCCTGTTATTTACTCAGCTTGTGAAGTCTGCTTTGTGTTTTGTGTTCCTACTACTGTGTCAGTGTGCTATTAGTCTATAAAGCATGTTGTACAGTTGTTCACTGCTAGGTCAGCTGACTGTAATCCTGCCAAGCAAGTCATTGTGCCTTTTGAAAATTACTCTGGATTGACCTGTCTGACAAGATGGTGTCAAATTCAAAGAGTGTGCCGCAAGTTTGTGATAATGGCAATCATAATTGCCATATTCATTGAAATAAGTTTAATAATTACTATCAGACATTTTGGCTGTTCTTTGTTACTGATTATGGAAATGTTTCTAGGGCTCTGTTTGACTATGACCGGACGAGGGACAGCTGCTTGCCGAGCCAAGGCCTGAGCTTCTCATACGGTGATATTCTCCACGTCATAAATGCCTCTGATGATGAGTGGTGGCAAGCAAGGCTGGTCACGCCACATGGAGAGAGTGAGCAGATTGGAGTCATTCCCAGTAAAAAAAGGTATTCATTTCTGTTGATGTACATAATAATACACGTTTACCATAGATTTTTTAAAATAGTTTCATCTCATGCAATTTTCTGAAGTATAAATGCCATTTACTGCTTATATTTAATCTTAAAGGAGTAATTTCTGAGAAGTGTAGTCACTTTTATAAATTAATCTAATACAGTGCGCAACAATGTATAGTATATCTTGACTATTGGGGGCCAACATGGTCTTCTGTATTAATGGGAAGCACTTTAACAGTTTGCTTATTGAACTGTTTTTCTTCCAGAGTGGAGAAGAAAGAACGAGCTAGGTTAAAAACGGTTAAGTTCCACGCCAGGACGGGCATGATCGAATCGAACAGGGTAAGTCCTGCGCCTGTGTGTCCGTGCATCGAGTCTGCAGCTGTACTGGGCTTCATTGAGGTGGCCTACTTCCTCTGAGTGTGGGAAAGGGGCCAGCACCTGCTCACTGAAGTCCAGGGCATCATATTACTGTATAGATTACACACAAGGCCCATGCAGCTCGGGCTCAGTAACCTATACATTAGCTTAATTGATAAGAAATTTCCATTCTCAAATACAGCAATATTTTTTATTATATTCATGCAGTTGTGTGGCAGTGTTATTGGAAGATGTTAATTTGTTTAAAGCTAATCACCTTTACATTTATATGCCATTCATTTCACCCATGACCTGTCTCATTTCCATTTTTTGATGTGCATTGATTTTGCATGTGTGTCCAGTACCTTCATTGAAATTCATTTTTGTTTTCGCCCTGTTATTGCCCCCTACCCAAATCTCATCGCCACACCAACCACACTGATGAGCAGCCTGTCAAAGTAAAGCGCAAAAAAAGCTTCAACCTCTCACGCAAGTTCCCATTTTACAAGAGCAAGGAGAATATTGTACAGGAGATGGTGGAGTCTGAACGTGAGTACTCGCTGTCTGATCAAAGGCCATGTTCTTCCATCTTTTCCTTCATGCTTCATGTCTGTCTCTGGGCTTCCATCTTTCACCTTTTGGGGTGATTTGTGTCATGCCGCCTTTCTCACCCTTTCTTTTCAGAGAGGATGCTCACATGCTACAAGCTGGCTGCAGTATGTGGGGTTTTCTCTGTCGCTGTCTACCGGAGGAGTGGCTAGTTGCAGTTTGCGCTAATGTACTGGACTCTTTAACACATATTATTTGGTTAGGGCTGGGCGATATGGTGGTTTAAAAAAATTTTGTGATTTTGTTTAATGCAGCTCTATCAAACACACTTTCCTCACTCACTCCTTGATCACCCTTCCTACGATTGAGTGAGTGACGGTTGGCATTATCCAATCACATTTAAGTTTATTACTTTACTTTATTATTACTTTATTTACTTTTAAAGACGTTATAAACATACTGGTTGGACAGTAATTGTGGTCGAATCAAAATCATGATCTGTCTCCAAGAAAATATATTGCCCACCCCTAATTTTGGTGTTATGATTTTGGACCTGTGTAATTAATAAACAATTGAATAACAGTACATGGCCTGGTAAGCTCCTCGCACCACTCCTCTACCTCTTCCCAACTCTTGACTAACCTCTTCTTCTTCTTCTGTCTGCTTTCTTCTCTTGGTCTCTGCTCTCACCTGTCGGGACACCTAGGACTTCCCAGGGTTAAGCGATGACTATTATGGATCAAAGAGTTTGAGTAAGTGTGCAGCTGTGCTGTGTCCGGCAGCTGTCCCCAGAATCTACAGATGAGAAAATGATTTGTTACTTTACACACTTATAGTTTGTAAGCTTGTAGTTTACATAGGCTCCGAATACAAAACACACAAATTTTCAACTTTAGATCTTTTGTTACTGATTGGCTTAAATTTTACTTTCAGTTGTCAAATAATCATCCCTTTATGATTAATGCCACCACTTCTGCTGCTAAAGGGGAACAAATCACAATTAAAGGGCTCCAGTGCTACAAGTATCACTACATGGTATGCACTCTGTTGGTGTATTGCGTACACCTTACCTTGGTTGTGTCCAGGACACATCATGTCAAGAACAAATATAACTAGACTCTATAAACTAGAAGAGAGAGAATAAAAAACAGAGCAGAAACATCTCAGTCAGAATAAGCGACCTGGATGAAACATAAGAAAACAGCAAAGAAGCCTATTTTGCTATCTGGAACTCTCGACTCGGTAAGCCACTCCCTGCCAAAAACCGTCCTAAGAGGATACACATTTAGAGATTTCGCAAAGAGATACCAATGACTAGCTGGATGGGAGAAGGAGATAAGATGAGAAGAACCAACACCACTTATATAAATAATCGGAGTAAACTAATTTTAATGGCTACCTATTTAATAGGACACATCATAATACCCTACATAGGGCCATGAGAGCCATCACTGTTGTAGGCACACATGATATGTATCTGTGTCGGTAATATGCGGCATAGCGGTAAATTGATATAGTCAAGATATTCGCCCACAATACCAATATTATTTATAAACTATATAATATCCACACTAGTCACTACTTAATTAACAAGAGACCATGGCAATTTTTCCCTAACAAATCAATTCATTTGGCTTATTAGAAAGTGGAGAGTAGAGCGGAGTTGGCCAACATGGCATGATGAAAGAGATAAAAAGATCTGGCATTGAGGTGCCTAAGCTTCAATATGACATATATATTAAGTCGGCACGTCTCGTCATATCAAAAATGGAACAAGTAGGATAACAGACGCATCACTTTGGTTGGACATTGTGGCAATCTTTAGTTGGTGCAGAGGAGCTGAAGCGAGGGAATCATAAAACAGTGTGATATGCTATGGTGGCCGTGAGAAGCATTTCAGCACCTATCCGAACAGAAATGGAGTAGATGGAGGTCCCCACTAAAAAGGGAAGTCCTGAGAGACTCCTTGGATGGTTAGAAATGTGTATCCCTAGATGTATCACAGGAAAGCCGGTTTGCCACAGTATCCGCAAAGGGTGAAGCCTACCAACCGCCTGGGCAGATGGTAAAATACAAACTGGTTAGTTCACTGTAGAACTTTACAAAGTGGCTAAAAGCCCCAGTCAAGTTTTGATATATTCAGCATACTTCTCACCACACACGTATACGAGGATATCTCGCGAGTGTATTAGTTCTCAACCTATGTTCCTGGGCAAGCAAGACACCACCTGTCTGCGGAGCGCTCGTTCACACAGGGTGGCCGGCCCCCACTATGGAAATAACACAAAAGTGTTCTTCGAAAAGACAAGCTCTGGCAGACTGGTGGCCATTTCAACAATGAGCAAAGATAGCGACAACGATTAAATTTACACTGGGACATTCTTATATCTGTTTGTTGTCTTTTTATTGTCTCATTGTAAAAGTAGAGATTGGGTCTAAAGCTAGTAGTTTATAGTTTGGATTCTTAATATTTGAGAAAGAGAGTCTAGAAAGATCATAGAAACACTGTGGATCTACTTTGCACCTTCATTTATTATATCATTATATCGTTGGAAGATTTACTTTTCTTCAACCTCCAATTGTCTAGTATTTATCACTACTAATAATCAAAGAAATATTATACTCTATAATATATAAATTAATCTACTACATGAATCTTTCATTGTAGTTCCTTACATTAGAAATATACTTGTGGTCCACCTTTTTTACAACACAGGAATTGAATACAAATTAAATGGAGTTAGTAATTATCGTGAAGGTAACCTTACTTGAGCTTTTTAAACCATATTAAAACCAAAATATCCCTATATTATTTTGTCATTACACAATGTTATCAGCGTTACGAGTTATAATTCCTGAGCGGTGAGAAACCTTTTCATGGTCCATGTAGATGTTTGTAGAGCAATTTGATTGTCATTTAATAAAATGAAAAAAATAAAATAATACTTCTACTATAAGATATTACAATAGAGTCGACGAAAGCTCAAGGAAGTTCACTTTAGAATTTATACATACCAATCCCTGCCCACTGCTTTATATGTACTTATATGTGATTAAAAAAATGTTGTAAGCCCTTTTATAATACCAGAAAAATATTAATAAAAGCATGTAAATTAGGAATCTGACTGCTGTTTTCAATAAAAATTGAGCAAACTATAATAGAGAAGTATTCTGCACTCAACTTCTATTACCTATAAAGACTAGTATGATAGTACATGATTGATGTGGAGTTTGCAGTAAAGTGTGACTATATGTAGTTTATAATGCTATTTCACATGAATAAAAAACTATCTAATGTAAGGACTATGTAGAAAATAGATCTGGATAAATAAAACAGTTAGTCTGTTTCTCAGACGTATAAGCCAACTCAAAGGTCAGAAGTCACAATCTCAATTAGAACACTTTAGTGTTAGTAACTGGCTTATAACCCTAAATGAAACAAAACTCGATTCTTGAATACTTATACAAATCTGTGATCATGGAGTAACTCACACGCACACAGGCATTGCAATTCTTTTATTCTCTATCGTGTCACTTCTATTCTTGCCCTATAGACTCTCATTCACCAGAGAGTCTGTCACTGTGAGTCTGTCTACGCTAGTTTATTAAAAGTATTCGTTGGCTGTTTGCATCACTTGTTTTTTGATTTTCTTGTTTTTCCTAAATCGTATTCCTACACCTTCACCACTAATACCCACTCTCTTCCTCTCCTCCTCACTCTCACGCAACCGTCCCAGCTTTGTTAACCTTACCTTGAAAGAAACGGAGCCTTGATACACTTCTCTATCACTGACATCAGCAGCACAAAACTGTACAATCAAATATCTGATCGTTTATATATTATATTTTAAAGTAACTCATTGGTAGTGGTTAAAACTAAGGGCAAATTTATTCTACCTAAATTCTTGAAGAAGCGGACCGTCAAAACACACAGTGGACAGGTTGGAAACCAACAAGATTTCACAAATGGTACCAAGCTATATTCTTCTTTCCACTATATGAACTGTATACTCGAATGTGTCTCCGGGGCCACTATCTCCTTAAATCGCTAGAATGGACACGGGCGCTTACACGTTTATTTCTCTCTTCGTTTTCACCACTGCACGAGGCCCAGTCGATGCGGAGCGAGCACCGTTCGTTACATATTCATTAGAAAATACCATGTCAATTTAGTCGTAAGAGGTATTTATTGCAGCAAATAGTTGGAATGATAATGGCGGATGCGTTATTTACTTATTGGGTATGGTAAGAGATCATTGTGGTAAATTCTTAATGTAACTCATGTCAAGAATTGAATGTTATCTGTAGGAAACTTTATATAGCTCTACCTTTAACCATTTTACATTGTATGATTTCAGTTTCTACTAATATTAAGAGCACAAACTCTTTGCAAAAAGTGACCAACAATGAACCCATAAATTGGATATCAATAAAATTGTGGTTTACATACTGGGGCCCTGGTCATGAGATGGAAAGAATAAAAAGCGAGGATCAATATATGTTAACATCTAGAAGTAGGTATCCTTTCCTCAAGTCGGCACGTACATGGGTGCACACTTCCTGAGGGAGTGGAACTCCATGAAGCACAGACAATTTCTGGACTAGGCAGGACTCATCTTTGAAAACCAGGGATCCAAAACTGCCTGTCGGATCACACCACTCTCAGCATAAGATCACAACTCGGTCGAAGGGAAGGGAGACGCACATGAGATGGGATGGGCAGGACACCACTTAAACACTTTTGATGGCCGACCAAAGCAGACTAACCATACATAAGGGAGCAGATTGGAAGACAGTGATAAATACTACGAAGGAGATGACAATAAAGTTATACTTCAGAGAGGAGCGCGGTACAAAACATAGAAACTAATGAGAAACCTTATTATGGAACAACCATTGCGGCACTCTCTGTGAGAACATAGTAGCTCGAGGGTAGAGGCGAGTCAGTAATCTAAGTCACATGAAGCTAGATACTAAGCATTGCTATGGTATAATAATATCAACAGCCTAGATGAACATTAAATAACTGTCATTACAACACTGAGCTATATTATGCTACCTCCTGTTTCATTTTGTTTATTTTTTCTTTTAGGGGAAACACTGCATTTTGGGTGTGTCTGGAAAACGCTATTCCAGAAACGGCTGCAAAGCAAAGCCTAAACAACTCTATCCGATTGCCATCTTTATTAAACCAACACAAAGGATCACTCATTAATGAAGCTCAAAATAGTAAAACCAAGTACATAATAACGCAGAATTTCATTTAGAGACCGGACTCCACTAAAACCAGTAGCGCTTACAAGAAGAACATTTGCGTTGAACACTATGAAGCGTGTGAGTGAATGCAATGCATATATTTATTCAGCGGAAATGACTAATAAAGGCAGACGTATGTATATCATGGCACCACACATACAATTATGGTCTCATTACATACCTATGAGGGGACCGTGAATGCTCAGATGAGCAAGGCAGGTAGTTTCTGGTAGAGGTTTTTTTTCACTCACGTTCATTTTTCTTTACATCACATTCTTTCACACCAACTTTGTTCACAGTTTAGCACTTGTGCGGTAGCTTCCCATCCACCCGCAAATATGTGGAAGTGTCTTCTGATCTCCCCAGTCAGAGCGCTATTGTACAGGGTATTCACTAGAGGAGATCTACAACAAAATCAAGCTAATCATTGAGAGAGGAGGACAGTCACTGGCCACCCTTATCATTTTCCGATGTTCGAGCAAACATCTCGTCGAGAACCAAGCCCTTCCTGAGGCGTCATCTTGTTGAACGCCTCATGCCTAGAATCTCCACCTCAGATGCCCCTTACCTTCCGCCATAGACTGCACCACCCTCCAAGGTTCCCTCGCGGTCAAATCCGGGTTCCTTCCAGAGTGTTTGATAACAAAGTCATTTGGGTGGAGTCATATGGTCATGCTTAGAGGCTGATGAATACCAACTCTCAAGAGCAGAAATATGATGCGTCTTATCACCTGGTAAATACATGACAGTAGATGGTGGACTAGTTGATCACCACCCCTGTGATCCACCTGCATGGTTCTCCAACACACGGCGACAACCCTTCCAACAGGACTCGCGGGAACACTCCATTTCCAAAGGGAATTTGTCAACTCGAAGACTGCAACGAAAGGGAAAACGGACATAATCCTTTTGTGATAAGTTACTGGACAACGAACCAGTGAACAAAGGGCAAGCCCAAGGGGGGCAGGGTGGAAGGACCCAGAGACTCTGTTTGTAATGTCTGTGAGATTCAGGGCAGGTGACGATTGGAGGAATTCAAAAAAAGCTGCAGGGAGTACGAGAGGATAGGCAAGGCTTACGACAATTTGATACGGATCTCTCTTTGAGGTAATTGTTCGAATCTTGGGTAATGAGTTAGCTATGCACAAGAGAACAGAGCTGAGGGAAACTCGATAAAGGGGTCGATTAGTCTCTAGAATATAAGGACCTGGTCAGTCTTCGTTCCTACTCTCACCTGTGGTCATGGGATTGCAAAATCAAGCGCATCCCTGGGGTAGCTGATGGAGTACTTGTGAATCACGTCAGAGTTGCACCGAGATCTTTATTTGGGTCGATTACCTAAATAGGGGGAGCGCTGCAATGAAAACATTGAGTTTGCCAGAGGACACACTCGGCGACCTAGAGCTTAGTATCAAGGATCACGGGGGCGCTTCTGCGTTCTCGTAAGAGATAGGGTCGCACGTGGCAGTGCCCGTTTCAGCTGCACTAGCAAGAGGACGGGAAAAGATACATGTTAGTCTAGGAAGCCGGGCGAAGTCTCAAACTTAAAGGATTAGAAACCGGTTGTCCACGATACTGAGAGGACCCCAGACAGACGAGTTCTCTAGGTAGTCATTATAAAATCACCTAGTTACATGAAATATCCATAACCTGGGCATGCCTCAAAATCTTAATCCCACACACATTTCAAGAGAAGGGCTGCTTTACCACTGGCGATCGTAGATTGGTCCACACAATCCTGTGGGGAGGCTGTAGAGAACCCTTTAACTCTTTTTTTAGTGAAGTACTTCTTAGGATATCATCTCTAGTGATGGGGGTGAGGTACTTATGCTGTCTGGGTCGGTTTGAAGGTCGGGCTGGGATAAACGATGGCTGTGGGGGTTCCGCATGAGAAGGAGGTTGTAAAGGAACCAGGGAGCCTTCACAGGCTGGAAAAACGAACGCAAACTGGGCCTTGAGCAAGTAATCCACAAATGCTTAATAAACAAGTATTTTATGCCTACAAATTCTGGGTTATTTGTGACACTGCTTGTCTCGTCTGAGAAGCGCGGCGACCGCGCCGGTTCACAATTCACGAGAAGATTCATAGTCAGAAGAGGAGAAACAAGCTCCGGAGTATGTCCCTGTTGCGTAACTTTCTTAGGTTTTCAAAACTGGGCCAGGTAGGGCCGAGCATAGACGTGCAATACGAAGAGAATCTGATCTACATCTCGGAGGACACCTAATATTCTATATCTGACTAAAACCAAGGAGAGTTGAGCGTACAATTTTGAAATATGACAGTGATTTACACTAAGACTGAGAATCTACTCTAAGCTATGGTGTTGTGTACAGCAAATCGACTTCTACTATACTTAGCGCACCCATCACATTTCCACACCAATTAGCTATGAATGGGTCACAAAATCACAAGGAACTAAACTAACGACAATTCTGCCACAAGAACCCTGGGATGAGCTTTAAATATACGAGGCATAAAGAAACAGCACAGGTAATGTCGGAGCTATGTTGGTGTCTTCAAGACAATGCAAGGAATGATACAATTATATCGCCCACCAGTCTTTGAATGGAGTCCCTGAAAGGTTTGGTGGTTTGATTCTATGTTCTCAACATAAACCACTTGCTCCCAAGGTTTGAAGCATCCAAAAAAACCATCTCAACAGCTGAGGAGCTTTGATTCCACACCAAGGCTATATGCGTTTCTTTTTCAGTTGTGTGAATTCCCAATTAGTCTTATTCAACCAAGATAATTATGCTTGTCGCTGTGTCCTCTGGCGTCAAGAATTCGACGTGTAAGCTCGACCATTTGGCCTGGTTGAGGCACTCCTTCGTATACTGAAATGCCTCAGTGCGTAACTTGGTGGAGAAGGTGAATTGAAGCGAGGTATTGCCTGTAGGGCGTATCGTTTATATTGGAGAGCGCTGAGGCACGTTGGGATTTCCTTGTCATGCTGGCGCAAAGCGGTTGATACATGTGGTAAGAGTATTTCTCTCCTGAGAAGGTTGAGTTATGGTATACAACAGCTCACTGTTATATTATATTATATGATCCACTCATTGATAGATTACCATGATGATTTATTTATAAGCACCCCATAGGGTGGATCAGCAACAAATAGACCAGTAGAATCTTTTTCAGAAACCTCTTAGCATCCTCCTGTGTGAGCAGATAATTGGTATTGTAATCAGACCAAATTAAGGTAATAAGCTGCTTTTACAAATTCTCAAAGCACATCAGAGCAACAACTTGCGGGAAGGAAGAGAGCTTGGGCTGGAACGAGGTACGTAGTACGGTTCACAGAATGGCTTAGGGCATCTAAACTAGGCTACCATAAAACAGAGAAAATGAAAGAGTGGTTCAACGGTAGCGTAATTATATCTGCGATTAATCGCTCAACTAGAACAGCACATCTAGGAAAACTACAAGGCCGTGCGGGTCAACGCCTCTCATCTTTTCCTTCCGTCTATTTCTCTCCATCCATCTCGTGGTAATCCTCTTCCACAATCTCGCATTCTAAAACATCCGTGTGTGACCCTACTCCTGGCCCAGACACCTCATCTCGCTTCACATCCAGGCTTGGTTCATTTAACTCATCACCTCATGTGTCAAATAAGGTTCAGCCCTTTAATTAAACTGGCGTGTGCTATCTTCACGAGAGAGGAACAGCGAGCCATTATACAATCTTTCTTTCCTCAATATCTGAGTTTCGCTTCACACGTGTGTGGTGGTTGGTACAATGTAAATAAGCCCATTCCAGTCACGGAGCCCCCAGCACGTGTTGCGTGCATATGAAGTCCGGTGTTGTGATTTCCACACTTACCGCCGTGTGACCTTTCCGGGTGATATCTTTAAGAGCTTATTAACTTAGACTCGACCGCACACAGCCCAACGAGGTCCAAGATCAAAGGATGAAGGCGCTACCTTTATTTAATCTAGTCCGGCTCTAGTGGGGAGATATACACATCTTGCATCACAATAGTTGGTTCGTCTCGTATTTTTAGTGGCTCCTGCACCAATTCTCTTCTCTACATGCACACACATTGCGCAATTTTTGTGAAAAACACTAGTGTTGCATCGGTACCGGGGAGAGTTACTGGAGCCTTCAAAATATAGACCTCTATTCTACAATGTGATTCAATTGGTGGATTGCACCGACTTGTGGTGCTCGTAGAGAGACGTGATGCGGCCAGAGTTTAAAATGAGTTAGTCGAGTGAAAACGCAGACGCACTTACAAATGCAAGCGGCATACACGTTTTCAGGAGCATTTCGGCAGTCAAACCACATAATAACAGCGGACGATTCTCACTCTAGAGAATTGTAACGAGCGAGCAGTGGTCGCTCTTTATTCGATGTAATTACACGAGGTAGAATACATGTCCACTCGTGAAGGAGAGTATTCATTGGGAGAGGAATATTATATAAAAACAACCTATCAGGCCAACATAGGTCTCCATCAGCCGAAGAGGGAAGATCATACATCTGACCAGTTAAATTGCGAGTTAGAGAATATCATAGGGAGGAGAACGCCTTAATGCAAATTAGGAAAATCATGACATCTCATATGTGTTGATAATCTTCGATGACGGTCAATTTATGTGAAGAGAAATGACATCTAATACGTCTTTTATTTATCTTGTTTCGCGGGAGAAGGTGGGCAAGGCCTTCTTTGTGTAACATCTATGGTTCTTGAGTGTTCTGGATGAAGCACTACAGAGACACATGTAAAACGCGAGGCTTCGCGGACCAGAGATGTGCAGGGATGCTCTTGGGACTTGGACACAGTGAGGTATGACATTTACACTATCCTAGGCTCATCGTCACTTAATATTTATCTGACATTTATTCAATGTCAGGTCGGAAGCTCAAAATATACTAGAAAAATCAACTGCGGCAACATGGCAGGACAATTCTTTACGGTTCTCATTTAAAGCGTCGGCAACGGACTATTACTCCTGAGTTCCTAACCTTTTGGAAGAGAGAGAAATCACTTGCCTCTCCGCCACATTGACCTTGTTTTGGAATTTGAAATTTAGGACGCACTAAGACCGTGCGCGAAACAAAAAGACACCTGAGGAGGTATCTATGGAACATCCAAAACCTATGGTTGCCGAAGATCCTAGTTATCAGAGGCTTATGCGAGGATGCTCCGTCTGGTCAGAGATTCCTGAGACCACTACTCCTAGGATGAATCCACATGACCACGGTCCGCTCGGAGGACCCGGGTAGACCCCTAATATGAATGAACACTATCTAACAATATATCACCTAGAACCAATATAGTTTCATCGATAATTATTTTTGCACTATTTTAGCAAGTCTAGGGTACTATAGACACAAAATTAGATTATAATACTAGTTAACCAAACAAGTGGACAGCTATCATTTTTAGTAAAAAGTTATACTTAATCCTTAATCACCCTTCGTTTCTTTTCTATCTGGCTCAGGGTGTGTTCCAGGAATTGTCGTGGTAGAGGACAGCACCATCTCGGGACAGGAACCAAAGGAGATACATTGATATTATATCTCGTGTAGAAGTAGTATTCAGTTGAAGCACGCTTGTTCGAATGCCCTGAACATGTACCTGTGTCTGGCTAAGCTCTGCCTCATATGAGCACAGGTGGCACACAATAGCACATGACGACGCCACAACCAGTATCTATCACGCCCTGGAACTGAGAGAGAAGAGGTAGCCATTCCCAGTGGTTTCCAAGGCCGACAGAGCTTCAGCAACCACAGGATCTCCATTTCGGGAAAAGTGCATCTCTGATAGGACCAGAACAACATGCAACAAGACTACGTCAAGAGAACACTAGAATTAAACATTGAGGAGCTGTCGAGAGAGAACCTGGAGCCCTCACACATTCTGAAAGGGAACTCTACTGACTAGAACCACACGCACTGAGACCAAGACGCTGAGAATAGTATATCCGCCTTCTGATTACGCACTGCAGTGTGAATCATGGTCTTCTCATCGAAGATCCTCTCTGAGGTTTCTGCTTCCAGCGACACCTTTCTCACACAACTGTGTATTACAGCGACAGGCATCATTACTTATCGAATCCAAAAAAATGACATGCTTTCACTTGTGTGCAAGAATAGGCAAAAGCTGGGAACTGTCTCCGTCACAAACGATGCGAGCGAACAATGACGCTTCGAGAAGTTCACTAAGTGACGGGTCTTTTCAACCCTTAGGCAAGAAGTCGAACAAGACCCTACAAGTCCAAGGGCAGCGGCGTGGATGCACAGGACTACAGATAACGAACACAAATGAGCGCGCAGGAGGACAAGGAAGGCGTGGCGTCGAGAAGAACTGGGAGAGAGTAGACATGCTAATTAGAGGCGCAAGGAGTGCGGCGCTAGAAAGGCCCATGAATAAAGGAGTCCGCTATAGACACTCAGGCGGGGCCAGAAGTGGGTGGTATCAGACGAGAAGGGGTTAAGTATACCACAAGGAGCAACGGTGCTTGTATCCGGTGGCTGACTCACTAGCAAGCTGAGAGCATGACCACTATCCTCCTAATAAGATATCTAAGAGAACAAGAACCGAGTCCAAGCGCCTTCACCCACGACCAGACGACACACCCAGAGAACTCGGGCGATGTCTAACTACAGGAGGCCTTCAAAGACAAGGTCCAAGCGGCACTCGTTCTACAGATGCCCGGGCGTGAGTACGGCAGAGGACACTTAAGTATCCAGACTGGGGTGGGAAGAACACTTACTGAAGAGATACATACAGAGAAACCAACCATTACAAAAGCTCAAACGAACTGTGTTTTTTTTATGCCATCTTAGCTGTCCCAACCAGGGTTTCAGTCCGGCGACCACAGTCCAATTAGCCGACATTACAAGATCACATAAAAAGCAATTGACTGAGAACCAGCTTTCACTGGATTGAATCTTCTCATTTAAAAAGTAATAATTACTCTACACACATCGGGAATGTATAAACTGAAGTTCAACGCAAACAATGTGAGCTACTGTCATGTGTAGGTACCTGCACCGGGATATGTCGATCTGTGTTTGTCTCTTATGTAGAGAAAGAGCGGCTCTCAAGGCTTTCTTACACAGCAACGGAAAGTGGGCAGGAGACTCCATGGCTAAAGCTTTATGTTATAATATGTTAAATGCATGAACATAAAAATACAACAGTCCTTTTTGGTTTACCTGCAACAGTTTCAAGCACTTTGGCTTCAATGTTTTCCAACTCAAGCACTGACTCTAGGACTGTTTCAATTTTAGGGTCATTGAGCTTTGCACGGGCCTCAAACTCATATAACAGCAGCAATGTGTCTGTGGGGTCCATTGGAAAGCTCCCTTAAAACATAGACCATAAATATATTTACATGTGTAATTAGCTAAATTTGCTAAATATAGACATGTTATTATTTACCAGATGTCTTCAGGGTTTTCCAGACCTCAGAGCATATCTGAATTTGCTCTAAAGCCTGGGTTAGCTCTTCTGTCTGAAAATCAAGGACTAGTTATGCTCATCATTGCCATCTAGTGTTCATGTCAGAATAACTTCATTTACACAGCACTTGGTTGTCACCTGTTCTCTCCTGGTGATGGTTAATATACTATGTGTCTATTGCAAAACACAAACTAAATAATGACTGACACACCTGGTCAAAATCGGGTGATTTTCTATAGATCTCTAAGGAGGCTGCAGCAGCCATGAGCAGACATGTCTTCTGACCCATGAGAACGGTGCGATCTTGAGGGCACAGCTGGGATAGCTGGTCATTCACGCATATGGGAGAAAAAGCAAGTATCAAACAAAGATGGGTATGTGTGTAAAAAACTTAGCAGTTCATTGAGAAAAAATCAATTTATAATAATTTCTTATTTTCTGAAAACTATCAAAGGAGTCTAGTGAATACTAAAATGACATGGGCTGATAATTTGTATGTTTCTACTTAATCAAAGCAGCGTCTGGTCATAAACATATTGATCCACAGCCACCCATATAGAGTTATCGATTAATGCAGTGACAACAGCTAATAAGAGCACATGCCTGGTAGGAGAGCATAAAGAAATCTCTCATCCGATCAGGGCTGGCCTCACACTGCAGGACAGAGTTCCATGCTGCACCCAGCACACAGGGACATCAGCATTTAAATACTAGTAAGTTAGTCTCATACATCGTTGGTGTATACCAATCTTTCTAAACCAGTTTGCTTCTTCAGTCTTCTGCTCTGTGGTGACATTTGATTGATGTGAAAGTTTCTTCAAAGCTACACAGACAATTGGAAAACAGCCTCAGTGTTGTCTTAGGTCATCTGATGCATTTTCATGCACTTACCCATTTTTAAATATGGTAGCAGAATGTCCAGATTGACCCCCCTGTGAAGAGTGTCAACAGTCATATCAGAATGAACGCCACATGATTCTGTTAGTACCTTACCTCTGCTCATCACAGGACTTTTCCATTTTGGAAAGCACCAGTCGAATCAGACACCTATAAAAAGATGAATTGAAATAGTGAGAATGACCTCCTTTCTTTCACCTACTAACTGTGTTATATGGAGACACACTTTCAGTGGAGAGCGGGAATATAGGTCAGTGGATCATGGAGGTGTTTGGGAAACTAAAACAGCGCCTTTGATTTATCAGCATTTTATATTTTCCTCCTCACAAGTCTCTAACAGGTGTATTATGTAAAAATACTTTAATAAGGTTTTAACTAAGTTATAACTTAATTCTCTCATCATTAGCTTGCTCAGAGTTGTATTTCAGTTGATTCATACATGTTTGAGTAGTCATTTATTGTCCTGCATTTCTCCTGTTCAGAAAGAAGTGTTTTCTCCTACTCCTTATCCCTATGCACAAATTTGTTTATTTGTGATTATTAAAAATAATAATTTTTAATATCATATTTTTCAAAAATGAAAAATGAAAATCTGCTGCTTGGTACAGTAAAAAGCCCAGTATGAAGTCAATGGCCCTACTTCTATTTTATTATTATTATTAGTAGTAGTAGTAGTAGTAAGGCACTTAAAAAATATCAAATGATTATTTTTATGTACCTATGATCTGACATGTAATATGTCGTATCATATAATTTTCATACCTGAGAGCAGCAAGAACTTGGGTATCATCTTTGGAGTTTTCACACAAACTCTCGAGGGCTTTCATTGCAGTGTCCAGTTGTTCATTCTTCAAAAATAAATAAATAAATTAATTAAAAATAACAACACATTAGCATAATATATATATATATATATTTTTTATTTGGTGATAGATCTTACCTCTAAAGCAATCTGAGCCGCGAGATTGAGGAGAGAGGACAAGGCATTGTCTGACACCAGAAGTTTGCCCTCAGCTACCAGAGGATTCTTGGACAGAAGTCCAATTGCATTTACAGCTTGAGAAGCTTTAATATACAACACATAAGTTAGCATAATGTAACAGTTTTAAAGATATACTGATACTGCGACTATAGTGTGGCACATCCTACACATGAAGTACCTTTCTCACTATTGTTTTCCTGCACAGCAATTTTGTAAACACTAAAGTGAGTGAAAATACTGTCTGGATCACACCTCTCTGCTTCTCCTACTGCTTCTTTAGCCTGAGAAAAATATAGTTTAAATAATGAACTCTAGAGCACATAAAATATAATGAACACTACCTTTTCTAGCTGTTTTAGGTGCAAGAAACAGGAAGCTCTGTTTCTTTGCAATTTGGCTAGGGTGGTGTCTGTCTGCCCTGCTTTGAAAAAACTTAGGGAGTAGTTGTACCATTGCAAAGCTTCAGAAAAATTCTGGACCTGAAAATTATTAGAATTATAAGTATGCATAGGACAAATGATCACTATTGTTTATAGTAATAATGCAGCAATTTACACATTACACATACCTCAAAATGCTTGGCTGCTTTATCCCATAACAAAACATGAAGCGTAGAAAGGGCTTGTGGTGTCAGCTGGTTACTTGTATAATGGCCTACGTGTATACAACAGAACTGATAAACATTTGACAAAGTTGCTGAACATGATCATGTTTAAAATAATAGTTACGAGTAATGACATCCTCAATCTTCTGTTTGCCCAGAAGCTCTTTGCCTCTCTGCAGAAGCAACTCAATGTGGAAAACTAAAGCTGTGCCCAGGTCAGGAGAGGACTCAAATTGCTGACACACTCGCCTCAAAAACTCAAAGGCAATGATCTCTCTAAAAAAATTATACTTACTGACTAATATAGCCCATATTCAGAAAAAGAAAACAAGCATCTTGTGTATTTGCTAGCCATTACCTGTTATCTGATAAAAGTAATCTGACAGTGTTCAGACATACATCAAGGGAGACCTCTGACTGCAGCATCTCATCAAGTCCTGAAACAGCAGCTTAGTGCTACTTCTTGAGCAAATCATAGGCCTATATATTTTTCTCATAAAGTTGTAACTAGCAGTAAAAACAACCATACATTTGTAGTCAATATAGTCTTCAGAATATTAGGGAACTCTGCTAATTAAAGACGCAATGTGTAACTTTTCTGGTGGAGGGTCTGTCAAATGCTTTTCTCCATGGATGAAATTATTGCTTTGTCTGGAATATTTGGTAGTATGGAATTAAGCCTTTCTATCCTCATGGAGACCAAAATAGACCAAATTACAAATCTGATTTGTGAAGTGGCAAACTCGCTCACTGTCAGAATATTTTTCTAGGTATTTTACAGCTATAAAACCCACTGTAATCGAAAAAATTTAAGGTAGAGCTGTTTAATGTCATACTGTGGAACACTCCAGGCAGAGCAATTCATAGAAACCAGCAGGTGATGGACCCTCAACAAAAATTACATAGTGCACCTGTAATACATTTTATGCCTATAATAACTCAGTCGTCCATGGTGTATTAACACAGTTTAGTTATTTTCTCAAATCCCTTGTTATGATAATTTTAGTACAAATTAATTGACTTGTAAATGACTAACCGGCTCTGATTTGATCCTCGGAGGCACCACATCTCTGGAGTATTCTGATTTTTAAGTACAGGCCAGACACACTGGCACTTTCCTACCAAATCATATGCAAGGTATATTTCAGAAAAATGTCAATAAACAGCTTTAAATGCTGATACAATTGTAAAACACCTTATTGGCTAAAGATACAGCATTAAGGGCTTTCTCCTTAAATGTTTGACAGTCCCACTCCAGATAGACTGTAGCGAGAAGTCTCAAAATCTTAGCCTGTTGATAAAAATATATATTATAATATTCACACAAAAGAAGCCTTAAAATAAAACTAACACAATTACCTTGACCTCTGGTCCAGGAGAGTAAGGCTCATTCATTTTACTAATGTCATAGCTCTGGCTGTAAAGATGATATGATTGGATAAAATAAATGCAATAACTTGGCAAACAAATATATTAGAAAAAATTATGAAATACCTTAACCAAAAAGAGCTTTCCTCATACTTTTTGAAACTGTACATATCAATGCCAAAGTTATAGCACATCAGTGACAGGTACGCAGTCTGTATGGAAAAATCCATTTGAATTTAATGCCATGTTTATCCATGAACCTAAAACCAATGTTTTTATGTACCTCTTTAGGGAGCCGCAAAAGCATCTCGTTGCATCGCTTCATGTATGCCACAGCATCATAATTATTGCCTTGGCATATTGACTGCAAAGCAAATAAGTTTCATTTAGTTATTCCCCAGTCATTTTTAATAATGACCCAAAACATGCTACACAGGTCTCCAGGAAGAACAGTTGATAGCTAAGGTCAGTTAAATACAATCAATCAATGAACCTGCCCAGGGACTACAGGTGGAAATTAGCACAACCCGGTACAATACATCTCTCCTGTTAAGGTTAATGTAAAAATTGTGCACTGTTTCGTCTCATTAAAAAATAAATCAATCAATCATTTTAATGACATATCTTCAACTGCCAAATATGCATGTGCACAGCTCACCGACTCTGCCTGGTATGAGAGGATGCGGAACAATTCCTTCTCCACATCATTCTTGGATGAGTGAACATCATCATCTCCAACAGCTCGAGATATAAGTTGACCATGTAATATTTCCAGGCTCTAGATTGTAAAATGCCATTAAAATACATTAACTGTGTTTAATGTGCTTATACCTACCTTTACAGCCAATTTCAGAAAGGTGTTTGCCATCTGGGGATTTCTGCAGTCCAACCAGGTCCTTCCTGTCTTACTAGCCATCTTATAATGGTACAATGGTACAAAAAACATCTCAAGTAATCAGAAACACATGCTCACAGTTAGTGTTTTCACTTCAGTGGAGTCTACTGACCAGTATCTGTTTGCGCAGAGTGCCCTCTGTTGGTCTTTCTGCCTCACAGCAATACAGAAGAGTGCATGCAACATGGCGCACTGGAGAGAGGGTTTGTCTTCTGTTAATAATAGTAATAATACACACATACATTTCGTGATGTGCACAATTTATCTAGGGCCTCAACAATTCTACCTTTGGCTTTTAGATGTTTGCTGATGTTGTTCCCCACATTTTTGGTAACTGCCCAGTTCCACAGTTGGACAGCGCACTCTTCCACCTTTAATACAGGGAAATGTCATAACTTACACTTTGTGATCAGGCTTGGAAAAATTAAAAACAAACCGTATTAGTGATAACATTGGTGTACCCGTGGATCATTGATTTTAGGGAGATCTTGAATGTTGGAAATTTCTGAAAACAGTCTCTCAATTGCTTCGTCATCAGACTGTTGCTTTAGCATTAGTTTTTCTGCCAGGCCTGGATAGATAATCACATGTACAATAAACCCAACAGTTATTGAGTAGATATTGTGGCAAATTGGACGTTCAAGAAGATCCAAATTACAGCAACAGATTATCGTTAACAAAAGTATTTAACAGTTTTAGCTAGTGAAATCTTTAGCCTAACAAACTAAAGAAAACCTACACTTACATAATACCGAGGCAAATAGCTCCATCCTCAGTCTGACTGTAGCCAAAGATGCAGTTGTGCTCTTCTTGCTAGGTACTTCTGCTTGGTAGGCTGATAAATACAAGTGAATTGAATTATGAATGTGTGTTTATTTAATAGTTTATTTATAGCTATTGCGAATCTAAAAAGACTCAACTAAATCTAAGCTAAACAAAGAGCAAAGCGCGGGAAATTCCGTAATGCCAGTCACGTGACAAAAAGACTCCCCGCCGCCATATTGGATCTGTCCTCATTGTAAACACGAGATGTAAACATGATATGTGAATATGAGATGTAAAAATTAGATCACATGTGATTTGACAACCTCCAAAGGTAACCGCTTTACTGTCTCCCAATCTTCATGTCAGTTTCGGCGTTTGGCAGTTCTGCAGCAGCACAGACTTCATCATGACACAGGTTGTGCATGATATTTAATTACCCTCCTTTCAAACACATTTAACACTTAGATTAACACTGTCAAATTTTTCACTTACATCTTCTATTGATAAGGGTTTGAGCTGTTTATTCTTAAAATAAAACACTCATAAGTTAACCTTTATGGCGGTAACTTCCAGTAATTGTTGTAATCTTCTGCCCTCCTTGGCCCATGGGAGGTCTTCTTTACTTAGCAAACAGTTGTACACACAATAAACACAATGGACACACTGAACTGCGATTCCCAAAGGCTTTCCCACTCCTCTTGATCTGGTGGTTCTAATGTTTCAGTTTTTACTTGAAAACAACATTTTATTTCAGTTAGATTCTTAGTCTGGGGCTGCAGTTAAGAAAAGATCAATGATCCAAAGTCAAGTTTGTGAGGCTACTACAGTAGACCAAAGGACGGTCAACACTAGGCTTTAGGGCTGCATTCACACTTGCATATCAAAATTGGGACTAAACCAAAAAATAAACCAAAAACTAAACCTGCAGACTAAACAAGTTCACATTTGCACTAAAATGCTCTCAATATAGGACCAAATAACAAGTGACTAGAAGTGAGTTGTCAAAACAATCCTGATTGAACCTGTATAGCCACAATATGTTGTTTTACTAAAGTGTCAGTGTTAGGCTAGGGTTATTATTATTTAGTTTAACCCTAATAGTACTGATTATATTGCAGGTCATGATAAAATTAAAATAATTTTATTTTGATAAAATACCGGTATTGTTATTTTTGTGGTTTAAATTTAGGAGCAGTGTGCCTGTGTGAAATCTTCAATCAGGTCCATCAGTCCAGCCTGTTCCGCTGATGGAGGAAAGGTAAAGCAGGATATTCCTATTTGGCATAGACTCTACCTCCAGCAGCTGCAGAGCACTTATGGACAAAAGATTATTTACTCTGATATAAAAAGCAGTGTATCCTGTCTCAGTACTAAATATAAAACTGTATAATCAAAACCTATGTGTAGTGTGGCTCAGAGGTAAAGCCCCAGTGCATAGGAGGAGCAACATGGGTGCCCCTCCTTTGAGTACCATCAGTACAGTTTCTGCTAAGGTACACTTACTTTGCTACCTCTGACTGCTGGGGGCTCAAAGGAATCACTCACCCAGTGTCACAATCACATTCATACGCCACACTGACTAGAGCTAAGCTGGGAAAGTGTCTTGCCTAAGGACAAACAACTATTGTACGGAGTGGGCCTGGGATCAAACCACTGCACCAAACTTTGGATTATTGTGGTTTCTTTTGCATTTTTGTGTGAAGACTACATATAAGAATATATATTTGTAATGCCTGCTTTTTATATGAACTGTGTGTGAAGTGTCACTGCCCCTGGTCCAATGGTCTAAATGATATAATTTAGCTTTGGCTCCATTTACATGTACCTAAAATAATACCCCATAGGCCTAACAAAAAGTCAGATCTTTCTATTATATAAAGTCTCCCTCATTTAGGTTCTGCAAGAGCTATGGACTCAAAGTTTATTCTTACATAGCCTATTGGATGTGAATTATAACCTTAATTAGGTCTATTATCTTAGCCACATTTGTGTATCACGACTGTATTACATATTTGGCAACTATGTACAGAGTAATATTTCATGTGAGTTTTACACTCGTCATTCTCACTCCTCGGGGTTTGCGCGTCTCCACAGACAGTGACGTCGCGCGCCCTGCCTCCGTGTCTCCATAAAACGTGCCTCGCGCTCGGACTATGAGAAGAGACCAGAGAGATTTGTCTAAAGAGCGCACTAAAGTGAGTGCGCATTTTACCTCTTAGTTTTTGTATAAAATCACACTATCTTGCTATCGATTGCCTCGTAGGCTACTTGCAACTACGTTTTGCTCGATTTTCTTGTGTTGGTTGTCCGTTTTGCGTTATAAATCCGACTTGATTGAACGAGCACCTGACCTGCGCTGGAATACGGCGGCGGCAGCTCGGCACTTGGACAGAGCTGCTCTGAAGATCATACCGAATCGCATCCCTGGGAATGGCACAACGTGCACGTTAAACATTATTTTCCTGAGTGAACTGAGAAGTATATCGCACTCTCTCTTTGTGAAATTGGAGGTTTACGCTGTCGCACATACCAGTTGGATATTTCCAGAAGACTGACATGATGCGACTTTATGACATCTTGAAACTGACCGTAGCCCTGTTTTGGTGTACATCACTCGCATACGGTGAGAACTACTTTCTTGTCTAATCCGTTGCATAATTTTAGCACACTTCAAAATAGGCTACATTGTACATTTGTCATTCTTTGGCTGTTACGTTTGGTGTCCTTTTGTTAATCAATAGCCTGATCATATTTTTAATGCCATTTTTAATGCCATATTTACCTGTTGTTCCTTGTTGTTGTTTGTTGGTTGGTTGGTTGGTTGGTTTTGTTTGCTTGTGTTAATTTGTGTCACAATATGTAATCAGTTATGTTACAACAGGCTACTTAATCTGTGCCTCATGGGGTCATGCAGATTGGATGCTGTTTCTGGATATCCCACTAGAGGTCATCTTGCCTTGGAGCCAAACTTTCTCAGGCATTGACAGATAATGCTATATGTAGGAGTGTAGGAAAAAACTATCAGATATATGTTAGAAATTCAATCCACTCAGGTATGTCATTTATTCCTTTGGACCTGCTGAAGTGATCATTCTTTAATAATAGTGTAATGTGGTCTGACATGTATTAGGCTAAAAGTAATTTTTATTTCTCAAAAGTGTATTCCCGTTATTGTTGAGAATACTTCTCAGGTAACTTGTTTCAGCCATCAGAGAATCTGAAGCCAGGTTATATTTGTCAGTAATGCTATTTGCCGGTGCTCTTCCTGTCCAACACCAAATAAACAGCACATCCAAACAAGACTGCTCACCCCCTCCACTTTTAGCGCACTGCCTTTGACCACAATGTTTTTGAGTAGATTTCCTACACTGTCCACAACCAAAGCGTGGGAAAGACACAAGGAGGAAACGGATGCTGGGCCTGGAATTGTTCTGGTGTTCAAGGGTCACGGAAATGTGACACGCTACCTGAGCAAAGGCTTCTTCCAGTGGCTTCTCGTCCATTTTGAGCTCTGTCCACTTTATACAAGACAATGGTCAGGAAAGGGCAGTCACTGTTGTCCAATGCTTCTGACTGACAGGAGATCAGACTTTCTCTATCTTAGTATAAATGTAGAATTCTCTCAGAATAGAAAATGGGTAATTTTATACTATTAATTACTACTACTTATTAATTACTTAAATTAAATTAAGTTGAAAGTGGCTCGCAGTGGCTCAGTGGTTAGAGCTTTTCCCCACTGCCCCAAAGCTTAGAAGTGGTTAGTTCAAGGACCAAGTACATACTATTTTTGTGTCCTTGAGCAAAACACTTCTTCTGCCTTGTAATTGTATGACTAGGGTGTATATGAGTGATGGATATGTGGTGGTTATAGGGGCCAGTGATGTAGATCTGTAGCCTTGCTTCTGTAGCTTACAACTACAGGGTGAAGTGAATGAATAGCAGCTCTTTGAGAGGCATGTCAAGTTTATAAAGTGTTATTATTAAAAGTGGATCTTTTGTTGAAGAGAATTGAAAAATGATCTTGAGTAAAAAATTCAAATAATAGGAGGTCAGCCAAATGTGTGACAGATGTATCTTTCTGTATCAGGTTTAATGACAACATGTACACACTATATATTAACTTGACCTGCAGTCATCATCTAAAGCGCTTGCCTTGTCCAGCTAAATCTCAGCTGTTTGTATGTCATTACAACACGACATTCACTTAAGACTGTGAGCCAGCAATACATTTTCTTTGAGACCTGCATGGGATTTCAATTTCAAGGAGCTTCACTCTCCAGCACAGTCTTAATCATATATTATGGAAGGGAATTCCCTGGTTTTACTTTTGAGGAGTTTTCATGCCAGAGATTCCTATTGCTGATGGGACTTAACTTTACATAACCTAGAACAGCCCCCCGTCATGACCAGATGTTCTATTATTTGGCTTTGTTGTGGAGTCCTGGGCATTTAACCTCTACCTAATAAAGAATCCATACAATAATCTTATATATTAATAAAATTTACTGTAATGGGAGTGGGATTTCAGGACACGTGAAACGGTCTTAAGCCCACTCAATTGGATCACTGTTTTATTAGAGTCTTATACTGTTATAACTTATATTTGCTTACAGTGTTACAGCTTAATGTATACATGAGAACTAGGGCTGGGCAATTAATTTAATTTTAATTGAGATGTCGATTCAGTCCATACGTCCATAGCCATAGAGACGTCCATAGCCAATCCTGTTTCTGTAAAAGTCTGGTTTGGAGCAGAGTGTTCAGACTTAATAGGAAGTTTTGACTGCTTCCTTGGCCTGGTCTCTTGCAGACAAGACATTCTGAAATTCAGTGGGACCTCCTGGTTAAAAAAATGTCAAATTAAAATAGAGATTGTCTTGGTTATGGTGTATTAAAATGAATACTAAAGGTAATTTTCTTCTCAAGACAAAATACAGTCTAATGAAAAAAAAATGTTGTTAGTCAATATGTAATACATTTTTTTATCACCCAAATCTAACCTTGAACTCAAAAACTAAATTTTATCCAAATTTACCGTCCCATAGTATTGCATAAAAGAAGAGGAAATTCCACACATTATAATTTGTACTATTGGGAGGAAGTTTGGGCTTTGGTTAGTCCATCATGGTACTCACTTCCTTCATTTACTGTTACTCATTTACAGTCATGGCACTCAGTTGCATTTGTCACATTTTGAAACAATGTAAATAGAAAAATTAGAGCAATAACCAATATTATTAAACATATTTCATATTGTTGGTCACAGACAACAGTTATATATTCTGGTGGAAATATGCGTTTGTCAGTTTTAATTGCTTTGCATTGGAGACTTAGCATTAGACTTGACTGATGGCTGAGACCCCCCTCTCTTCTTCAGAAAATGTTTGTTCCATGGCTGCCCTGTCCTTAATGGCTCCTAATGAGAACCAGCTCTGGGGTCTTTGAACTAACACAATAAGCATAATTTCTGGCATCTTTTAGAAGTTCATTGGGAGGAGTGGGACACACAGCTGTTACTTGGGGTTAGGGGTGCTGGGATGCTGGCTGGAACCAGTGCTGGTGAGAGCAGGTGGGAGTTTTGAGAGCATGTAGGCAGACAACCACAGAACCGCTTCTCCTATTGTACACAACCAGGAGTCTTGATGCATTAGTTGTCTTGTGTTATATTGTCATAAAACAATGTTATAATAGTTAGTGAGGAAGTCAATATTGACTGCTGCTGTGAGGGTTGACATTGTAAATTCTTTCACTGAACAGCTGTTCTGAATCATAACATTTTTCAACATGTGCACGTTAGAAGGAAATGCTCAAATTTTGTTATATTCAGTTTTTCAATAAAAAAAATTTCCTCAGTGTTTGGAAGTTTTTGCTGTAAACAGTGGATTAATTGTATTACTTTTTCACACATGCTCCTACAATTTTGTTATCTACAGATCATCCAAAGTCAGCCCACATTACAGAGACACTGCCTAATGCAACCCCTCTGATTCTTAAAAAGGGAGATTCGGTGTCCCTGATTTGCAGGTATGTAACAACATCACATACTCAATGGATTATTTCTGTGGAAGTAAAAAGGTACATTGCTAAATAAAACCAAATCAAAAGTGGTTATTCCTAGATAGAACAAATACTTATAGCCATCTGTGGTCTCTTGGGAATAACAAGATATTTGATAAGAATGTAAAGAATTTTGCCTAATTTTGTCAGCCTACTAGGAATGTCTTGTACCACTTATCATTCAAATGCATTGCTTCCCTACAAGGCCATATCACCACATGTCTTGCTCATAGTGTCACTGGACAAACTGGAATGACCCTAAATTCTTTAGGCCTGTTAGAAATGTCATATGTTCCTCTGGGATTCCTTTATTTAAACTTTTAAAAGGGTTGTTGAATGGAAAGATTGTGTTAGTTGAGTACAGTGTTCAAAGGTTCCCGTGTGAAATCTTAGCTGGTATGTCATACTTAAAGCATTACAGATTCCACCTATTCTGTTTTAGATTGAAAAGACACATTTGAAACTCATTGCAGTGCAGTGTTAACAGCATGGATATGAATATAAATGTTGATATATTTCTGTCTCTTTTACCTGTTAGAGGGAATCAACCGTATTGGGAACTTGGCTCTGAACTCCGAGCTTTATCATCAAATGGTGTGAAGGTGGGACGCTGTGACCAAAAGCCGCGTACTGCTCACCACTGCAGCAATCTGACCATCACCAATCTGACAGCCAATGATACTGGAGCATACAACTGCAGGCACTCCAAACACAGCTCAATTTATATCTATGTTACAGGTAAGATAGGACTGCTGAAAAATCTTCTGATAAATGTGCACATATTTTACACATATTATACACATCCAGAAACAATATGCCTTTCTGAAATTATAATTAATGATTAATAAAAGGACAGCAGCAACATTGGGAATCTAGATGTGATACGAGGTGTACAGAATGAGTCAATGCATTTCTTATAACTGACTCCAAATCTTCAAAAACTTCCCTTTTAGTCACAAACACTAAATAATTTTTCAGCATAAACATTAAGCATTGTCTGTTTGGAAATTTGTTCAATGTGGTTACCCTACCCATGTCTCTTTTTGTATCTCAGATTCACAGCAGCCATTTGTGGCACCTCATCCCTCGATACCTCTGCTTCTTTGGACTTTGAGGAATGAAACCAGCCTCATTATTCCATGTCGAACAACTTCTCCTGATGCTGTTGTGACACTTGATGCGGTAAGCTCCAACAAAAGGCCCCCACTCTTCATATTTGTACAACTTCTAATGTATGTTTGTCTAACTTACTTATGTAGTGGTGGTTTGTAATTGAGATACGTGGACATACATTTAACGGTGCAGTTAATCAGACAATAGTTATATTAGGCAGTACTTGAGGCAGGGCACTGAATTCTTCCAGTGTATGCATTTTAAATCACTGCGTTAGTGATTGGCTTTACTGTAGGAAGCTCAGTCACACCGGAGGGAGCCATCCTGACGCCTTCCTGCAAGAACAGGAAGGTGCATCAAGAGAGCTTTTCTTTGAATTGGTTTCTAAGCTAAATATAGTCATTGGTATCTTACAAACATGCGGAAATCCACAGACAAACAAACTCTGTGTCCAGTCAAAGGGAAGAAGAACAGGTACCCAACTATTGTCGTCATTATTTCTGATTTATGATCCATCATAGTGGAAAAATGACAGAATGAATCATTTAAAAAATATATAAAATTTCTTCTGTAGACTAATCTGCCTATAAATCACTCTTGTAAGCTTACATTGTGTTTTTGTTCAATGCAGTCACGTTCTTTATCAGAAGAAGTGAAGAAAGAAATGGAGTGGGATCCAAAAGTAGGATTCAAGATTCCCTATGGTCCTCTTGCTCACTACAATTTTCTTACATGTAGCACAGAGGTTAATGGACATGTTTTCAGAACAATGTACATGCCGCGAAGATGGAGTAAGTACTATGGTGTTATTATCAATGACTCTTCATTCAGCAGTGTTTCAGACAGCATATCTTTTCTTTCGTACAGCTGGCGTCCTTAACAATGTAAAGATTACCCCAGATCATGTAAAACTAATAGCTGGAGACCTCCTTGTTCTTAATTGTACTGGTGAAACCACATATAATGGAAGAATCAACTTCACATGGGAGTTTCCTAGAAAAGCAGTAAGTTATAGTGACTGCTGTGAATAATAACAGGAGGCCATAGACATTTGCATATTGAACCTGCTTTGTTTACAGGAGCATCGGCATCAAACTAATAAAACCTTTTTAGTATTAGAAGATGTCATTTATATGAGTAAGACCTTGTATTTGCCCAATGTAACAATGGAGGATAAGGGGAACTACAAGTGTTATGCGGAGGTGGAATCCACAAAACACAAACCTGTTAAAGTGTCTGTGACAGTTTATGGTGAGTTTTTTTTTTTTTTTTTAAATAGAATCACATATTTCTTTCAGTTTTATGTATTTTCAGTTAACTTTTTCAGAGCATCCTTTTATCAATCTGACATATAAGAATGACAACCTCAGTACTATTATTGTAAATAAACTCAATAAGAAGGTTTCATTTGGAGCAAAAGTTAAAGCAGTGCCTCCCGCAGACACAGTAATTTGGTAAGTAACAAATGAAAAGATTTTGTATGTATTTTACATACAATAGAATGAAAAAAAACCTTTTGTTTGTTTGTATTTTAGGTATAAAGATGGCATTCCAATCAAAAAGAATTCGAGTTGCTACAAAATGTCTGGCCACAACCTGATTATCAGTGATGTACAGCAGAAGCACGCAGGTGTCTACACAATCAGTGTAGGCATTCAAGACAAAGGGCTGTACAAGAATCTCAGTTACTCTCTGGTTTTCAATTGTAAGTTCACATTTGAATAAGCGCTCATGACCCACAGTTGTTTTGCTGTGGTGCTGCTGTGGCCTGTAGTTACTGGAGTCCAGTCCAGAGGACGGCAGGTAGCGGCTTAGTATGAAAGGAATTTGGGGGCTTGTTGATTCCAGGACAGGATTGACGTATACAGTGACAGCTGTTGTTGATTATTGGGGCTGCTTTGAAGGGGCTTGGAGCTGTGTGCAACAGCCCTGGCTCATTTCTGTAATCTACTGCCATAGCAGCATGTAAGACATCCACATAATGTATTTACATCTCCACAAAATTATTACACAAATCTAATTTCAGCTGCTTTGATCTTTTTTTATCTTCAATTGAAATCCAAAGTATACACAGTTAAAATTACAACCATTACAATTTACATTTAAAATTGTCATATAGCAAGCACAACAATAACGTTTTATGTTCTTGCATAAATACAGTTTTTTAGGTTGGAAATCATTGAGCCAGGTGAAATATAAAGTATTTTTATTTCTCATAAAATATTCTATTGCTTTGTAATGAATAAATACACTGTGTTCAGAACTGTGCACTGGTGATGGACCAGTGTCTATTGATAAAAAGTGAAAGTGAATGAAGGTCTTTCCTGATCCGCACAGGAATCTAAAGTTTAACTGAGCACAGAAGTCATGACTGCTCTGACATGGGCACAGGCCACAGTGGGGTTGTTTTCTGACCTACAGCCTCAGGGTCGCCAATCATCCTGCCACAAAATCAGGAAGACTACTAGTGTTAAATGGCCAACATCTACAACCACTACTGCTCATTAATCAGACTTTAACTGGCTCCTCCGAGCATTGTGTTTTTTTGTTTTAACCTCACTATCATGTCTAATAGTTCATTTGAACATTGCTTTCACAGTGCCTCCAGCCATTTCTGAGAAAGAGCTCTCCACGGTAGATGTGCAGCCCTACATGTTTGGCAAAGACCAACCGTTAGCTTGTACTGCCTATGGACTGCCTTTGCCAAGCATCACTTGGCTCTGGCAGCCATGTCCCTCGGATTCAAACACAACACAGTGAGTCAATTATCTAAGCACTCGAGCATTCAAATAACATTTACTGCATCGATGGTCACTTCATGTTTAGCTGAAACAGTAAAACGTACACCAGTACCAATACTGTGAGCCTTAAATTATCTAAATTGTTAGCCAGTTTCCTACTATTAATTCTGTTTTCTACTTGACTTTGTCCAGGAATGTGACTCCTAAATCAAAATTAGAGAACTGCACTTTGTTATGTGGCCATTGGCTGTGAATCCATGAAAAATAAAGCAGCTTTACTTTCAAGTTATTAGCATAAAAAAACACATTCTCTATAATTATTTAATGTATTTAACATAATATAATTTATTTATTTAATAGAGCCAGAACTTCTCATGAAAGTGATTAGTATAGTATGGTCTTGGCAGGTTGAGAAGATATCAAATATCAATTGTTGATTGCCAAGGTCTAAGGATCAGCTTATCTCCTCTGACCAGAGGCTCAGGGGGTTCCTGTGCACAACCCTTCCTGTAGAGGCAGCCATTTCCTCCTCGGCCTCTGCTCTCATCAGGCTGATTGTTCCCCTCAATGGACACTCACCGTTTTGTTAGGGCTTACTACAGGTTACAGCTACTATAATTCTCACATGACCAAATAAAAGTCTGGTGTGGTTTTACTCATTTGTAATACACACAGTGATTGTAATATACATATATTTGTATAGGAATTCGTCTTTACTTACTACATTGTTTTCATCTTAATTATAGTTGCAATGGGAGTGCATATCATGCCATGGACTCATTTCTTGTTGCAACTGATACTGAGTTTGGAAGTTATTCCCACAACTGGATTAAGAGTGTAAACTATAAACCTGAGCTGGTCCAAGGCAAAAATAAGGTATGCCCACTTCACAATGTTTTGTGTAATTATTATGGTCTAAACAGCTACTCTGGTTTATGGTAATACGATACAAAAAGTCACAGTTGTTAATTTGGTGATTTGCATGAATCATGCATTTTGATTTTCATAATTTTGTATTCATGTATAAAAGCTCTTGTGGGCAAATGCATAGTTTTCTCTGAGGGTCAGAACAAAGGTTCAGTGATAACATGCTGGTTTGTAGTTGGATAAATTCCTTTCTTTCACCCCACATAAATTCTATTGGACCGCTGGGCCTCGTAAGTGGTGCCTCTGAAGGTAGTGTGTCCCTAGAAATCATATAAACAAGACAGAGCACAGAAACATATTACATATTACAAAACTTATCATTTGTAATGTTAAAGAACATTATAACAAGCGCAGTCTTCATTCTGTAATCTTATGCTGACAATTTGCCATTCTCCCTAATGCAATTTTAGTAGTCCAGTAACATCCATCAAAATCCTGACTTTTCCAGTCTATGCTCTTAATATTTTGATCAGTGTTTTTAGAATGTGTGTGTTTTTTTTGTTTGTTTTTGGGGGTTTTTTGTTTAAGATTTTTTTTAATCAGGACTGATTTTATCAGGATTTAGGGTTGACTGCATGCTCATTATTATGTGATGCCAGTGAAGACATTCTTTCAACCACAATCTAACAGTTGCTCTTCTGTTCCCCATAGACTGCAAGTATAGTAGTGATAGGAGCAGCCAATGTATCAGGACTATACACTTGTATGGCCAACAATGAAGAGGGTACTGAAACAATGACAATTCCCTTCTTCGTTACTAGTAAGTATCAATTATTCAACTGTTTTAAAGTCTCAGTACTTTATGTTACTTATTTCTGAGATGCAATAGAAATGCAGTTATTGCGGCTGTCTGAGACTACACAATGTACAGCTCTTGAGTCATGACATACTGACGATGGGAAAAGAGCTGCCAGAAATGTGCTGACTGTGTTGTGCAGTGAAGAGTCCACAGAGGGCATTAATTGAAACCATGTTTCGCTAAAGCCAGTGCACTGCAGAGAGGAAGAGAGGCGCATATGTATGTCCTCAGTGCTATAATGGCACACGTTAAAAACAGCTACAAATAACTACATTCCTGCTTTAGGGCCAATAGGTCACACTGTGAGTCAAAATTCTTTTGTTATGCATCTCTGACCATTTCCAAATGTTCCCAAATGCATACCAAGAAGTGAGACAGTTATGTAATGATTGCATAGATGAGGTGTCATTGTACAAAATCACAATTCATCAGCTATAGCAATACATCATAAAGTTCAGTAAAATATTACCAACAAAAAGCAGTTTGCCTTATGGTGTAAAAATATTACAGATGATTTTAAATAAAATTGACCAGAGTCAAATCAAATCCAGTTCTACCTGAGGGGGAACGTTGAAGAATGATGGTATGCTGCTTAGAAGTGGATAAAATACACAGCTGTGTTCCTTTATGAAGTAGAAAATGCTCTCCAGCTATTTGAATGAACAGAGCCTAGACTCAGCTTCATTCCAAATGAATGTCTGCGGGAGTGCCACCATCCGCCATATTGTCCACCAAAGCATGTTTTCAATTAGCTGTGATGAAACAGGAAATAACTACACATTTAGAATTCCTGGTTCCTTGTTACAATAAAAAAAATGTGGTTAGCAAGGTCTGTGTTTTTTTTTTTCATGAACAGTTAATGAGCCGCATCGGGCCATGTACTGTATTTGAGAGAATTGAGCTGAATGGTCCCATATCTGTGTATCCTGTTTCTATAGATCACACAGAGGAAATGGCGGTGTTGTCTCCGTCGGTTATTGAGGGGGACGATGCTGTCCTAACATGTCGGGCAACGCGTTATCTCTACACAGACCTCCAGTGGCTTGATTCAAGAAATCATACTGTCACCTCAAATGTGTCTACTCTTGAGACAAGCACATACTCCATTTCACGTTCTCTCCGTCTGTATAATGTGTCTCGTAACAGCTCTAGAGGCTACAAGTGTCAAGGGCATAAAGTGCACAATAAAGCTGTGCTGAAGACTGCTAACCTAAATGTTGCTGGTAAGTGAGAGAATGTCCTGTGTATCTTTTTACTCTACTGTATACTATACAGAATTTATGTCTTTTTCAGAGAGAAAATTGCCTTGGCTGAGCCAAAATCTTACAGATCAGCATGTGAATAGTAGCACCACCCTCATATTGACTTGTTTAGCCCTTGGAGTTCCTCATCCATACATCATGTGGTATAAAAATGGGATTGAAGTGGAAAAAGGCCCAGGTAAATATCTGATACTTCATTTTTTATGCTTTTATAAATCATATGTGTAGTATTTATTATCCATATTCACAGGTATCACATTTGGTGATGGGGTCCTAACCATTGAGAGAGTAAAAAAAGATGATGAAGGACTTTATGAGTGCATGGCCATAAATGATCTTGGTGCTGCAAAGACAAGTGCTGTGGTCACTGTCTATGGTTAGTCAATCAGCTTTCTTTTTTTGGTTTTGTTTTATGAGCTCTCCTGTTAGTGTTTTTGAAGATATGATATTCATTGTGTCATCCAGTCATTTGTTCAAAGGAAATGACAAAAAAACCTGAAAGCCACTGGCAGGTCAGAAAGACAAAGCATCACTAGTGTCTGATGATGGCTTCTCTTCCAGATGACAGTAAGCCAAACGTTGAGGTGATCATCCTGGTGTGTACTGGAGCCGCAGCAACCTTCCTGTGGCTTATGCTTATTCTGTTTATTCGTAAACTTAGAAAGGTATGGATTCTATATCACTGTGTGTGTACAGTATATGCACTTAACAGATACATTCTCTCATGCTGTTTCATTGACTTAATTATGAAAACTGACTTCCTCTGTGAATGTTGTTTAACATTTTCTTGTACTTGAATGTTATGCGCAATATGCATATATTTTATTTACTCTTGGCCCAGTCAGTATTTATTTATAATTAAGCATTACTAATATTTGATATTTTAATACATTTTTAGCAGCCTGCACATTACAAAATGGGACCATCAATCATCATTGATCCTGACGAGTGTCCTCTTGAAGAGCAAAATGAGCTTCTTCAGTATGATAGCAGCAAATGGGAGTTTCCTAGAGATCGGCTGCAACTGGGTATGTGTTGAAATTCCATCTCATGTTTCCAACTTATTTTTAGAAACAAACATTATACATGAATCAAAAGGCTGTATTCAATCCTGATACATAATTAAAATACTGTAATTTGGATGTATTGTTGATTTTATGTGTTACCTGTATTTGTTCATGTATTTTTATCCTTCGTTAAGTGTTCTCAAAAGGCACTGATAAATTAATTATTTAAAATATGTTTTGTTACTGAAACACATTCTTTATGGTCTCTTATGAATTTAGGTAAGACCCTTGGCCATGGAGCTTTTGGGAAAGTTGTGGAGGCATCAGCTTTTGGAATTGACAAGTTTTCAACATGCAAGACTGTTGCAGTTAAAATGCTGAAAGGTACATTATTTAAGATTTAACATTGTACCTGCTTTTTCAGCATTTTGGCTCTGGTTTGTGTTTTCACCACAGAGACTTGAAATTCATCCTCAAATCTGAGTGCAGTCAGTTGTCTGAATAGAGCATTTATTGTGGTATGCGAAGCAGATAAATAAATCCTATGTGTCACTAAGGCCAGAGATATATTTCCTGAGCAAAGTTCAAGAACCACATGTGACTACAATTAATGTTAGTATGGAGTGTTCAAAGTAAAGCATGCGTTTTACTTGGAGGCAAAGGATAGGACCTCTAACCCTGTCATGATAAAGAATAGGAGTGAACACTCACTTAAATGAGACTGTCCCAATTACCCAGCTGATGAGGAGTTCAATACAAGACACAACCTTCACACTGATAAATAAGCAAGGCATTGACTGATAATAAAAAATGTTTACTAAACATATTTTCTTTATTCTTCAACCATAAAAATGAAAATTAGCATTTTTGAACCACTGGTTGTAATACTATGTAATGTTGATGCAGATAATATGAAAAGTCTAAGAACCGTGCTGAAACAGTAATCATGTCAGGCAGTAAATCGTGAGCTCTCGGGTCAAGTCCGCTCTGGTTAGTCCGAGGTCAAACTTAATGGGAAGCAGCAGGTCTCTAGAATGGACCACGGTTTGCTTGAGAGCATCATAACTCCTACAGCTCTGAAATACTGTATCTATTCTTGGACATAGAAACATTTAAGTAACCATGCTTTCTACATTTTATAGGGGGGGCAACATCCAATGAACGAAAAGCTTTGATGTCAGAGTTGAAAATCCTTATTCATATTGGACATCATTTGAATGTTGTGAATCTTCTTGGAGCCTGCACAAAGCCAGGAGGTGTGCAGATGACTGGTGCTAGTTGATTTCAAATTATTTAGCTAATTTTTAAGATTTGTATTTTATTATAAACAGGACCGCTGATGATGATTGTTGAGTTTTGTAAATATGGAAACTTGTCCAACTATCTGAGGAGCAAAAGGGATGATTTTATTGTCTATAAGGTAAGTTTCTAGTACATCTTAATGACAAAATTCTTAATTTCTGTTGGTATATTTTTTGCCTTGTGCTTGTGGCAGAACCAGGATGGTAAGGTGGTGTCGGGGTCTGGTTGTGAACTGAGTGAGTTGATGAAGCGCCGTCTGGAGAGTGTGGCCAGTACCGGAAGCTCAGCCAGCTCTGGCTTTATAGAAGATAAGAGCTACTGCGACTCAGAGGATGAGGAAGAAGGTAAAGGCCCCTTCTACTCACCCCTCCTCCCCTGTGTTTGTCCCCTCCTGCTGCTTCTCAACCCCCCTCAGTCTCAACTCTACCCCGTAGAAATAAGGCCTCTCCTTGGATTGTTTTCTGATGGGACACTTCCTGCTCCTGTTCTGTAATACAATCACTGCAGCAGGAGCTTCTGTCACCCGCTGAGAGTAGGGAAGCATCTGTTTGTTTCCTGTCCCAGCTCACTGATGCTTACCTCTCCTTCAAGTCCAACCTGTGTTTCACATTGTATTATTTTGGGTTAGATTAGCTGTTTACTCAGGTGCATCTGTGGAAGGGGCCTTTTGAGCACCTGACCAGCATGTCAGGGTCATATTTACACACTTCACCCAACATCTGAATTATAAATACAAATTGGATTTGTTTTTTCTGTCATCATAAAAGGAAGTACTAACAGAGACATACATGACAGATTTGAGTTTTTACATTCTGTGAAGTAATCCATTGTGGTATTGCTGTTTTATTTGCAATAATTTACATCAATTATATGATTCAGACATTTATATTTCTCTCATAGAAGCTGAAGATTTGTACAAAAGAGTCTTGACTTTAGAAGATCTGATTTGCTACAGTTTCCAAGTCGCAAAAGGCATGGAGTTCTTGGCCTCTCGTAAGGTAGATCATTCTCAATGAAGTATGTCAAAAAAAATTTTTTTAATCTGTTGACTTTGATGGATGTCCAAATAAATCTTTGCACATTCGAAGAACAACAGAATCATTAACTGAAGTATAGTCTCTTCTCTTTGTCACTATTTGTGCTTTTTTTAATAAGCCTCTTTCATTTCCTAGTGCATTCATCGAGATTTGGCGGCAAGAAACATCTTACTCTCTGAGAACAATGTTGTCAAGATATGTGACTTTGGACTAGCTCGGGATGTGTACAAAGATCCGGATTATGTGCGCAAAGGAGATGTGAGTGCACAAATGCTGATTGTAAACACATTGTTGATGACATTCACAGTAAGTAGACTATGATGGTTCATGGGACGTTCTGTCTATAGGCAAGGCTCCCACTTAAGTGGATGGCACCTGAAGCCATTTTTGACAAGGTCTACACCACTCAGAGTGACGTGTGGTCCTTTGGAGTTTTAATGTGGGAAATCTTCTCTTTGGGTAAGTGCTACTGGTATTATTTTGTTAGAATTGAAATATTTACAACAAAACAAAAATGTGAATGAGGAACAACTAAAATAACACAGAGACTCTTCCGAGAACAGTCCGAACATGTTCGAGCATGTTCGATGTCATTAAATACATCATGTACTCTCGACAGTGTTGGGGAGTAACGGATTACATGTACCGCCATTACGTAATCAGAGTACAAATTATGAGTAACTGTATTCCGTTACAGTTACTGTTTCAATGAGTGGTAATTGGATTACAGTTACTTTGCTGAAATAAGTGGATTACAAGGCGGTATTTTCCTGTTTTCACATTTTGTGCTACATCCCATTTATTTATTTTTTTATTTCGGTAATTCCACTCATTGCCGGAAACCCAAACAGAACGCGCGCAATAAGAGCGATGTAAACGTCATGTTAAAGTTGGCGGTGTCAGTCACACAGTGGAAGCAGCAGTGCATTGGTAAAAACGCATTTGTGTCTTGGAAATTCTTCTCCCGATGTGATATATATATATATATATATATATATATATATATATATATATATATATATATATATATATATATATATATATATATATATAAACAAATATAAAATCGCCTACAACTTAAATGTGAAACCGGAGCTACTGGCACTGGTGAAAACAACCTGCATAGACTCATAATATCTGCACTACTGTCCTATAATGACCTGCGACATGAGTGGACGTGCACACAAACACACACACAAACACACACACACACACACACACACAAACACACACACAAACACACACCTTCATCATCGTCATCAACCTGAGAACCCGCGGACCACGTCTCCTTCCGTAGTTACAGCGCGGACACCGCCGTCTCGTGCGCCGCGTGTGGACCGTGTTTTCTCGCGTAAACCGCGCTTCCTCCTGTGCGCCTCTAAACCAGAACTAACACCAGGACTAAACCAGGACTAATACAGGACTAAACCAGGACTAACCCAGGACTGAACCAGGTTTAAACTAGGACTAAACCAGAACTAAAGACCTGGTCTAGACCTGGTCTAAACCAGGTCTAAAATCAAGAGTAAACCAGGTCTAAAAATCAGGACTAAACCAGGACTAAACCAGGTCTAAACAACACGACACCTAACAGTAGGTTTACATAATTTAAGGTGATCTCATATAATTTCTCTATCAATAATATTTTTTAATCTGGTGAAGGAAAAGCTGATCTTGTTACTGTCTTTTAACAGACAAAACCTCTTATATTAAGATCTCATGGTCTTTGTTTCTCTACAGCAAACAGTTGCTTATTCATGGAGACTTGGGCTCAGACAATTTGAAGACAACAAACAAGAATTTTCAGGATGTGGTTGCTACATTCATGTCGTTTAAAAAAAACATGACAATATCAAGTAATCCAAAGTAATCAGATTACGTTACTCACTTTAAGTAATTTAATGGATTACGTTACAAACTACATTTTGGGGTGTGTAATCTGTAATCTGTAGGGGATTACATTTTAAAAGTAACCTTCCCAACACTGACTCTCGATCATTCCCTTCTTCAACATTTCCAGTGTAGGAGTATTCAGTTCCTTCCACATTTTCAAAATTAGCTGGTCACCAGTCACAAGTCCAGTACTTGTGCAATTTCTACTAAATAAGAACCAGGAATTAAGACTTGGTTATAATTATCACTTTCTTAGAAATTGCTTAGAAATTGGTTAAGCAAGGCATTGAGTAATTTGAGCAGGCATGGCTCATTTTACCACAAAGCAGATTATTTTAATAAGGTCTCTGCAGCTGGTAATACAACCATGTTTAGCCAAAAAATTGATCAGCTGTGTTTGATTAAACGCCTGTCTTTTGACCACTCCTAACTGTCATTAAAACATTACATGGTTGGTCACTAGAGAAAGCAGTGTGAAGGCAGCAATGTGGAAATAATGAAATAACAAACTTGTGGCATGTTGTTCGCATTAAGTGTAGAATTTTTTTTTGTAGGTGCCTCTCCATATCCTGGAGTCCAAATTGATGAAGAATTTTGTTGCAGACTGAAGGAGGGGACTAGGATGAGAGCACCAGAATACTCCTCATCAGAAATGTAAGAAGTAGACTTATTCACTGTGGTGGTAGAGCAGAGCCTGTGAATGGGGTGTCAAACTGCATCACGGAGATGGAGTGAATATGGCTTCATGTATCACCTTGAGGACCTTATATACAGCCAATATAACATTTTCTGCTTGTTGTTTTTAGGTTTGGGTAAAAAGCAAATGTTTCTTTGAAACCACCAGATACTAATTTCCCTCTGTTCTGTAGTACATCAGTATTTACAACATACAGCATGACTCAAAGTTTATTACATTTATATAATCTGGGGGTATAAAAGTACTCAAACTAAGCAAGTTGGAGCCCGTTGAATGAATTTGTCAACTTTGCAAAAGAAACACTGATTGGAACGGATACTCTAAATGTAATCCAGACTGTAGTTTTCAGATCCCTCATGAGGTATTTGTAGACACAGAACAACCTGTGCCAAGAATCCCTTGTACATTTCAGCACCGCAAAGAAGCAGCCTGTGCCAGATTATATTCTGCATGCTTGTGACAGTGAGGTTTAGTTTAAGGCCAAGATAAATCGCTCTAACAGCAGTAAAAATGAATGTTGAAGGAAATGCATTTAGAGTCAATGGGATGAATCTCAGGCTCAAGTTTCCTGGGAGAAGTGTGTGCTGGATCAGGTGATCTGCAGGTTTTGATAATAAAACAAAAGGTTATTTTTCAAATAAGGATCAAACAAAACAAAAAAAATATATATAAGGAAGAGGATGCTCACTTACTGTTCTTTGCTCAATACCAAAACTTTAGGTATGCTATTTAGGTTCTCGGACACACATTGTGGATTTATTATACAGAAATGCCATTTGTTCCTTTGCTATTCATTCTTGAGAATGTGCTTTGTCCAATTTCTTTACACTTACACTCCAGTATAGGAGTGTAAGTGTAAAGAAATAACTTTTCTTATGGGTCTTTTAAGGAATAACCCCAAGAGGAAAATACTTTTTTTTTTTAGCAAAAAACAAAAACATAAAGGTCAGAGGAAGTTACCTTAGAACATATTTCATAGATTTGGATAAAATTGGATTGGACGGAGAGATTAGGATTTAGGGCTCAGAAAGAATTGAAGATCTAATGACATCTCAATGCCTGGGTTTAGAGTGAAAACAGATTAAGAGAATGGTTTTGTAATAAAGTATAAAGTTTAATTAAACGTTAAAAATATTATTCCATATGCTGTTTTCTTTAAACTGATGCTTGGTTTTATTACAACCCTCTCTGAATCTTTCCACATGGACAGAGGCGCTGACAGAAGCGGAGAGCAGGGTCTAACTCAAACCAAAGGATCAGATACAGCCCAGGAGGCACTAAAACAGTGTGTGCGAATATTTTAATGGCAGTCCATTTAGAAGTGGAGCAGGTGTGGGTATTTGAGAAGCACAGAGCAAGCTTAGAGAAGTGAGATATTTTAAAACTGTTATAATCTGTGATATATTGAATTTATATGCACACTGTATGCCTTCTGTGTCCACTTTAGTTACCTGCTGTATTTTCTTGCCCCTTAGCTATCAGACCATGTTGGACTGCTGGCACGGAGAGCCACTAAAAAGACCCTCCTTCACAGAGTTGGTGGGAAGGCTGGGGGATCTGCTTCAGGCCAGTGTTCAACAGGTATGGCAACAATTATCTTAATAAATGAATAAATTATTTCACTTGACATACCTAAGTATTGTTTTTTGAAGCAAAAATAATTCTGCATTTTGAGGGCAGCATTTCTGCTTCATCTGATTTTGCAAGCTGTGGAAACTGTGGAAGTTTTTACAGCAGTAACTCTTAAAATTAAACTAGTATCAGCACCAAAGTCCTGTGTTACATGTTTTGTGTGAATGGAAATAGTATTAAATAGTATTTATCTTTAGCAATGATGCATTTTGAGTTGCAAACTATAACTATAGCTACAGCAATCTTCTGTTTACTATAGAATAGAAGTAAATGAGAGCATATATAATGCATACACTTACACTTGCATACATTTTCTATAGGAGGGGAAACACTACATCCCACTCAACACAATGCTGCTGGCTAAAGTAGGAGATCCATCGGGGACAGTGTCCAGAGATGACAAGCTCACACGACCCCTGTCCCACCGTGAGTCGGGGTGCACTTGGTGAGAACTCTGTTCAGTCTCAAATGTGTGCTCTATTCTGTGACTGTAGCAGTGCTTTTATTCTTAAATAAAACTTCTAAAAAACTTCCTAAAATAATTTTTAAAAGGCTCAGTGTTCTACAGCATTATTTAATTCCCTCTAAACAATACAGAGAGAGCACAATGGGTCTGACTGGCACATGATAAGAAACACACAGCAAAGAGCTTTTAGAGCAGGAATTTCCCAAGAAGCACACTGGCTGCCTTAAGATTTATGTCCACTTAAAATAATATTTGTCCTGCACTTGGATTTTCACTGTGTTTGTTGAAAGGTGTTGAAAAGCAGCCATGACAGTTTGCTCTTAAGCTAAATTAGACTTGTGTTTTAACCACAGGGTGTTGAAATGTACAAGTCAACAAAGTGTGTTTTAAAAAGCTGTGCCATGGATACCTGCACATTACTCATTCCTGTTTTGTCTGTAAAGAGAGCATATAAAGTGTTTTATTCAAAATGTATTTTTGGCAGGAACATGAAGATACGTCCTGCCAGTGTGAAAACCTTTGATGAGGTGACTATGGATAGTGGAACAAATGTGGAACATGTGGTATGTAATTATTATAAAATACAACAAATAATTGAATCAGTACTATGTAGACTGAGTGTCCCACTGTGTGTTCTTCAGAGCGGGCAGTCAGACAGTGGGATGGGCCTGTCTACAGAGAACATGAGGACACTGAAGCGCCTTGAGTCTTTGGCGGGGCGACCTCTGAGCATCATAGCTTTAGCGTAAGTGCAGCATAAAGCCTTAAACGTGGCCTGGATGGGACAATACCTGCTGGGAAACCTTCCCACTGAGCAGGAATGCAGACGCTATAATGTCTTACAGCACACACTGCGCTGTGTTTGAAAAGAAGGCTGCAACTAGTTTGGTCTTTTGTCTGCACAGACCACGCCTGAGGCCAAGTGGCACAAAGGGACGTGGGTTAGATAAAGTTTGGAGGGGACAAACAGCTGCATCAGCAGAGACTCACATGTTTAAAAGCAGGCATTTTGTTTCTCACACATATTGTTGCACTTTCAAAGCCTCACAGTCTTCAGCTCCTCTTACTTCCTCAAATCTAACATTAACAACTGAGCTTCAAGCATATCAATGGAACAAAGCTCCCATATGTTTTGTGTCTGTAATGTTCTCACTTTTGAGGATATCTGAGGTGAAGATCAAATCTGAGTCAGAGGTGTTTAAATCATTCCCTTCTTTCTCCTCAGCAGGGAGTTTCAGAACTCACATATTAAGCTCACAGCAGTCAGTGGCAAGGTTAATTCACAGGGTCATACCCTCTGAGCCAGCCCATTATCCACTAAAAACTATCCTAACATCATTCTGTTAGCATTCAAGCTAGCTAACCCAAGGAAATATAACAATCTAATCATTTACTGAGAACTTCTTAACTTCTTAAGTAAATATGCTACATCATCCAAAAATACAAATTTGGCACAATATTTGGCACTGGAATTAACATTACTTATGATGTAATTACAGTTTTACATGGTGCCTATTTTTGCCATCAGAATCAGACTATAATGTAATGCCACATTATTTAACATTGAGGGCTGGACCATCATGCCCATTCACTTATATATTTAATGACTAACTGAAGCCACACCTACCGCAGGCCCCTGTTGTTCTGAAACAAAGTTTGCCAGAGTGTACCAGCATTGATATGGTCCGCTGCCATGGTGAAGTGTGTCCAGGCATGCAGAGAAAGATGTGTGTGAACTTCCGTGTTGGACAGTCGCACAATCATTGCCACCTTTGAATTTTACGAGGCTCTGTCTTAAGCTATTTTTGTTTTGGAGTTCCACCTGTCAAAGATATGTTTTTGTATCTCTTGAAACATTAACTGATGTAATGTGTTTAATAATTTAAATATGAATTATTACATTTTAAATCTTAGAAATTTCACTCTGATATGTAGACAGCATACCAGTGCAGAGGCGTCATCTGCTCCTGCTGGGCTGTGACTCTTTAGCCTTTTCTGAAGATCCCAGGAAACTCCTAGCAACCAACAAAGACAAAGGCCAGCAATTACTCATATTCTGTGCCTCAAACAGAGTAGAAATGCCATAAATGATTGATTACATCATAAGTGCATAACAAAATGTTTACACTGACCTACCGGGCCTGTGAAATATTAGGAAAACATGCTATTCTTAAATAACTTCATTATTGAAAATTGGTGAAAACACATCTTACTGAAGTCTATTTGGTGGGGTTCAACAGGATACAGAGAGATCATTCTAGACTTACCAGGCAAGGAGTCTATGATATTTTTAGTAATATGTTTTAAGAATTTCATAATACATTTTTGTCAGATTAAAGAGTTTGAACGTCTCTTTCTATAGTGTATTGTCCAAATTTAAAAAATGTACACCTCCTCTTAAACCTTGGAGACAAAATCCTATTGTAAAGACGAGTTCCTTGTGCTGCTTGCTCATTGTCGCTTTTTTGAATTTGAATTCCCTTATTTGTTCTAATTAAAATGGAACAATGAGTGTAGTGACAGAACTGTTTGTTTTCAGGAAGAAGGCCATGAGTAAGAGCAAAGAGTCCGTTCTGGACGACTTGGGCCTGGATGACTCAGCGCTGGACATTGGTCTGGAGTGTCACAGCCCTCCACCCGACTACAACTCTGTGGTGCGCTACTCCACTCCCCCAGTTTAACCTCTGCTCTCCCTGGGACCCCCCTCTTTTCTGTGGACTGACATTAAGAGGAAAACCTGTGCCATTTTGGGGGACAAAAAACATTTAGATTTGTAACATCCATTTTTCTGCAAATTTGTCCACCTCTGCACATAGGCTCAGGTAATTATTTAATCTACTGTGAAAACGCAGGGCAGTCCTCTCCTGTATCCATGCAATATCCAGTCTTTATGAGGGAAGTTAAAGCGAAGCTGGGTTTCCTATTGTTCTTGTTTTGGGTGTAAGAATCCACAAGGAATGCTTCACCATGCTCACAGAGGATATGCTGGCAATATCATTGTCATTTCATTGAGCTAAACTCAGGTTTGTCACACGTCTGATTTTAGTTTTGACAAAATAGGTCCTCATAGGAGTTTTATTTCCCCCAAAGCAAAAGCAAATGAAATGTTATATTTATAAAAATTTTCATTATCGGATTTCCAAACTGAATATTTTCATAGTCCAGGCTTTCTGTCAAGTAGTGAAAGCATTTTTGTTTTGTTTTTATGATGCGAGAGTTGTAAAATGAACATTTAAAGCCAATATATATATATATATTTTTTTTTTAAAGGAAGAGCAGCCAGTAGCATTTTGAACTAACCAGTACAATATACCTTGCAGTCATTGTAACCCCTGTGTTATTGTCTTCAACACATTTTTGGTAAATAGATACTTATGCACTGAAGTTTTATACTGATATTGTTTTCATACACCAGAGAATAGTATATTGTTACCAAACAGTGTTACAGAGATTTTGTATTTTATTTAACTATTTTCTAAAAGTAAATATTTAATTTTTTTAGGGTTTTAAACACATGTACGTACTTTGTAAACACATTCCATTGATTAAGCAGTAATGTAAACATGCAAACATTGTAGCCTACAGTTACCTAAACTATGTTTCTGTTGTAATAAGTTGTACAATATTAAAAGTACTGTCTTCACACTGTAAACAGAGCATATAAATAAATAAAAATATATTTATACAATAATTCTGTTCTAGTGCTTCTGTCTCTCAAATATTTAGTTTTAAATGTTTTCTTATTTCTGTTTTGAATCACTGATAAAGCAGACAGCTGATCGCTCCCTGCAGATTTCCCTGCAGCTCCTTAATGAAGCATGTGTTTGTGCTGGAGCACTCTTCAGGCCTGTCAGAGCCTCACATCCTGGCCCGGGATGAGGTGTCGGCAGCCTGTCTGTTCACCAGGACAATACCCTCGGAGTTTGAACAGGGGAAGGAAGGAACTCTTAATCATCCCAAAGAAACAGACCACACGGCGTTCCCAACTCACAAATCCACCCAAGGCTTCCTATCGCACTGGCTTACTGACACTGGGAGGGTGCCACTGAGTCACACGCTACTGTTCAGGTCACCCATCTCCTCTGTCCCCTCAGAATTTACTGTTTACGGTAAGGATGGACAGTGCCCAAGCCCATCAACAAGCTCTGCTTCTGCAGAATTTTCAGTGAAGGAGACAAACAAATAGGGGAAGGATGTCAGCACAGGCTCCAGACTCACATTTTTTTTCTTTTGTAACAAATGTACTTGAACTCATGCACATGGATCTGATCAAAAACTATTTACATAATCCATGATAGATGTTTTAAGTAAAAGGGTCTTTGGATTGGCTTGTGCAGTACATATTGGATCACAGAAAATTTAAGAGAGGTTAAGAGAAGAAGGTTAAATTGCTCCAAAAAGTGCAAACAGATATAAGAATAAAATCTTATAACTTGTAAAAATATTTGATGAGAAAAAAAAAACTCAGGTACAGTGAGGGAAACAGTAGGCATTTAAAACTCACATCTATTATACAGCTTGAAATTCTATTATAAATTCATGCACAACTGAAAGATAAAAAAAGAAAATAAAGTTTCCCCCATATGAGTCACACAATGTTTTTTTCAGACTTCTGCCCCACAAGGTGAAGGGTGGATACATGACACATCCATGCCCCTCACCTAAAACAGAACAATGGACTGGATTCTTTTCCCCTAAAAGACTGTACTCCACCTACAACAAGTAAACAGAGTTTATATATATATATTTGGAGCTGGAAATAGGAACAAAGAATCTGCCTCAACTTTGACTAATGAAATAGTCATATGGGAGTACTTGAGGGTTGCAGTTGATAAAATATGTTGCCTAAGATTGGAGCACAACTAAAAATAATCCCTAAGTAAAAGCAGCTGCCTATACAGTGAGTCATATGTTCATTCATAAAGGTGGTGGAGCATGAGAAGAAGATATGATGTGAGACCAGTGCCACCTATTGTTGTTCTGTTTCAAACAAATGCATCCTAAAAATATTGAATAAATATATGTACACATGTTACAAGTTACAATACACATTTATGGTCTGTGTATGGAGTAAGGCACTAGTACCAAACTCATGCTTAATAAACAAGATCCTATTCTGCTCATTATTATCCTTGATTTAAAAAATAAAAAAATAAATAATATATATAGATATAGATAGATAGATAGATAGATAGATAGATAGATAGACAGACAGACAGACAGACAGACAGACAGACAGACAGACAGACAGACAGACAGACAGACAGACAGACAGACAGACAGACAGATAGATAGATAGATAGATAGATAGATAGATAGATAGATAGATAGATAGATAGATAGATAGATAGATAGATATACATGACGGCAACACATCCTCAAATTTAAATTTACAGCAAGAACAATTCTTCTATCAAAAGCTTTAAAAGAACAGTCATATACAGAGCAATGGAATTTACTTCTTGATATCTGAACAAGTTAATGTTCTACTAACCTGCGTGATGAACTGTTTATGTCAGTGGTATTTGAAATATTTTATAGCTTGAAATGTATCTGGCAGCAGCTTGTTTTGCTTGTGCTAATGGGGAATCTGTCAATAAACAATTAATTTACAATGTTTTCACGTTACAAGGAAAATCTGCAGTCGAATAATGAGGCTACAATATCTGCAATTTAATTTCGTTTCTCCTTAGCTAAGAGACTAAATGTGTTAAAGAAGATGTATTTTCTAAGTAAGTATAGAGCAGTAGGTGGAGATAGGGGGAAGACAAAACAGGAATTTTCTGAGCTCCCAGGCCTTCAAATACAGGACAACAAAGGATTATTCAAACACGTATGAACCAATCGAAATGCAATGCCCTGAAAAGTAATAATGAAGGAACACTTTTATAAATAGTTAAATCTCATTAAAGTAAATTTACATTGGTGGGTTAATATGTCCCCTTAATCTCTCTTTCTTAGTAGATTACCATATTGAGTCTATTATATTTTCACGATTCTCACCCTTTCTCTTCGGCTATTTGGAAAAGGGTATCGGAGATGGGCCTGATGTGGCGGAAGCGCGCCCCCACACCGAACCTCTGCACACTACAGCTCTCAGTCAGCGTACACTCTGACGCTGGACATGTGTTTTACATTAGACGGGCTGTGGCAGTGTGCGCTGTGCTGGAGTTTTATCCAGAAATAGTAACAGATGCTCCTTTTACGTTTCTTCCCGCAGAGAAAGACCACAGACAGTTAAACAACATCAGTGAAGTTATGCAACAGAGTGGATTCCTGAGCTTGCACCATGCTGAGCTCAGCCAAATAATTCTTTAGCCAAAAAACTAGGTCAGTTATGGTGAGGGTACCTATCAGCTTGATTTCAGTGTTCTGGTTGGGGATAGGGAGTTGAGATATTGCTTCAGGTAATCGAAACAACTGAAGACCTGAAGACAGAGGGAGCGCAACCGGCACACTTCACATTTACGACACAATGGCGCCCTCTTGTGTTCTGCGTAAAATTGCCTGTTTTATTCAATTCGTTTTATTTTTATAAAGGAGAAAGATTGAGATATTCCCAGCAATGTGTATTATTTCAGTGTCACTAAACATAATCGTGTATGCCTAGCGGAATTTTCCTTGGAGGCTAGAGGAAACCCAGAGCGCACATGTGAAAACAGCATAAAACTGCTTCATACAGAATCATATAGTGATAAAGCAGAGGGCTAAAAATTCGCTCGATCGTCGCTTAGCAGTCCCATTAGTCTAGATCTATGACATTACACTGGTTAGGCTATACACTTGCTAAAGCGTCTCAATGGCCAAAGGCCCATGACTTAGTGCGTCCTCTAGTGGTTAATTGTGTCACACACGCTGAACGCTGGAGAAGAGGCATAATGATGTACGAGCCTGGGTATATTACACTGGCTTTGGTTAAAACAAATGACAAAGATGTAGGCCTACTTTAGAAAGGTGAGTCATGACCCAACCCCAAAAGCATAGGACTTTTTTGGATAGAACTTTAATCCATCTTGTAGAGACTAGTCCCTTACAAATTTGTTGCCTCCTGTCTGAAATCATGAAGTCTAGAACGTGAACGCCATCTGTTATATTGCTAGGAGTCTTAATTGGCTTTTTATTTATTTATTTATTTATTTATTTATTTATTTATTTATTTATTTATTTATTTATTTATTTGGTCTGTTGTTCCGACCGAGTCCAAAAGGGAGCAACAGTGAGAGGCTTTCATGCAATCGCAGCGCAACGGCAGAGACCCAGAGGCGCGAGCTCTCCCTGTGATTCCCCCAAGCTTTGGACTGATGAAAGGGACGTCTTATCTGATAAAGCCGCTTTCGGGACCTCACTGCACTTTTATGACACATTAAATAACTGAAATGCCTTTCTTTATTTTTGACATCTTATCAATTAACACTTTGTCACACACAAATACATCTAAAGGCCTAGAGCCTACAAGGCTGAGAATGAACATATTTGTCGTGGTACATAGAGGCCTATTATAATGTGATTAGGCATATATGCTTATTCTATCTGTGGCATTCTATCTGGTATTGTTGATGAATAAAACCAGACTTCAGAATGAATAAGTTTTATATCTTGTCCTTCACTCTAATTTTTACCTCTACCTCTATGAGGCATGTACTGGCCAGTAAATTTTGTAGGCAATAAACACATGCTTCACAAGCTTCAATCAACTTTTAATTACCCTACTTTAGGTCAAAACTTTAGACAAACCAATTAGTGCGCCATGCAAAGTACAAGTGCACCTGTCAAAAGAGAACACTTTGTGTTGGATGAAAATAAACTGACACTTCCATTTCCCAGATCTTATAATGGGCGAAAGAGAACACATATTTATTCAAATGATTTATGTAGTCTTTTGTGCATTGCCTATGCACGATGTTTATGTCAAAAAGCTCTGGACTCCGTTGCCTCAGATGACAGATACTTCTCGGTTATATGAATACAGTGTGAGTTTGGTGGAACTGCAGACTGGTGTGCTGAAAGGCGCTGATTGCCACAGAGGGGGTTGTTAGAGTTTCCTTTAAACCGGAATTAGCCGTGAAGTGCGACCTTGAGGTGTGAAGATGGTTTGTTTCAAGTAAAAAGTCATACTTTTCACCTCGTTTGCAACAAGGCTAAATATCTTCTCAAATTAGTCAATGGTTTGAGCATTACATAACATTGATAACATCATGAATTAAGTCAAATCAAAGCAATGGAATTGTAACTGATAATTATATAAATATAAAAACAACAAAACATTAAAATTAAGTAAAGCAGTCTTTGGAAGATAAAGATCACCATAAATTATAAAATAGTATAACTTTCAGTTGTGCAGGAAAGCGTGCGTAATTAGGTACCAAGTCTTGTAGTTCCATTTGGAAATACAGTTGTGGACTCTCGCAGTTAATGTATTCATTACATTTAATGTATTCAGCCATCCTTCAGCTGGATAGGCCAGCTGAGGAATGATGACGCTGTGTAGGACCGGGGACATCTGGGCCGCGACGCACAACTACTGCATTTGGATGTAAATGGATCCTGCGTAAGGAGGAGAGCTGACGTCAGGAGGGCCTCGGTTATACCTCTAGCATCTTGTCAACACACACACACGATGAGAGACTGTATCACGAGAGGAGCTACGTCGCATTTGTAACTGAGGAGTCGCTTTGGACTATTACATTTTTTTTAAACAAAACTTCAGTGGTGGTGCAACAAATATGTTGCCATAAAATCGAAGCACGAGGCCCCTTTTTCTATTTTGATTGAGTTTTAAGTGAGGGTTTTTATTTTATTTTAGTTTTTTTGCACAAATCATGTATGTGGGATACCTATTGGAAAAAGACAGCAGCATGTACCACCAAGGACCCGTCAGAAGATCAGGCATCAACTTGCCTCCACAGAACTTTGTTTCCACACCCCAGTACCCCGATTTTAGCGGATACCATCACATGCCAAACATGGACACGCACGCACAGTCTACGGGTAGCTGGGGGCCCACGTATGGAGCTCCTAGGGAGGATTGGGGCGCCTACAGTTTGGGGCCTCCAAACGGCATCCCTGCGCCCATGAACAACTCGTCTCCGGGACAAGTGTCGTACTGCTCACCCGAGTACAGTCATATGCATCCACCCAGTGCCGCCGTGCTGCAACCACCGCCAGAAAATGTTTCAGCCTCTCAAATGTCTCCAGATAGAGAAAGGCGCAACTCATTTCAATGGATGAGCAAAACTGCACAATCGTCCTCAACAGGTGAGCATCATGAATATTCCACCACAGGTTCATGGTTTATGGATACTGTGTAGAAGTGATTCAAAAGTTGAACATGCAATGCAGGTGATTTTACTCTGACTGAAAATATGACAGTGAGCTTTCCTTGGGAATGAGTCAGGAAGGTGCAGGAAGCGGCGCCAGGCCACTTGTGATGTTAATGCCATGAGTGTGGGAGATGCGAGCCTGACTTCCCCGTCACATTGTTGCTCTCCGTCATATCCAGACGATGGCCTCTGTTTTCAACACCTCCTCACTTTGATATGCACCTAGCTCTGTTCCTCTGTTTTATTACCGGACAAAGTGGCACTCTTCACAGCTTGTGTTAAGTCTTCACAGTGAAAACATGTCAGAATAAATCACTAACATTTTAAATGATTGGTTAAACCATTTAATATTTCTTTTGTGCCACTAGTTGCAATTATTTAAATGTAGCCTATGTTTGTTTTTTTGTTTGTTTGTTTTGCAAAATTGGTCACAATAAAGTAGGTTGTAGTATAATTTCATAGCTAAAAAGTGAAGGCCTATAGTATTAATTATTTCGCGTTTTTGGTCTGATATTTTGTTAAAGGTTGTACAAATACGATCTCTTTGATATTCAAAGCGTAAATTTGTCTCCAAAGCAAAGATCAGAGGCGTAATTTGCCTATGTACAGAGAGAATGAAGATCTTGTGCATTGATAGACCGGTCCTGGCATGTGGATTCCTGCAAGAAATCCCGTTGAACAACTCAGCTGTGAGGTAAAAATAATTAACATTTTGTTTATTGCGTTTTCACAGGCAAAACCAGAACGAAGGAGAAATACAGGGTTGTGTACACGGATCACCAGAGACTGGAGCTGGAAAAAGAATTTCATTTCAACAGATACATCACTATCAGGAGGAAGTCTGAGCTCGCGGTCAACCTGGGCCTATCCGAAAGACAGGTACGCACCCATGCCACGCTTAAGTTTTTTCAGTAATTACATGTATCTAATACAATCATCAATAGCATACAACAAAAAGGCTATCCCTGTAATAATTTAGGCCTATTTTATATGTAACGCTGCATTTAATAGCCCACTAAATTTATTAATAGGCCCATTATTAGGCCTAAATGATGGGTTGGTTCGTATGTCAGCTTTTTTCTTTCATTTGCAGGTCAAAATCTGGTTTCAGAACCGCAGGGCCAAAGAGAGGAAACTGATTAAGAAGAAGATGGGTCAGTCTGACGGCAGCAGTGGCTCCGTGCACAGTGACCCCGGATCAGTGAGTCCACTCCCTGTGCCAGGCTCGCTCAGCCCCTCAGACATCCACGGGTCTCTGTACCCACCTCAGCCCATGAACACCTTGCCATCAATTAGGAATATACAGCAAGTGACTGTGACACAGTGACGGAGAGACTCGAGCTCTGGGACTCGAACATAACCGAGCACTCCGCTGATGGACACTTAATGCGCAGCAGATACAGACTATCCGTGCGTCAGGACGCATAGAGCTGCGGACTAAAACAAAGCGATGATACACTGGAGGCTCTTCAAATATTTTCACAGTATTGTTTATTAATGTAGGAGAAGACGTCAAAGAATAAAAACGTCAGTTTTATTAAAATATAAATATCATTTTATTATGTGATGTGAATGTATGTGTTTGTGAATAAAATGTTGATTCGGCGACATTTAAATAAGTTTTAAACTGGATTGTAAAATGAACATAGCCTATTTTAGATTTGACAAATCAAGTCTTTGAGTGTGCTTTGCCAAATATATAAGCTTTAGTAAAGCTGGCCAGAGTGAGCGGTTATGTGAGTATAACTATTGTTTTTTGGCAATATGGAAATGTAAATAAAATGTTTTGCATTACAATTTTCAAAACTAGTGTATTTCTATACTGTGTAGAGGTTTTGTCTAGTTATGATGACTTTTTGTTTTGCAAAATCAGTTAATTTAAGTAACTGAGGCCTGGACTGCATGGTGCAGGTGCGCACTGGGTAGGCCTATGCGTACTGATAACCAGCACTGGAATTGGTAAGATGCAGTTTATTGTATTGCTGTGCCACCGACAAACATGCAACATATCTACTCGTGTAATAAGCGCTCACATTAGTGTCCAAAAATTCTCTCCAGATGCTGTCAGTGCCGCTTTGGGTACAGTGCCGGAGACATGCGCGCAGCTGCGACTACGCAGCCCGACGTCATGAGCGTCTTACTGCCCAACATGGCGGACTTTGATACAATTTATGAGTTAGAAGACGAAGAGGATGAGCACGTAGTGAGTGAAGAACACCTGCCCAGATACTGTCCAGAGCCTGTGGTCATGCGAGGGGCCGGGCACATCACTGTGTAAGCAGAGCCATGTTTTTAGAAATTTGTCGCTGTAGTATTTTGTGTCTGAACCTTTAGCCTTTAGCTTCGGCTAACCAGTGAGCTAACGTAAATCACAACAGTCACTACTTGCCGAGTTTTTGTAGCTGTAGATAGTAGATTACTTTTGTGGTTACTGACATTTATTTATGTTACAGTTTGTCATTTCAAGGTGGCATAATTATAGTCTTCTCTACCATGTTTTGTCATGTTGCGTTTTCACTGTCAAATGTAACCTTATTGATAAGGTTATCCTCTGCTGAGATCACAAAGGATCTGTCACTCCAGTACTGGTACCTCCTTGGACGGGTTAATATTATGTTTATACTTCATTACAGGACAAGTAAACCTAAGTAATACAACCTCACCCGCTTTCTCCGTGACTGATCTAAAATGCCTATCTTATTCTTAAAGTGATGTAGGATTGTGCAAATGCCAAGATGTAGAGATTTTGTTGTTATTTGTTTTATATTGCGTCGTTGTTCATGTGTCAAAATATAGTAGATGTTTTCAAAACGCTGGTTTATTTTCCTTATTCTTGCGTGCATCATGACAGAAACGACAATTGATTGGACTGTAAACATTAAAGGCTCACCATGTAACTTTCCTGGTGGTGGGTAAGCCACCTATTTGTCTCTGTGGAGATGATATTGCTTTGTCTGAATGTTCCACAGTTTGTGGAGATGTTAGGGACTTGCTCATTGTAATAATGCCTTTTTTAAGGTGTTGCTGATGGGGAAAAAACAAAAGCTCCTGTTATTGAATGAATACAACATAGATATGTTTAATGTCATACTTTGGAACATTCCAGGTGAAGTAATAACTTCTCCATAGAGACAAGCAAGTGGCAGACTCTTTAGTCTACCGGAATTGTCCTGTAGTGCCCCTTTAAAAATAATAAGATACAGTCACCTAATAATAATAATAACCTGTGTTTTCAGGTTTGGACTGAGCAACAGATTTGACACAGAGTTTCCTTCTATTCTCACAGGAAAGGTACAGTTCAATTTTATGCATTTAATGTTCTTTGTTTAGTATAATTACATGTTTGTGAACTAGTGTCATATGCTTAAACCTGGACTACACAAAACCATTCTGGTACAGCTTGTTCCAGAGACTGGGCTGCACAGTTGGTTAGAAGGAGATGCAATAGTCCAGCTCTGTAAATGAGTAAGCCAACTAAGGGCCACAGTTGGCGGGGACACAGGGTTTTGGAGGGTCCAGCACCAGGTGATAAAATAATGAAATGAGGACTCGCTGCAGACAAGAAAGGAAAGCTTCCTGGGTCGAACGCTTAAACACAAAAAGGCTGCAGGGGTAAGAGTGGGCCGAGGGAAGTGTGGGGCAATAAAAAGAAGCTTCAGCATTGTGACCCATGGCGACATGTGATGAATGAGCTCACAATTATGATGATTGAAGGGTGCAGATCAGGCCCTGCTGGGCTTTATTTTGAGGTCTTTGGCTGTTTGCAAAGAGACCTTTGCATCCTGTCATAAAAGATTACGACCCCAGTTTTATGACGTACAGACTGGGCCAGGAATGAGCATCCATTCAAGTTGTTTGGCCTGCACTGCCACAGGCACTGGACTTATCTCCCCGTAGGCCCTCCTTGCCTTGACCAGTCTGGAGCGTTAGCTAGTCAGCCTTAGTGTTTAAAGATCTCATCTCAGGACAGCATCTGCAAATATCTACATGCTCAAAGCCTTTGATCTTTCCAAACAAGTTCTTTTGACCATTTAGGAAACCTTCATGACACTATTTCAGTTTCTTTTTTCCTTAAACCATTTGTCTTAATAAACTGTTTATTTTATAGGTAGCTCCAGAGGAATTTAAAACCAGCATTGGCAGGGTGAATGCATGTTTGAAGAAAAACCTGCCTGTCAATGTGAAGTGGCTGCTCTGCGGGTGCTTGTGTTGCTGCTGTACAGTTGGCTGCAGTCTTTGGCCTGTTATTTGTCTCAATAAGAGAGTGAGTCCCGACCTCCTGTGACATGCGTTGGACACTTTTACTCTCCCTCACATCATTGCTCATTACTCAAGGGCTATAAGTACAATTCAGCTGCAGTGGGCTAGGTGTAATCACATACTGTGGTCAATTAGTGGCTATGTGTAGAAATAATGCATTTACCACATTGTTTATACCTGCTCCATGGGTGTGTCTTTACAGCTGGTATTATAGCACAAGTTATAGACAACAAAGTGAAAATTACTAGCTGGTAAAATAGGGGTCCAGTCTATAAATCCTAACATAGCTGCAGTTAACTGAGACCTGTTATGCCTGTCATTACTTTCATTAATGACTTTACAACTTCCATTAATGCTGCTCTTCTCTTTGTACAGACCAGACGATCGATTCAGAAATTGTTAGAATGGGAAAATAACAGATTATATCACAAGGTAAGAACATCTCATCGCCAGTGTCAAAGTGTTTAAAGTGTGTGTGTGACTACCACTGGGACAGATAATGTTTTGTAAACTCTTAAACTACCAGTTCTTCTAAGTCTTATCTGACACACTGATTGGAATGGTTGCGAGGTCAGTAGTAAAATCCTGTGTTAATTTCGCTTTGTCTCACAGCAACAAATTACCGCTAGTAGCTGAGGACAGGCATAAAGGAAGCTGTTGAGAGTGTCTGGCCACAGTTTGACCCCTGTGAGACCAGACAGCCCTGTTTCCAAATTCCCCTGACACTGACGAGGAGATCTCAGACAGATTTTTCTTTGTCTTTGAGAGGAGGTGTTCATTCATTGTGTCCGTGTCTATTCTTCTCTTTTCAGCTGGGGCTGCACTGGAAACTCAGCAAAAGAAAATGTGAAAGCAGCAATATGATGGAATATGTAAGACAACCATTTTGATCTTTTACAGTTAATTTATAAATAACCAATTAATAATTTTTTTTATCATCTCTAAATGTTGTGTTCTATTAACCCAAGTTTTTTGTTTAGGTTTGTTCCAAAATGTTCCCATAGCTTTTCCTTTTTTAATGATCTCTTTGTCTGTGTTATCCTTCACAGGTAATTCTTATAGAATTCTTACCCAAATATCCTATATTTCGACCAGACTGAGGAGGCTGATGTGAAGTCGATGTGGGGCCCTTGAATTTTCTCCTTAGTGCCTTGTATATACCGTACAGTATGTTGAAATAAGGGTCTGCACTAATGTCCCATGAGGACCCTGTTAATCTGTCTGTGTATTAGACGCTGTCACTTTGCTTTAGAGCAGAATTTGCACATTTTTCAACAAACTTGTTTCACTCCAATATTTTTGTTACATGTCACTAAAGAGTCAACATCAAAGTGCATTTACCCCAAAGAACCATCCTCTGCTTCCATTTCAACTATCAATAAACCCTTGCAACGATTGTGACGCTCCCTCAATCCAACCCTAAAGCAGCCTTACCTTATGTGTCTTTTTGTTACTTTGTGTTGTGGAAAAAGAGGCAGCATTGTTGCAAGTAAATGAGAAGGTCAAAAATGCCTACCGCAGAGTACTTAATCAGCTATTTTCTGTAATTATCTGTAGTTGGGGACAAACAAGTTGAAACTTGACCTGTAAATACCATAAGTAACTGTACAGTGTTTAATTATTGTTTACATAAAGTTGCGTAGTTATTTAGTTGTTTTTTTTGTGTGTTTTTTTTTTGCCAATCTGTTGTTTCCATAGTTTTGATCAATACATGTATATTTACCTGTAGTTACTATGGACCTGTTTACCTTGCAAGCCATATAATTTCAGTGTTGCCAGAGTTAGACTGATCAATGCACTCAAGCCCAGTTTGATATCAGTACAGAGAATAGAGGATAAAGCACGAAAAGCAGTGCCAAGACCTTTAATCACCTGTTTTAGCTGGAGACTGACACATTTTAAACAAATGAAACTTGTTTTGCACCCTCCTCTGATATTATTTGCAATTCCATTGCATCTGTTTTGTATCCCCTTTTAATATGGGAAGCACATGGACTAACCATACACCATGTGTTGAGCAAATGGTTACAATATTACATTGTTTTTAACCTTGTTTATTGTTTTTATAATTTCCTTTGTTAGGACACTGCTACAATGCATTGTGTTAATAGTGCCTCTGGAGTAGCTTAAGAACTGTAAAGAATGAATTTGTGCTCTTGTACAAAGGAGATGTGAGTATTGCCCCTGTTAAAAAATCTGTTTAACCACAGAGATCCAGTGGCTCCCTTTGGAGAAAGAAAATAAATTGGTCTTTTTTATTTTTATTTGTGTCTTTGTTTGATTTTCTTTTGAACAACAATGAATAAATGCAATTAATGGATAAATGACGAGCCTCTTAAAACAAACCCTAAGTGACCTGTGGCAATGCACTTTGGCCACAACTTGTAGCAGTACAACATAACTGGCCATTTGTCATGTTTAACTAGGCAATGAATCGTTAACTTCAACAGGATGGCTTTGTAACACATTTGTCAAAGTCAAAACTTATACAGTTAAATGCTTTGTCTCTCTAGTTGTACATAAAATGTGATTTTGCTCAAAAGTTTTCACAAACCCCCAAAGCAAAGGCAGACAGGGCTGCTGCTGGGTTTTATGACCCTTTGTGCTGTTGTTTCACATTCACATGTCTCTTTAGCTCAAGGTTCAAACAAACTTATTGAACAATTAAATTTTAAAACTTGCAAGTGTATAGATTAAAATCCATTATTTTAAAAGGGTTTTATTAAAATTAAAATAAAACAATGTACATGTTTGTCCACTAGATGTCAGGTGTGTCTGGTAAATGAACATATTATTAGACACTTTGGACTACTGTTGAAGTCAGTTTTATTCATGTATGCTTAGATTATATACACAGCTCCACAAGTATATCCTAAAATCTACAAGCAACCACATTTCAGATCTAACAGTTTACATGAATGCAGTTAAGGTTTGATTTAAAGATAAAAAATTTTAGATCAGCTAACAATATTGTTGATATCATAAAAAAAATAATTTTCTTTGTTGGTCAAGGCCGCGGTTTGTGTCAATAAACAAAAATTAAGAGACAAAGCCACAAAGCTTCACTTAAAAAAAAACATTTCTCAAGCAACTTTAGTCATTTAAGGCATTTTAGAGCTTAATGTTCATCAGTGTTACAAGGCACTCACTTGTAAAAATATCCAAATGAAAAACAAGTGCTTAAAACTTAAATGTTCGTATGACTTCAAAAAGCACACTTTACACAAACAGAGGTTTTAAATGTTACAATTAACATTAAGTAATAGTAAGAAAAAATATGTTTCTTCAGACTTTGGCAAGCTGATGCAACCAGTTATAATAATGTATACCTACCTCTTGATTAAAGCTACACATGTACATCCCAAGCCATAAAAGCAAATGCATTAATGTATTCACTAAAAGGACTAAATGCATTCAAACACAATCTTTTGCTTTCTTTAAAAATATAATTTGTTGATTGTCACTTAACTACTAGAACTACTTTATCTTATTATGGCATCCAAGAACATCATTTAAATTGTGCAAATATAGGTCTCCCAGTTAGATCTTGGAGGATAAAGAATCATTTGAGAGGTCCTTGGATACTGTACATTTCTGAAAACATGTCCAGAGGGAACAGTTGCTAGACGAGACTCCCAGGCCATGACACAACAGTCAGAGTCACTTTATTCTTTTGTAACTTCAGCATTGGGATGAGAGAGCTGTTGTTCATTCCCACCGTAGTGGCTCCATTTACAGCCACGATCTCATCACCACACCTGAGGACAAGAACAAAGGTAAACGTCACTGCAGAGTCATGGGGTGTGTCTTAATAGTGAGCACTGAAGTCTTACTTCAGACGACCATCGAAGTGAGCAGGTGTTCCAGGCACAATGGTTTTTATATAGAATGGTTGCTGGCCATGGCTTTCTTCATAGCCTCCAACTATACTGAAGCCCCAGCTCTCATTGTTAGTCTTGTGCAGTACAATGTCTCGGCACCAGTGCATGTGACTGATTTGGAAAGAACAAAATATTTCTGACATTTTCTTAGAAGTTAATCATTGGAAATCTCAGGGGGAAAACAAAAAAGAAAATCTCAGGAAGAGTTATGCGGGAGATACCTTGGTAAGCCTAACCAGCGAGTCCATAATGGGGTCCAGTTTAAAGCATCCTCTCTGGGGTCATCGGACAGGTCCAGCTCATCTTTACTGGTGTCCAGCTCCTCTTCACTGTCCTCAGACAGAGTCTGGAGGACCCGCAAAACCACCTGGCTCTGGGCAGTCTGAGCCTTCAGCACCGACACTGCTTCATTGTACGTCAGCTGTGTCAAGTCCGCTCCATTGATACTGAGCAGGACATCACCTACAACACAAATGCTTTCAGTAAGAGCTCTAATGTGCAATGTAGTGCCATAGACTTCAAGTTGTTGTACCTCTTTTGATAGTGCCCTCTCGATGTAGGCAGCCAACGGGCTGTACACTGGTGATGTAGACAGGCAGACGGCTGCGGCAGTCTCTGCCTCCAGCAATAGTGATGCCCAGAGAAAGTCGAGGCTCCTTCTTCATGCTAACTGTTTTCTCTTGGCTAGAAAAGCCACCTGGAGGGTCCTAGATGAAATTTAAATTTTTTTTTTTAAAATAACTTCATGCTTTTGGTGAGTGACCTATGCAAGAATCAAACTATCTGGCAAATTGACACCACATAGCTCTTTGCCTCAGAGATGTTACGGAAATGTCTTTTGAAAACCTTCTTTTCTGAAAACATCATTCTTTTTACAGACAGTAAAATGAATATATATATAGAAGTAAAAATATAATGCATGTTTTCAATGTGAACTTACTATGTATTTAAATATTAATATTGATATCGACTAATATTATAAATACGTATTCAATTCATAAGTATGTTGCTGAGAAATTTAGCATTTTGTTTATACAGATAATGTCAGAGTACACAAGTAGAAACAAATGTGAAACATTTTAGGTACAGCTGAGAGTCTCAGTTAATGTGTGAACTTAGACGCTAATCTCTCGTAACTGAGACGTGATGAAAATAACAGCTTTAGTTTGAACTTCTTGTACCAAATCAGTTTCTGAGGGGGAAGCAGGGGGAGGAGGTGATGCTTTTCCTCCCCCCAGCAGGAAACCCATCCCCCCCAACAAGACGCAAAGGCTAAACTCGGCAGGCGAAAGCTAACTGTTACCAGCTTTGATCCTGTTCCATCCAAAGAAACAAGGAAAAACAACAAGACAGTGGTTTGTAGCAGCAGAGTGAGTAGCCCCAGGCCTTTTGATCAGGACAGAACAGACCATACAGGGGGCAGGTGTCCTCCTTCTGAAAAACCCACCCCCCAGTGAGGCCCACACATCTTCTTTACTGTAAATGCACAGTCTCAAAGCTGTCATGAGAGCAATTACACAGGTGAAAGGCATTAGATAGAGCTCCTGACAACAGTCAACTGTCGGCTGGTTATTTAACAGAAAAATCACAGTATGTTAGGGCCAAATGACTGAATTGAAACTTTTGGATCTAGAGTTAATCGCTTAGTGCCTTTCAATGCTTCAGCTCCAGGGCTACATGAGTAAGTGACGTCATCCAAGCAGAGTGAAAGTAAATAATTATCAAATAATTATGATTAATATTATTCTAAAAAAGATTAATTAATTTATTTTTCACTAAACCACCATCACCAGGTACAGTTAAAGTGGGAATTCCAGTAAGGATTATAAAGACCTCACCATAACTCACCTTCATAAATGTGGACCGGCGTCTAAAGTACTGAGGGTCAGGGGCTCTTCTGGGAGCTCTGGCAGACTGGCCCTCATCTGAATTCTCTGCTGCCCTCATTACCACAAAGTTCACGCGCACCTCACTGGCCTTCATGCAAAAAAAAAAAAAAAAAAAAAGCAATCTTATAATAGTTATACAGTCCTAATTTTATTTTTATGACATTTAATACAAAACATTCATTGCCATTCTTAACCAGCAGTCTGACTGACAACTGAACAAATTCCTGTGACTTTATCTGTGTGTGAATCTTTATTATGCACTAGTGTTACCTGTATGATCTGGGCTGCGCTTTCTGGTGTGCCATGCCTTAAGTCCTGTCCATTGATAGCCAACACTTTGTCATTGTTCCTTAGTTTTCCATCTTTAGCGGCCAAACCTCCAGAGAGCAAATCCAGGATAAAGACTCCGCTCTCGTCTGACTTTCGGATGAGTTTGATGCCAAGTGGTTCAGATCGGTGGGTTTTCATGAGCGTGACCTGCAGCACTGTGCCCGGGTTGGCATGAGTGGGCTGGGTCTGGGGGGCAGAGGACGTGGAGGGGTTGTTGCTATGGAGGTCAGACCTGGGATCTCTTATTTTAAAACCCTTTTCTTGCATCACGGTAAGTCTGAGCAGGGAGGGCTGTCGTAGCAGAGCGATGGCCCGGGAATGAGGGACGGATGCCAAACTGATGTCATTTATCTGGAAATTCAAACCAAGAATCAGCGATTGTAAACAGTTTACATGCTTCCAGTGTGTGACAGAAATCCAATGACAACAATATATATATTTTTTTAAACAATCAGTGATATCTATTGGAACTAGAAAAAATTTAGATGAAACTGGGAAAGGAACCATTAAATATCTGCTGTAGAAGTGTAGTAGGAGTGTTTGCTTTCTTTTCCAGTGTGACAGACAAAAAAGTCCAACTGATGCAGGGCAAAGACTGGGACATCTTTGGGCTCAGTTTTCATGAGAACCACATTCCTTGAGAGCCGCAGGAAAGCAATTTGTAACAGTGCTGTATGAGTGATGAAAAGATGAACTCCACTATGAATGTAACTAATGCTGAAACTATGAATTTAGGATGTTTTTACACTTAATACTTTTGAAGATGATAACTGCAAAGTCTGGCATAAAAATCTAAACTTTGTTTGCAAAAACTAATCTCAGAAAAGCCATGTGCTTTACTCATTACCATCAGGATAAAACACGTTTTTCCAGCATAGTCACTTTACACTCTTTGCTGCAAATCCTTGTTTATAGTGACATGTGCATACTGTTTATGCAACAGCAACTAAAATTTTACTTGCTCAATAAATGTTATTACCTCCAATATATGATCTCCCGGGGCCAGTCTGCCATCACGAGCTGCTATAGAGTCTCGAATAATCTCCTGGATCACAATGTTTCCTAATGGAGTGTCTTTACCACCCACGATACGAAGCCCCAGTTCCTCCTCAGGCTCTTCTCTGAGGAGATCCACTACATTGGCCTCTGCCACCAAACTCGACCGCAGAGGAGTGTTGTCTAAAAGAAAACAACATTAAAGCAGAGGCTAGTTTAGGTCCAAAACTAAAAAGACATGTTCAGTAGATGCAGTGCTTAACAGGACACTAAATATTCTAGCATAATGTCAAGTTTTGTATCAGTCAAAGTAAATAAGACAGTTCATTCTCACATAACATCAATAGATGCTTTCTAAGGTACTGCTGCCTGACAGCGTGCCAGCTTTGGGCTGATAGAAAAATACCAAGGACCATAGGCCCTTTCCGAATCCATTTACTCCTCCTTTTTCCTACCCACTTCTACTAACTCCTCACTGAATGTTCCTTCACATTAAAATGAGAATTAGTGAGTAGGAAAAGGAAGGAGGATAAAGGAGAGGGGAGGCAGGAGCGGAGAACTGGTTTCAGATTTGCCATCTAGTTATATGCGGTACCTGCTTTAAGGGGTTTAGATTAATTGTAGCAATAAAAACTTTATGTCTAAACATAAGCAATTGAAGATTTGTGGTTATAATTTATTTTTATTGATTACTGTGATATTATTTGTCCCATACCTTCCTCACATTCCTCATAAGCAGGATTGATAAGTCCAGGGTCTGGCTGATCTCTACTGGATGTCCGTGGTAAAGCGGTCTGTTTAGCATCACCAGAAATGTCTCCGTCCCCCCTTCGCCCCTTTAACTCATTCCACGAAGGACGCTTCCTCTTTTCAGCTTCCTCTCGCAATCTTCGAAAAACTGGACATCTACGAGGGAAGAGAAGCAAAACAGCTACAGCTAGCTACAAATATTTTTAAATAAAAAAGTATTAATTAAGAACAGCAATGCTACACTGTACATTTTAAATAGAGTTAGTAATTGATAGGATTTAGTAAAGCATAACAAAAAGCAGGACTACTGCTGCTTCCTGAAGCCTGAACTTTGCTCTTGTTGTGTTAAGTGACATCATCTGCCCACAGCTGACTTCATTCTTGGCCACAGAGCTGATAATCACTTCAGTGGAAAACACACGGACACTTAAAATATCCTGATAACGAGCATGTTCTCCTTTCAGTGACAAACAAGTGCATAACCTTTTAACATGTAAAACTCTTTCCTTAATTAGTAGTCTCTGATTAGACACTTCTCTGCAGTAGTTAAACTGTATAGTCCTGAGAAGGTCCAGGGGTGGTGAAGGTGTAGAGCAAGTAAGTGGTCGTACCTGTTGTGGAGGTGGGGCTGTAGCTCACAGCGCTGCATCTGGGCCTGACACTCTGTGGAGTGTGGGCAGGCCACACTCAGCTTGTCCAGCAGGTTCCTCACCAGCAAACTGGATGGACGGCACTGCTGCAGCTGCAGTCTCTGTCGGTCCACAGGGCAGAAGTCCTGCTCCTTCAGAAAGTTACTGAGGCAGTGGAAGCAGTACGTGTGCCCACAAGGGGTGTCCATGGGGCGCAGCAGCGGCTGGAGGCAGATGTGACACACCAGCTCGTCATCCACATCGTCCTGGTACTCGTACAGGTGGCTGTCCTGACACTCGTGCTGCTGGCCACACTCTTTACACACACGTGCCCATGACAGACCCATGCTGCCACTGCTACCTGCAGCTTTGGTCTCTATTGTAGACATAATTTTTTCCAGTCCAAATAACAAAAAGTCTGCAAAACTCTTCAAAATAAGTACAATTTGTACAGTCTATGGGTAAAAGCAGAGTAACAGTCCATTATCGCCCACAGTGTTATCTCCAGGTCTTCATTCAGCTTTTTTCTGTTAAGAAAAAGAGAAACACTTTTAGGTGAATATCAAAGTTGGACTCGTCCTCTTAACTCCAACTAGATTCAGAGGAAGTGACAAATCCACACAGCAGCAGCAATATGGCAGCAAGCCGCAGCTGCTTCCTCTCAGCAAGTTTCCTGAGGGACAAAAGGAATTCTCATCTCAGCAAAACTCTCTGGTGCGCTTTAATTGAAAAGAGCTAAACTGTGGAAACGGTGGACGGGGGAGGCGACTAATAAGGAGTCTTAAGTCAAGCCTCCAGTAAGGAAGGGAACAAAGCCTTGGTATGAGTGGTGAAAATTGTGGTCAGAAATACAATCCCGTCAGTAATGACCCTCTGCACTCAAACGCAGCAGTCCCATAACCACAGTGCAGTTTCTAATCTCCACTAATTCCATTTCATAAGGGCAGTGCTGATTAGGAAGGCATTCTTCAGATAACTTTTAGCTGCACAGTCCAAAACATCTTAACACAGTTTTAACACATAACAAAATTAAAATATATGTTTGTATGCAGAATGAGACCATCTTTAACAACAAAAAACTTTTACTTACAGTACATTTACATCTAATAATCATACACTTATTCTGTTGTAACTAGCTGCACAATTTGGGAAAAAACATGCAAAGAAATTAAAAAAAAAATTGCAATATGAACTGACAACCTAATAAGAATCACATTTTAGAACATGTTTGTACAGATCTAAACTACAGAGTTAGTATTTTTATGCAGAACTAAGACAGCTATTCGTGAAGGAAATTATGGTACATCAAAAATTGCAGCCTTTATGATTTGCTAATTGTGTCCATTAAAATTTTGATTCAGTTGCAATTCATCTTGCATCCCTTGTTGCAACATAAACATATTTCTGGAAGAGACCACAGTAGCTTTGGGGAACTAACCTAAGACAATGATATCTTGCACCACATCACTAGACTATAACCTCACAGCTCCATTGGCCGCCTGAAGCCTGAATGAAACCAGAGCTGCTCCATAACACAATTATGTGTGTAATACTTTCGTGCTCAGAGTTGTGTTTGTGTGTGTATCTGTGTTTGTGTGTGTGTGTGCCCGGCCGCTCTGCTGTGGGAAAAGCAGGAGAGATATGGTTATAACAAGGTAGACTGGAGACATACTGAAATCCATGCAGTAAGGAAGTTTTTGTTTTGGGCAGCAGTTTAAGATGCTGGTGCAATCCCCCTGGAGGAACTAACACCAACCTTCACTTAAAACACACAAACATACAAACACTATGAGGTCATCCAGGCCACTGCTCTCCTTCCCTCTGCCTTTTACTTTGCAAAAGTGATACCTATTCCTGTAACAGATAGGGGCCACCAATCCTGACTGTAATAGAGCCAAAGGGACAAGACACACAGAAATCATAGGATTTCTTGTCAATATCATTCACTCTTATTCCAATTCCTTCTGCTTTAATAAAGGTTAGATAGGACCCGTAGGATTTCCCAGAGGAAGTAGCCCATCTTGATTAGTCACTGCTTTGACGGAGGACAGGCTATGACCTCCGACTTGATTTGCGCTCCCAGTTTACGGTCTCTGGAGGAGGGCTGGGTCCAGTCGAGCAAGCTGATAACAAACAACTCCTCAAGGATGCAGAAAATCTATATATTTGCTCATCTTACTATGGTCCTCATCTTCCATAGGGAGTGACATGCAAAAAATCTATTTCTTTCCTTGAATTTTCTATTTTATTGTTTCTTCCACACTATATAACCCAACTTATTTGGTTAACGTGACAGTAATTGTAAATAATCATAAAATTGTCTGAAACTAAATTGCAACAAAAAAGTTGATGATGATTGTGATATCTTTAGAAAGATGGTAACGCCACCACTAAATCATCAAATGCATGCTAATGCAACCATCATTTGGCTAAATATAACAACTGTACAACAAGTAAAAGTTTGAGCAAAGCTCAGAGAACATTGGATTGAGGAAATTATTATAAAATAATTATAATTATCATGTGACGTGTTGCTGAGTAAATGTCCGGTAATGTCTCTGAAGGATTACCAACAGAGGTGCTCTTCACGGCTGAGTCAAGTCACTGGCTGTGGTGGCTCATATGCAAGTCACGTGTAACAACACACCCTCAGTTAACACAGGTGAGGCCATGGTAATAACACAAAAATACTTTACTTCTTCAGCATAACAAAAAGGCCAAATCCAGTAAGATTGTGAACTTCCGACAAAATGAAAATTAACAGGTCAAAGGTTTTATTTACATGTAAAGTCAATATTTGCATTCAGACCCAACTCCTACAGCCACATTACATAAGATTTCAATAATATGGACAACTAGACATAAGACTACACATCAAATGCCATCTGCTTCTATTACATCATTTACTGTTTGTCTAGAGATGGTAAAGGGGAGATCTAAATGTCCAGACTTTTACAATTAAGATTTTACTGGTGTGGCTTTACTTTGCATGTTCTCAAGTTTCTGAAGCCTGGACCAGTCCCACTACACACTACAATCAAGAAAACTCTTTTCCACAGACCAGGACAAAATTAGTGGATGCTCCCTATATATTTGCACTTGAAGTCAAAGAGTTGTCTGCATTTTCTTCAGTGCCAGGTGACAGACAATGACAAATAACAAAGGCTCCAGCAGGAGTCCAAAAGTCTGTTTTAATAATTAATCTATGTTCTAGGTTTCTTGTTTCTCTACCATATTAGTCCATCTTATTTGTAACAATATTTGTAAAAACAGCTAACCTATCAGGGCCAACTATAAAACAACTTGACCAAAACCTGGGAAATCCCTCCTTGTCTGTAGTGTGATGAGGCACAGCACCATAAATTACTTAGTGTCCTGTCGGTCTGTGTTGGTTTGTTTCTCATCTCCACAGCGATGTGACAGATGCAAACCACTAGAAAGGTCATAAATGTGGGTTGTAGACTTTTTTGACAGTCAAGCTGACATTATTATGACCCTCAAAGTGGTCAAACTCTAATCTCGCTGACAAGGCTACACCGACACAGCACAACGCATGAACTCACCTTGTTCACGTAAACAAGTTAACATTTTCATGACTTTTTCACAACAATTGTTACACTAATTGAGATTACTGATCCAAAATGTAACAAGTCAAGTAAGTATTAAATGGTTGAGAGCTTTATAGTTAGGTGAAATGTATTTTGCGAGTTGAGAGCGAAACTCTTCATATCTTACCTGTGTGGAGGAGGTCTTTTACCGGAAGCAGCTAACTAAAGCTAGCTAAGATACGACACTGAAATCCACAAAGAAAACGCCCATGAAAGATCCACGAAACCCAAAACACGCAGGACTGTGTCTAATCCACGCCACACAGCACGGCGGTACCTTGGTAGAAAAGGTCTCGCCGCGGTTTCGTCAGGTGAAGCTCTCTGGACCTAAAGGACTGGGCGACTTTCCCAGTTTCGAGCAAATGTCCCGGAGCACAGCGCGCACCTCACTGGAGCAGCACACAGGAAGAGTGCGGCGCGGCACGGCACGGAGCGGCACGCAGGTAGCGCCGTGCTCACCGTCCTGGACCAGCCTGCAGGGAGCACGGAGCAGCTGAGGATCTGTAGAAGAAAGATCCTCAATAATCCACCCTGACCCGATACACAAAAATATTATTATTAATAACATAAATAATAAAGATATGCATTATTTACAGGCCTCCCTTTATTGTGACGCAAAAGTATTTTACGTATTAATTAGAACAGACACCAAGACGGTAGCACAGTTAAAACAATATCCTGACCTAGGCCATAATTTGCTTTCACGAAATCTCAAAATTAATGGGCAACCTTGAGGGATTTCTTATACATAGGTAGGCTACAAATTGCACTCAAACATTACAATGTGTGGAAGGTGAGAATTAAATCATTATATGGAGTATACAGAAAGTGAGATTCATACAGGCCATGGTACAGATCAAATTTGAAAATCCCCTTATCATTCCCATGGATTTTCCCTAAAACACCTGACTCCAGTTTTTGAATCCTTTGGTACTCTAACATTTGCGTCTGCCTTATAGATTTAATGTAATGGTAAATGGTAACAAGTTGAATACTGGAATACTTAGAGAGAGAATAGAGAAAAATCAGATTTGAAATTCCACCGAGATCATTTTGTAAATACAAAGTGTAAAGCAGCAGTTGAGAGGCATGGACTGACAGAAATTATATTGTTTGTTTTTTCCCATTTCAAACTTGATGTCAGTTACTCAAAATTATATACATGGAATGTTCAATTAAGTTAAAAAACTGCATCATTTGTGGGTTTGTTTAGCCCATTGATCTAATTTTTATTAAAAAAAATTTTTAGAATACATATGTGGGTTATAGCGTTGGCCAACGGAATCACTTCTTTTTAAGAGAATTTAATTGATATAGAATGTGTTCTTATAAGTCACAGTCATTAATGTGGCTTAGAGGTATGACATAAAAACGTTAATGCTGCAATTCCTAAAATCTCAACCAGGACAAATCTAGATTTTGCAGAAACAGAATAATACACCACAAAACATTTAATCTGGACAGTTTTAGGAAATTATATTTTATATTTGATCCATTTATTTTTGCAGTAAAGTGCAGTTGTGTGCCAACCCAGAACTGCTTGTATAGTGATTGCACAACTCTTTCCACTGTCTTATGTTTGATATTATGTTTTCCAAAGGCTGGTGTAGAAATATGAAAGGACAGTGACATTTGAGGGTGGTAGAAGATACACTACCCCCTGCAGAAAGGAGGGGAAGTCTGTGTGCCATAAAACCTCTCTGTTTTCACCAGGATTTATGGCTCTGGAAGGAAACCTCAAAACCAAGTGGCATTTGCTGATTCCAGTCACAGAATCAGACAGTTAACAGTGTTAACATGGTCCCATCAGTCAATATTTAATTATTCTGCACCAAAACCTTTTAAAATGTACATTGGAAAAACTATACACTAACTTTATACCAACATATGGCATTTTTCCATCCTTAAGACTCAAATATTAAACTAATCCCACTGGATATTTAGCGGCAAACTTACTTGACCATTTGTCCATGCTGTTTTGTTTCAGACTTGACATGTATATTTCCTCTCAAAAACTGAAGTCTAATGAACGGAAATTATTAAAAGTGAATTATGTTTTATAATTCCAAGTGTATAGTACGAAGATGAGTGCATTAATACAACAGTTAGTACAAGAGTGACACCATGTGGAAAGAGGTCAGTTATTAATATTTCTTTTGGTTCAACTATTGGAGTAAAAGAAAAAAGCATGACTTCAGTGTCCAAAAACTAAAAGTGGAACTTGTTCAGTCCTTTTTCTACATGAAGTTTTCAAGTGTCATTTGTATCTGATGGGAAGCTATGGTGAAGAGACCAAATAAACTGTGAACAAACACATACAGCCCATCCTGAGACAGTGCTGCTCTCTCTCGCGCGCACACACAGACACACACACACATGGAGCACAGCAACCAACAAACACGAACGTGGCTGTTTGTCTTTCCTGGGATCAGTCAACATCCTCTACACAAACATGTGCTCACAATCTTACACCATCAGCACGGGCAGCTGCACTCTCACTCTGCCACAGCTTTGATCTGCTCCTAGAGCACTGATAATGATGCCACGCACACCTCCTATAGCCACAAAACAGTGGTGCAAAAGCGGACTAATGGCTCTGTACAAGTGAAAGTGAAAAACACTGTATAATTCATTGTATTTGTGTCTATTACCATTTGGACCTCATATTTGTCATTCATCTGTAAAGCCAATGTAATATGTAGACACTGTGCGTAAAAAAGCAATGGTAGCCGTGGGCATTTTGTTTACATGTTGCTAAGAGACAGGGGAAGCTAACATCTGCAGTAACTCGCTAACCCACCCCCTGTAGCCTCAGGCAAAATACAGAATCTTGCCTTTAGCAAGACATCAAGGCATTTGGTTCAAGCTACAGCTTGTAATGCAGCCCCGGGTACAGCTCAGCCTCCATACAAAACTTTTTGGCTTCCCAATCCCACAACAATGTCATTTTAACACCGGCTGAACTTAAATGCATTAGTATTAGTATTAGTATTAGTATTAGTATTAGTATTAGTATTAGTATTAGTATTAGTATTAGGGGATGTTAGAGATCTTTGTCACTAAAATGATATGTAAACAGCAAATTAATCTCTTTGGTTTCTGATCATGGTTATTCTGATCATTAACGTCAGTTTTTTGCATTTTGCAAGTAATTTAAATAATCTCAGGTCCAGAAATCAAATTTTGGTGTGCATGTAAACAAAGCCACTGGCTGTAAAGCTGGTACTTTACAATGTATGATTTTAGCATTGAACATATATGTTGTGTGTATATGTTCTGGTAATGTATTCAGAATGCTGAGCCTTGTTCTGTCCGTATGTGTCTGTATATTTGTTTGCAGAGTAAATGTGTGTCATGATCTTCAATGGCTTGTTTGTACCTGCTGTTGACCTGCTCGTCCTCCCAGCAGGACCCCCTGTATCCCAGGATTAGTCTCTCCAACATCAAAAGGCCACAGTGATTCTTATCAGATAATATTCTTGGCGGGCTTCCCTCCCCTTTGAGTGCAGCTCTTACACTGTTGACCTGGACCATGTACACTGTGCTCTGGCCCTTTGGGCTTTCCTCATCTTATCACCAAGATGACCTGGCTGTGATAAGACAGCTCAGCCTCAGGATTTCTCTGACCACCTCACCTGCATAACTCACACATGCGTACAGTATAAGATTATTTTATTTTTTGTGCTATTATATTTTCTCATGGTGGCCATACCTGTTTGATCAAATTTAAATGCTAAATTATTAGGACAATAAATTAAATGCATAATAAAATTGACAGGGGGAAAAATTGACAGGGGGAATTAATTAAAGCTTTTTCAGAGTATAGCAAAAGAACAGGGGTGTACAAATTTTCAGGGAGGGCAGACAGACAGAGCACTGGTGTCCAAAGTCATGACCCTGCCCTGACCTGGTTGAAGGAAATGGTCACACTGCTTCAGACAAAGCAGTGCTCGGGAGAGTCTGGGGGGCTGGCTGGTCAGCATAGAACAATGGATCTGTGCTCTAAGACCAATAGCCACACAAAGGCCAGAGAAACCCCCCAATTCCCATTGCTACATTGTAATAGAACTGGCATTTCACACTGGCCTGTGAACAGCCATTCAATCAAACTACTGTTTAACCTGACCCCTGCCTACACAAAAATTTCAGGTTTTAGATGACTGACCTTAGTGACCCTCTATAGCATCTTACACTAATAATTCCTCAAAAAATTCTTGCAGGTAACTTTAGAAAATAAAGAAGCTTAAAGACACAATAAAAACAACTACAGTAAATATTGCTGTCAATATGCATGTAATCAATGGAAGACACAATAAATAATGTTTGTATTGATAGGTGCACAACCCAATAATTCCTGAGGGAACAGGAGACCTCAGCAGACCCTCCGTCTGGGTCAACACCCCCCAAGCCAGGGCAAAAGGAAGCAAGCACATGACCCTTTCTGTGGCTAAAATACTGCTCCTCCCTGTTACCTGTCCAGGGCCTGCATCAAGGTGTGGGGGCTGCATATCAAACACACAGGGCCCTTTGAAGTGGATGGAAACACAAACACTGATCTGAGAAGAGTCGTAACAGCTTATTTGTTCCCTTTAGTCATTCATGGAGCTCATTGTTGAATGTGTATGTCTTCAAAGAGGGGCTGCTTGCTACAGTGGTACAGTAGCCAAGGAGGTCCTAGGGCTCTGTGCCGACTGCTTGGAGAAAAGGCCATCTGGCTTCCTGTTTCTTAGATTTGATATTGATTTATTGGATGTACATTGGAAGATAAGGGCACACCAGCTGTCAGAAGTTCAGTGTGCCTAATTTTGTCTACATCCTTTGTACTCAGATTCACTAAAAATATTTGTTAACAATTATTCCTAGCCACACATTTCAGAATATTCACTAGTTTATAAATAAAATATACATAAACTGATGAATTGTTGCTCTACAAATTTAAAATATTATACTGTGTGATACTGAAAAACAATCATACAATCATCAAAAATAAACTTAATCCAGTCACTGTAATAAGAAAAAATAAGTAAAAGTGCTATTTCATTAGCAGTAGAAATAAGTGTTACTAATTATAACTAAATATCAAATCCATTATACACAAAAGCATCAGTGGCTATTTATGAGTGATTTTACACACTTTTTGTTAGTTAATTTATAATGCTTCAGAGGTGAGAAAACGGTAACCTGAATGTTTGCTGTAATAAAGATTGTCCTTAGTAATGAGGTGAAAAATTGCATTTACTATTCCTAACAAACGCTTAGCATTAACAGTGAAACCTATCACAGAAACCATTAATGCAGAATTAGGCCCTTATAAATAACAAGTCGATCAGTGCTGTGAAGTGAGCCGGAGAGGGGCAGCAGTTGGCCTGGGCTCTGTATGCAGAAGTGTGAACATGGTGCCAGGATGACTAATACTTTGTCTTATTTTTCTCACTTGTGTGCCCCCACACTTTGAAAGGACCTAACATACAGACAGGGCATGGTGTCGACTCAGGCCTGTTCCTCTTCCCTCCCCCCACCCCTTTCTTTCCTTTCTTCCAGCCCTCTGATGTGACTGTCTCAGATAATGAGGTGAGAATTTTATTGCACCTTGGCACCAGTCTGTGAGGACAGGGACCCAGGCCAGACACAGCAGTGCAGGACATGGGCGCCCTCTGTTGACCACTGCGGAGTAGATATACACTGTGGATTGTGAGGTCACGAAGATGTACTTCAAAGTGAGAGATCAAGGACTGACTTGCGCATGACAGGAGGAGAATGACAATGCCACAGCCAGACTACACCTACTGTCACATGCTCATCCCACAAACACAAAGGGATGCAGGCAGCTCTCGCACTACTTTAGAGGAAGTGCACAAGTAGGGGGGCCCACAGTACATACAGGAAGAAGGCAGTGCTCTATCTGAATTCTATACAAATACAAGCTTAGGAAAAGGTCAGGTTAAGAGCCAAAGGAAGGGCAGACAGAGGAGACAGAGTGGCAGTTTCATCTTGTTTGATTACTGAAGCATATTGATAAGATAATGAGATACAGAGAGAATCCACATGCTGCATCTCTTCAGTTAGTGTTGTTATCAGTGTGAGGGTCTTGTACTAAATCATCAGTGTCAATAGTATGTCTTCTATAACCACTGATATAAGCCAATCATATATGAATTATAGCTTTTGTGTCAAACAGTTGAGATTATATGTTTTCACTATTAATTGTATTTAACTATTATATTTAGAAAATGTAATACATCAGGCAATAACTATATAAATAATAGTTAACAAATATTCTAAGAAGAAGTAACTTTTAGTATATGGAACTGGAGAATATTCCTCTCACTCCCTTTTCAGACTATATAATTGTGTAATGAAATAAGTAGGCCTAAATATATATGATCAAATATATGAATTTGTTTATTTGATTTATGAATTAGTTCACTCCTGGACGAATGATAGTTACATACATTCTCAAAATCTGATTAATAGCACATTTTTTTGAGTTATTAACTATTTAAATTACATGTAAACAGCAAAATTATCTAATTTCATTTCTATCATAGTCCCTCTGATTACTCAAATTATTCAGATTTTGAGGTTTGCATGTCATTTAAATAATCTTAAAAGTCCAGAAATCAGAAAATAATCTGATTTTGGTGAGCATGTGAACAGAGCCACTGATAATTATGATCTCTAATGATTCATATAGGAATCAAACGGATCACATGGAAAAGTCCACATGCAAAAACACACTCTCACCATGCCCGCCCAGTCAGTGAAGCAAGTGAAGGGGGTCTTGTAGACAGAACCATGCATGTTGTCATCCCAGCAGGAGAGGGAGTCAGCCTGGTGAGCCAGTACAAGGAAAAAACAAACAATTCATTGACAAAAATGGCAGCCATTGATCCCTGCTGAGAAGTACTAGTCATGCATTAAGCGTGATCTTACATGTGTAAATGATAAATTAGGAAATAGGCAAGTGCCATTCCGAAATATATAATAAAATCCAAAACACCCCCAACATATCTGTAAAATATCATAATATAGATCATCTTTAACAGTGATTATGAATTGATTGCATATTAAGACGTCACCATTCTGATCAGCATAGACTGAAAAACTCTTTAAGAAAGAAGTTAATTCCAAAAAATAAAGGATAACAAAACTCTCTCTCTCTCTCTCTCTCTCTCTCTCTCTCTCTCTCTCTCTCTCTCTCTCTCTCTCTGTCTGTCTCTGTCTCAATGTTTGACGTAAAATTCAAGTAAAATGGAAGAAAATGTAATTTTCTTACTTGATGTTTGATGCATTTGATGCAGATTTGGTAAAGATAAAGTACAACCAAGGTTACACAGAGAAATAATCAAGTTGTAGCCTAAATGTAAAGGCAAAATATGATGTCGTGTGAGTAACCTACTTTTAAACTATAAATATGAGCTACAAATATATAAACACTTACCTGATGGTTCAATGCCACATTTCAGATCGACTCGCCTTTCCTTTCCCTTATGGCAGTCAAATAAAGTGTAATAATAATAATAATAATAAAAAGGCAGCGTTGTGAATGTAACTCATCAGTCACTTCATTTTAAGAGGATAATATGTACATTAAAAGTGCATTGCGTAACTTTCTGGTGGAGGGACCGTTAAATGCTTTACTTCATGTTAGAATATTTCACAGTATGATGTTAAAACTTTCTATTTTCATGGAGACCAAACCAGACCAAGTTACGGTCAGATCTGTGAAAAGGCAATCCGCTCCTTGTCAGAGTGCTTGTTCTTCTAGATATTTTGAGTTATAAATCGACCTACAGTTGAATAAATGTAAAGTAGAGCTGTTTAATGTCATATTGTGAAACATTCCAGACAAAGCAATAACATCTCCATGAAGAAAATCATTTGAGGGACCCTCCACCAAGTTACACGATGCACCTTTAAATTATACGCGTATCAATGCGTAACAGTGATAAACAAAACTCTTTTTACTCTTTGTTATTATAATATATTGTGATGTGTGAGTTACGTTGTCCAAGTCATTTCCCTTGTGAATCAATAGAGTTTGCCTTAGTCCAAGTCTAAGTCTAAAATAATGATAGTGTCTGCCTACCTTAGAAATGCTTTGAACCTGTTATATACTAAAAGTAAAACCATTGGTGCCATCTGGTGGTCGGGACATGCCCTGTCAGTTTATGTACAGGAAAAGGTTGTAGGAGTTTGTCACTGGACACTGCAGCATTGGACAAGAGCTCAATTCGTCTGCCTTTCTATATTTGGATACTTAAAGATTAACATTTTTTCCGGGGCAACTACACTTTAATCGTCGGGTTTTTTGTTTTGTTTTGTTTTTGCTTTTTGTCGAAGGGCCAGAGATTATGGCCGCAGTAAAAACGGATAACAGACTGACGAGCTCTCAAAGCTTTGTATGTGTTGGATTTGCTGGAATATTCAGTAAAACTTTTACTTCTCCATTGGAGGTGGTGAAAATTAAAAGTCAAGTGGGGACTTTTCACTGCAAAAAAGGCTTCTGGCAAAGTTTTGTTCTGGTCTATCAGAACGAGGGACTCCGGGCGTTTTGGAAAGGAAATCTTGTCTCTTGTCTACGGTTGTTTCCATATACAGCGGTTCACATCACTACATACAAACAGTAAGCATTTAGGTCATATCTTTTAACTATTTTTTATAAGTTTGTTTTGTTTGTTACCTTAAAGCCAAGACTTAACACTTAACTTGAGCTAACAGTGAATAGTGTCTTGAAATTCTTTATTTCAGCAATATTATCCACAATATAATATAAGTGACCCAAATAGAATAGTATGGTTTTTTTTTGTTTTGTTTTTTTTTATCATTTTGCAAACCATTTTAACTTATTTTTCGAGTTTGTTTGGTAGGACATACTTCCTTATATTTTCAGCCAATCAGAAGGGAGCATTTGCTCATTCGATGTTTAAAGGTATTTTATCCCACAGTTTTACCTGACAGGTTTAAACGTAGCACAACGTACCACGATATAAAGTAGTATTGTACGATGCTGTACAATTTATATATCGATGCAGGAAACATTACAGTTTATTATCTAAAAAAAAAATTGTAAGATTTTTGTAACAATTGTAACAATGTTTTTGCCTGTATGCCAAAAAACGGGTTGTAGTGTAAGTGAAGGATCTCTGGCCAGGTTACTTCAGAGCAAAATTACAGACAATGCATAAAGCCCATTAAAGTATATTTATAACCTAATTTTATGTTAGCTTTCGAGAGAGTAGATCATAAGCAAATGTAATCTGACCATGTAGCAGACACAGTAGTTTTCAAATCAATGTACTAAGTACATTAAGTAAACGACATTGGTGGTTATAATCTACTCATTGCACTAGAATAAAGATAACACAGTGAAAGTCACATGCTATGGCACTTCTTATTGGGTTGGTTATAATAAATCAGTCGATTAAATCTCATTGCATGAGATTGTTTTCTATGTGAAAATCTGGATAACCTATGTAAAATAAAATACAATAATGTATGTAAGGTCCAAACATAATTAATCAATAATGAAAATCTACAAAAAGGTGTAATGCATTGCAATGTTCTCTGTTTTAAGGATAGTTCATCTTCACATGGATGAAGCGGGCTTTATTTCCCAGTGGAGAGCCATATTCGCTGGTGGGTTAGCAGGTGTTGCAGCTGCACTCACCACTTACCCCCTGGAGGTGGCAGAGACCAGGCTGATTGTGCAGAACAGCAGAGAACCCACATATATTGGCATAGTTCACACTATCTCGAAGATAAACAGAAATGAAGGTCTATTTTCTCTCTACAGGGGATTCTCTCTGACAGTCCTCGGTGTGTATGCATAATGACAATCCTCTACATAAATAACAAAGTAAATAATAATCATCTTAATTGCATGTTACTCTTTATGTTTTTTTTTTATTGTCAAAGTCATTGAGTGTTCAGAAATTATCTAGGAAAATGCTTTGGCGATTTTCTTTTCATGTTTTTATTTGTTCCTGATGAAAATGCACAATAGTGCAAAGAATAACAATACATAATGTAAATGTACACAACAGAAGACATATGTTATTAAAATTTTATATTATAATTATTATTTATATTATATTAAACCATAATAACTAAGTGAATTTATATTAATATCAAAGTTATTAACATTAAATAATATTTTAATATTAAGTATTTTTCTTTCGGTAGGAGCGTTTCCATTCTCTGTTGGCTGCTATGCTGTTTACATGAATCTGGATCAACTCTGGCGGGAGCCACAGTTTCGCTTTACCCCCCTACAGAATCTAATAAGTGGCTGTGTTGCTGCTGGTGTGGCTCAAACCCTTTCTTACCCATTTGAAACTGTAAAGCGTAAAATGCAGGTAAGATAAAAAACAGTCTATAAGGTTAAACATAACCCTGCAACCTCATTGACCTTAAACTTACTTTGTCACTTATTACTATGTGGCCTTTAAGAGGGCAGTATAAGAGACCAAAGTCAAGTTTGTTGGGTCAGTAGTGTTACCCTACACTCAAAACACTGAAATGTGCTTGTGGCCTCAGATTAGTGTTGATTACCTTACAGTAACTTCTATTTTTTGTCTGTGCATAGAGCCTCACAGTTTCAATGTACACATAGTGTTAAAAGACAGACCTGTAGCCTACTTGACCATCTAAATGATATAAGAAACAATGGCTCTGCGAAGAGCAGAATACTACATCCGGTTTATCAGCCTATTATTAGCAACCACAAGGTTTAACAGCAGCTGGGAATGTGAATGTGTCCCGTGTCTGCAGAAACTATAGATAAGTTCTCTAAAGATAGAGTGTAACTGTCAAACAACAAGCAAGCTTTATTTCCAATATAGAATGGATGAATACGTTCTTTTCTCACATTTTTAAAGATCGAGTCTTACATTTTGCATAGATAATCAACAAAAATTAAGTAGGCTTTTAACGTTGATGGATTATGGATGGATTATGATTAACTTCAGAGATTCATATTTTCATAGCTCTAAATTCTGAATTAAATCTAAACATGCTGTTCTTCTTTCAACCGATTATTAGTGAAGTTGAAAAGGCACATGAAACACCTTACATGTTACAGATGTTGAAACAAATTACCTATTATTTTCTCTTTTTTAATCCGGATATACACATATGTGTACACATATTATTTATCTTTGTAGGCCCCTACCTGAATTATTGTGACAACTTTAGGGCACCCGCATTGGTATCCAAGGTTAAAATGTTGTGTCCTGGTTGTGTTTTTAACATAGAGCAAGCTTTTAAAACATTTTAGGGTAAATTGGGCTAAATTGTTCTGTTAGTTCTGAATCATTTTTGTTTCACTGTAGGCACAGAGTTCCCGGCTTCCCCATTTTGGTGGTGTTGATGTCCATTTCAATGGGATGATTAACTGTTTTGTTCAGATTGTGAAAAATAATGGTTTCTTTTCACTGTGGAATGGCCTTACAGCAAGCACAGTAAAGGTATGTCTACAGTTTTTACTGATGCACTGTTATATTATTTGTAAGAGCACTAGCTCCCTTGACCTGTCTTAGAAACTATAATGACAACCAAAATAACTGCACTGCACATGCTTGGGAACACGAGTGACTTTATGACGGAGAACAAAATGTAACCTGTGGCCGACTCTGGGCTTTGAGGAGGGAGGGGCGTGGAAAGCTATGCTCAGAAGTACTTCGTGGCAGGAATATAGCAAATAAAATTAGGAACAGCATGACACAATTGTCTTACACTATGTAATGTCATTTTGAAAGGAGAATTGAAGATAAATGTAGATCGACACAATTTATCAACAGGATAAAAATTTACATAAAACTATTGTCTTTACAGATTGTTCCCTACTTTTGCCTTCTATTTACCTGCTTTGAGATGTGCAAACAAGTTTTCCTTTACCGCAATGGGTATATTATCTCTCCCCTGAGCTATAAACCAACACCGGGAGTGGACCAGAGCCTGGGACCTTATGAGCTTGAAGAGGTGAAACGCTACTTGAAAAACAGAAACTTTGAAACAGAAGAATCATCTTTACGAAAATGTTGGTGAATGTCCACTTACACAAGAGGCCTATACAAACCTTTACCATAACCACAAGACCTCTCTTTTCATTTACAATGCTATTTTGTATGTCTGTGAAAACTTTCTAATTTGATGTAAGATGGTTATATTATTACAGTATTGTATATTATTTTGGAATAAAATAATAAATCACCATAACAGTGTTCATCAATAGGCTGACTCTTGCCAGAACATCTATTGTTTTACTTTAATTTAAAGCTCATTAACATTTTGACTATTTGATCTGTAACATAAATGTTTAAAACTTTTATTAAACTCGTTTTGAGATGCACAGTTGACCCTGCTTTTGATTTTAAGTTTCTTTAGTAAAGGGCAGTCTTTATAAGTGCAATGTCTATATTTTTTAATTATTAACAACTATAGGAGCCAGTCAGCTAATCCAATCACTTTTCTTTACTCCACACAGTCGGGACACCAAAGGACATACACAAAAGTGATGACCTTTAGCCGCCATAGTCTCAAGTCATTCATCTCAGCTGTTTCAACTGACATTTGGCACGACCTTGAGCCAACCAACCCTGTCAAAACTAGTTCAAAGTGAAATTGGTACACAAACATATAAAATATTCGTGGAAATGCTTTAGTTAAATAGTCTTCTAATAAGTTGGGATCATAGTGGTTAAACTTATAATTTATGTGAGTGATGAGGCACCGCACCAAATCTGAATCCAAGGACATCGTTTAGACCCGCCCCCTCGCGCCTCCGCGGACCAATCAGAGGCGAGAGTCGAAGTTACCGTTTCCTCTCGCGCTCGGTCCCCTTAAAATCCGCTCTCTTCTACATCGCTCCCGTCCATTTCGACCCCACCAGCAAACTCCTCTGACCACCTCCCCTGAGCTGCTCAACACATCTGAACATGGGTGACCAAGCTATTTCTTTCCTCAAGGACTTCTTGGCTGGTGGTATTGCCGCTGCTATCTCAAAAACAGCTGTAGCTCCCATCGAGAGAGTGAAGCTGCTTCTTCAGGTAAGCGCCGTGTTCAGCTGTGTTCAGTATTTGTGGCTAACCTCTGCACCAAAAGGAGGGACGCTAATCCACACCCATTTGCAGCTTGGGATACATTGTATAGGGATATTAGTGATGAGAGGAAAAGATGATGCGAGATGTGTTTCTAAATATAGACTGAGAACATGCATGTCAAAGATGGTGCAGTCACTGAGGCTCGACGTAATTGTGGCGTATCAGAGTTGTTACGTAATACACCGATCAAGCTGCAGCTGGATAGGCCATTCAATCTCATCAGTGCTATCTAACTGAATCAGTAATGGCGAAAAACGCTGTGTCAGGCTTTTAAATGTTCATATCTTTCACTTTTGGGGTGTAATTCGGAGTGACAATACAACATCCAAGGTCATAACAAGGTTTACGCCATGATTCCCCTCCTCTGCATCGGGCCTGGTCCCAGCAATGGGAGGCGGGGCTGTGAATTGTTGAATGGATGCCGTCACAGGCACGTGTATGCAAATATCGCTGGGGCAGGGAAAGGATTTCACGTTTTTATCTGTGTCTGTACTTGTCTCCCAATGTTAATTCAATGTTTTTGTTTCTTTAGGTGCAACATGCCAGCAAACAGATCGCAGCCGATAAGCAGTACAAGGGTATAATCGACTGTGTAGTCCGTATCCCCAAGGAGCAAGGCTTCCTCTCGTTTTGGAGGGGCAACCTAGCTAATGTCATCAGATATTTCCCAACTCAGGCCCTCAACTTTGCTTTCAAGGACAAATACAAGAAGATTTTCCTTGATGGTGTTGACAAGCGCACACAGTTCTGGAGATACTTTGCAGGAAATCTGGCCTCTGGTGGAGCCGCTGGAGCAACGTCCCTGTGTTTTGTTTACCCCCTGGACTTTGCCAGAACACGACTTGCAGCTGATGTTGGTAAAGCAGGAGCTGAGCGTGAGTTCAAAGGTTTAGGAGATTGCTTGGTGAAGATCACAAAGTCTGATGGCATCAAAGGTCTGTACCAGGGATTTGGTGTCTCTGTACAGGGCATTATCATCTACAGAGCCGCTTACTTTGGCATCTATGATACAGCAAAGGGTACGTTCAAATGAATATTGTTAGTTGGTCAACAAAACTATGCATAATTGTATTTTTCTTGATTTGTTTTTTTGCAGGAATGCTTCCTGACCCAAAGAATACACACATTGTTGTCAGCTGGATGATTGCTCAGACTGTGACCGCAGTTTCTGGTGTTGTGTCCTATCCCTTTGACACTGTCCGTCGTCGTATGATGATGCAGTCTGGACGCAAAGGAGGTAATTGACACAGTGAAGCACTAGTAAAATAATGATTTGGCTAAGGTGTATGGTAATTTTGCATAATGGTCTAAAAAATTTTATGTTTTGGCAGCTGACATTATGTACAGTGGCACCATTGACTGCTGGAAGAAGATTGCCCGTGATGAAGGTGGCAAGGCTTTCTTCAAGGGAGCATGGTCCAACGTCCTTAGAGGCATGGGTGGTGCTTTTGTACTTGTCTTGTATGATGAGCTTAAGAAAATTATCTAAATTTTATCTTCACTGTTCGATTCTAAAGATTTAATTGTAACAATTGTAACATATCTTGTACATTTGGAAGGATTTAAATGATGTGATTGTATTTATTGGGACCAGCTAGTGGTAAGCTACTAGTTGAAAGGAGGGAATCTGTTACGTATGTTTCTCCTGACCATTGCCATTTCTTTTTGCTTGTTTTGCCCACACTAGAATGTTGTTCCCTGAGCACAGGAATGTTGCTGGTATTGAGAAATAAAGGTAACCCTATGAGTAAATGTGTCATTTGTTATTGTAGGCTATGTCGTTCCTGTCAGATTTAAATATTTCACAGCTTCCTCACTGAAATGTAACCTTATAACCAGAACTACCCCCTCAGTTGTAGCTGGAACTGAGCCAATATTTGCGGAGAAAGCTGAGCAGATTACAGTGGTCATTGAGGACATAAGCACTTTACAACAATGGTGTGAAATTATCACAAGCATTATGAATTCTGGTCAACATTATTGTTCCACATTGTTAACCTTGCAAACACCCACCCCACATCACATCACAGTCTAACATGCCATCTCAGAAACTGCTGATATAATGGTTAAAAATTCAATAAATAAATAATCTATTTGCAATTTTCAAATAGATTATTTATTTATTTATTTGTAATTTTCAAATCAATAAGTAGAATTGTCATTGAGACAATGTCCCCTCACATGTTGATTCGCAAATATACTGTGTTGCACAGACTGAATAACTTCAAAGGGGTTGAAGAAAGGTCAGAGGGCTTTAATTAACACCATAATGTTGGACTCAGAACTCACAAGTATGGTGTACCCATTAGCAAAGGGATGTAAACAAATGCCTATTTTGTACGCTTAACTACACTGCTGAAAAAATTTAAAGAAACACTTTGAAAACACATCAGATCTCAATGTGAAAAAAAATACTAGATATCTGTACAAAATATGGACAGGGTAATGTCTTAGGAACAAAAAATTGCCACCTCATTTAATGGGAAAAAAAAATGTCTTCCTACAGAGGGCTTTATTTTATAGACACCCTGAAAACTATTGTACTTAAACCCAATAGTACTGTGTACTATTGGGTTTAAGTCAGGAGATCATGACGGCCAGACTCTTGCCACATGAGGCCAGGCATTGATGTGCATCAGGAGGAACCCAGGACCTACTGCACCAGCGTAAAGTCTGTCATTGAATTCAAGGATTGCATTCTCAAGCCACCCTCATGAAGTTTGTTTCTGATTGTTCGGGCATTCACACCAGTGGCCTGCTGGAGGTCATACTGTAGGGCACAGGCAGGGCTCAGCTTGTTCCTCCTTGTACAAAAGAGCAGATATGTGTCCTGCTGATGGATTAAGGACCTTCTACGGCCCTGTCCAGCTCTCCTCGAATAACTGCCTGTCTCCTGAAATCCCCCCCTTGGAGATTGTGCTTGGAGACACATTAAATCTGGACAAGTTAGACAATCTGTGCAACTTCTGTAGGGTTAAAGAATGGCCTCCCAGTAGTCATGATCACTCTAGCCAAAGCCAGCACTATTGGAAAACCAGCCAAACAAGACCAAGAGAGAGAAACTTGAAATGACCTCCACATGTACAACCAGTCCAGTTTTAGGTGTTGTTTCATTGTTGCCACTCTAGTGCGGCTCTTGTTCATTTCCATTAGAAGAGGTGCATCCTTTTGTTCCTAAGGCATTGCCCTGTCCATATTTGTATATATCCAACAGATTTTCTTTCACATTAAGATCTGATGTGTTTTCAAAGTGCTCCTTTAATTTTTTTGAGCAGTATATGTGGTTTATTCTTTTGGCATTTTGTGAATAAAAACAAAAATGAATGCAAACATTAATGTAAAACTATCTTGTCCTGTTATTATCTGTTATTATAAGCATCCAGGGTAGGCAAACCACTGATCAGCAAGACCTAACCTTTTCTATGTACAGTATACTGTAATTTTATAGGCAATAGAAAATTTGCATTCACATCATGCTGGGAGTGTTCTAAATTTATCTCTAATGGTGGAATAATTTTATCTGTGAGAAACTTGTTCAACAGCACAAATCAGCTCACCTGTCATAGTTTCAGCTAAACTAGTTCTTATATACAGATTGTGTTCAAATGAAGCACAGATTCAAGTCTAAACTAAGTCAAAACCAACAGTTAGCTTCACACCCCAAGGGAATGTTCATCAGCTGCAAAGGCAATCAATCTATCTAACAATTTTTCAATCTATCATTTTATATTTCCAGTCTATGATAGCAATAGGGAGTGCACTTACATTTTACATTACGATGCTGACAAAACCAAATTTAGAAAAAAAAGAGTCCCAAACACCATTAGCCTAGACAACATCCACAGACCTTTTCTTACCTTTGCCAAAAAAAAAAAAAACTTGAATACTTGAAACTAATTGAATAGGTGCTCGTAAGGTCAGCACTGCTCTGTCTTGTCTTAAAAGCATCCTCTGTAATATCATCTACACTGTGGCCTGTAGATGGCGTCACAATTCTGATAATTAAGAGCACACACCCGGGAAGTCCTTGTAGCCAATCACAGGCAGAGCTAAACCACTTTGATGAAGTTCTTGGCCTTTTCCGCTGTTTGATTCCGCTCATATTCATTGTTTCCTTTTTTAAAAATCAGATTTTCGGTTTAGGATGAGGTTGAACGATGGGGGCACTTTTGCATATTATACCGCCCAGTTCAATGTAAGCCACGGCACGCCTGCAAAACAAGCCTCTCGCAAGAACTGAAGATGTATCTATGGCGCTTCTCCATCGCTATAACACTAGGCTTGGTTTGGTATTTTACAGATTGTGGCCGCACTATTGCGCAATACTTTTTAGGTTTTCTTTTATGCTTTACTACCCCGCTGCTATGGGGTAACGCAGGACGAGAGAGCAGCACCCAGACGGACGAGCACAGCCAGGAGAGAAGTCTTCTGGTAATGATTACCCTTGTTGTTCTGAGCTGTTCTGATGGACACTCTGCTGTTATCACCGAACTGGTCATGTGGTGGCAGCTTCTTCTATAAACCCGTGACACACTGTTATTATTGCGTGTGGAGTTTCAGGCAATGGTATGCCACCGCACCATAAGGGTTTAATTATACTTAGATAGCCCTGGGGTGTCTAAACTTCACAAATATTTAAGCGTGTAGCCTGAGGTTGTGGTGCAGGTGACAGGGAGTTCAACAAAGACTTGTTTTGTCATGCCTTCCTGTAATCTTTCTGTATTTTCAGGAAACTATTGGAGAGCAGCTCTTTGGTGACTTGTCAGATGGAGCAAGCGGCAGTAAACCAGAGTCACTGGAGTCCCACTACCCACAAGTTAAAGCCTCTCTGCAGCAAGGTGAGGCATGCTTTTGCAAACTGAAAGAATGGCTTTAAGTTATGACATTTCATAGATGGAAAAAATATAGTTTATTTTATCTTTAAAGCCTTGGAGTTGACCTTGTTTTATTGTGAATGTGCTTTGTCAGCATAAAGCTAGTTGGTTGTTTTTACACGACACAAAAGAAGAGTTTTGCATAGACACAGTTGGTGCCAGAGGTCATATTACATGGAGCTATAGGAGGGACTTTTGGAAGAAGGGTGAAAAACAGATCCTATTGGGGGCTTGAGTTTGGGATGAGTTAAGATACCAGACGTGTCTCAGTTTCAGGTTTCATATCCATTTTGTCCCGAATCATGCCCCTTTTTAGCTTCACCTAATATAACAGGGATATATGGAAATTGATATATTTTGATGTATTATTAAATAGGGCTAATGTGACACAAACCATTGTAACATGAAATGGCAAAAAAACAAGCAAATGTACTGAAAACCCCCACAATTTGGTTTTAGTGAGTACCTATTGTAGAGTGCAGGCTTTGGATACCAAAGAGTTTAGTTTCTCTTGAACATACAATGTACAGCGAGTGCCTTTTAACTCTTAAGGGAGTCTTATTCACACTTAAAAGTTTAAAGACTTTTATACTTCTTTGGTTGATATTCTCTGTAATTGTATGGGAGTTGAACATCTGATTGATGACTGACTTTAGCTGCTCTTTCAGTGTTTGAATGTGCCTACGCTCAGCTTGTTCTGCCATGGTACATCGTCCCAGAGCCATGTGAAGACCAGCCTCTGCACCAGGTGCTCAGCAGGGAGTTTGACTTTGTCATTGATCGCATCATTGACAGAGCCAAAGACTTTGATGTGTGCCAGGCAGTTGTGGGTTCAATCCGCATTCTGACCCAGCACTTGCACAACGCAAGGCAGAGTGACCGGTGAGGCTCTCTCTGCAACCTGTTACACACACCCTTTGCTCTCATTAAAGCTATTGCAATAAGTCACCAGATCTTTATAGGCATGCACCTTTAGTGACCTGCTGTTAGGCCTCTATAGAAAACACTTACAAAATACACAGTAAATGCTGTATGTTGTATGTGTGTGTGTAAAATGGTACACTAAATAATACTTGTGCTATTTCCTTAAAGAGTGCTCTTGTTCAGCTCCAGAGTAGAAGAGGTTGCAGTCCTACGTGAGTTTTCTGATGCACTCGTTCGTAACCTTTTTCCCAAGAGCCTCTGGGGCCAAGAAGTCAACCATTGTGCCTTAAATGAGATTGTTGCTTTAAAGGGTAAGAAACCATTAAACATCCCTTCTGCTGCAACACAGAAGCTTACACAAGAGCTAAGACTCTGTGACAACTTTTACTTCATAATCCCTTGTTGTCAATGCCATTACACAGCTTAGGTCAGGACTGTGCGCGCCACAGAGCGGAGGCTTTCCACTATCACTTTAAAATTCACCTCAAAACCCAGTGGTGCCTTTTTCAAAGATGGATATTGCCATCTATTATTAAATATGTCTAAACTGTTATATCTACTATAATCTTTCCATCTGTCTTTGTTTGAAAATGTAATCTTCTGCAAATGGCCCTTTGATTGATTGCATCAGAAAGGCGCTCATTCTTTTGTTTGTGTTTTAGTATCACCTCACTACTGTATTTGGCAGATTTCCAACACCCAATCATTTTAAAAATGCATCTAGCCTGGGTTAAAAGTGTACAAATAGTACATTTTTAGTGCAGTCCAGACCCCACAGAGAAATGTTGGGTAGCTTTGTAGCACCTGCTTTTAGCTGTATGGACACTACTGAACTTTGTAATGCCTAGCCATTGAAATCCTCAGGCAATTCTTATGAAAAGGTCTTGTTTCTTATGTGTGATATTATTTTCAGTTGCCTTATACACAAATATTTAAAAGGGAACTGAAACACGATCTTGACATTTTTGTCTTTAACCATAATCATAGTCTGTCCCCATGCACAGTAGCCTGTTTAAAAATGTCAATTTATATTAAAGGTCCCATATTTTGCTATTTTCTGATCTATGTTATAATGTCCTGAGTAAAACCATACCTGGAGTTGTGTTTTGTTTCGTTCACACATGTTTAATACACAAATCGTGCAAGAGCTTTTTTTTGTTTGAGAGAAGAACTGACTCCTTGTGATGTCATATGTAATAAAGAAAATGCTCTACGATGTTTTTTAAACTCCATACACCTTCACTAGAATCATTTGGATGATTTCAGCTCTGGATTTGCCAATCTCTACTGAAATAAAGGTAAAAAGTAGCTGTTAGCTTGAAAACTACCACTACATGGTACCACTACAAGGTGGAACAGAGTGTCTTGAGCTTTGGAGATGTAGACGGCCTAATAATGAAGGCTTTTTCAAACATGTGTAAATGACACACAACACAACTCCAGGTACGTTTTTGTTGAGGTAACAGTTTTATGACATGGCTTAAAGCTCACAAGAGTCAATTTTGTGTAATATGCACATAAGTAGCTTTAAAGCTGTTTTGGATTTAGATTCTTTTGAGAACTCTCAAGAATTATGTTTTTGTTTTCCTCAGGGCTGGGTCTACTGGTGACATGGCTGTCTGACCCAGACAACCTAAACCATCTGGTGGTTAGCCAGTTGGACAGTGCCTCCCCTAAAGGTTCTTTGTATGAGCCAGACCCTGAACAAACCTCTCTGACGTCTCAGGACTATGAGGCTGATGTGGAGCATGAGGGAGAGGGCAGTGAAGTGTGAGTGTCATCTTCTGCATCCCACTGATCTGACCCACTCAGGGCATCCACTGTAACTGCCTCCTTCTGTGTTTGAAATTGGAACTGACTGAGGTATTGTGTGGTGCATGCTTTTGGGTTTTCTAGGAGCCTAGAAGGAGCAGGACTTGAGTCCAGCAACGGCATCAAAGGCAAAAAGAGAGGTTTGTCTGTATAAAGGTTTAAATTTGTTGTATAAAAAAAATACAGCTTCCAAATTAGTTTTATATTTTTCTTACTGCTTTCTTTGTTGGCAAGATGACTCTGAAGGTAATAGTCATATTCAGATTCAAGATTTTTTTTCTTTTTGTATAGCAGTTGGATTAGAAAGGATAACAGACATAACAAGGTTCATGTTGTTGTGAGCTTTTGTTGTCATCATGCTCGATATAATCAACATTAATACTTTATATAAGTGTTATCTTTGACTGCTGTTGCAGTACTGATAATATGACACATTTTTATTCTGTCTATGTTTGTGGTACAGATAATCAGTAACATTGTAAAAACATTATTTGTGCTTGTTCATGTGATTTTTGTCCTTTTTAAGACAAATTAAGAAAAGGATGGAACAGATTTGTGGACAAGATGAAGTTGAAAAAGGCCAAAAAGAAGAAGATGAAGCAAATGGAGCATGAGCTGGTGAGGAGGATCATGGCTATTCAGGGCGACGTGCCCAATGAGGAGGATGTGAGCAGCCGTGAGGGCTCTGTCCACAGCCAGCAGGACTCAGACAGGGTGAGGCAGCACTCATGCCTGTATATCCTATAAATAAGGTGAATATTTGTCAAATGAGACTCATTCAATGTCAGCTTGTGGCCAAACACAATTAGGAGGACAGTGATCTAGAAAACTACCTGACAAGTGTCCAGGAAGATATGATGGAGTTTAAGCTGTCGTATGAGATGTGGCGCGTTGGACAGTGGGCTGTCAGCATCCCCCAGGTGAGTTATAAATATAAATGCCAGTGCACTCTCTCCAGAAGGCTTGTCACGTGTCTTCTGCTGTCCTTGAATTTGTTGTTAATGTTGACGTTCATGTGTTGCAGGCTGACGTTGAGAATGAGGAGCTCTTCTTCACAGTTCATTTGGAGGAAAAGTGCAGCCCTGAGAACCTGCAGTGGGACATACGGAAGTCTTATCATGATGTCATATACTTCTACAACAGATGGCAGGTTAGACGCCTGATTATAATGTACTGGAGTAAATAGGTGAATGTGAGTCTTTATTATCTGTCTGAGCCTACCTAAAACAGGTAGGGACAGGCAGATTATTTAGAGAAAGTTGCAGCTATCTTGAATTGGATATTATAAGAAATCCCATTCAGTACAGATTAATCAGTTATATCAACTATCAAATTAAATATTGATCCATACCTAAACCAATATTTTATGAGTGGCTTGTTCATATCACCAGTCATGATCAGACCGTTTCTTTGTGTAAAATGTCTTCATTAAAGTCAGACTTCTGTGTAAATGGGAGATGGGATGAGGTTCCCCTAGAGCCTCCTGCTGCCGGTGATGGAGGTACAGTGTCAGGCAGCTGATTAAAACTTTTATCTGTCTCCCTGGATGTGAAAGGGCAGCTTCCAGTTGTCTGAAAACTGCAGCGATGGAGAGCTGAACCCCACATAGGCCAATAACACTAGTAAGGTCTAAATGTTTGGGGGAAAAAATGTCCATAAAATGAAAATGTTTGAGCGTGCGTCAGTTTATACAACTACAAAAGAAATGGTTGGTGGCTTTTTACACTTTGTCTAATCTACATCATTTATTTCTTCACTAATCTGTCTACAACATGCTCAAATGAGAAAAGTCTGACAGAATAATGAAATATTGTAAGTGTCGATAATGACCAGTGCGGATGGAGGAGAAGGATTACGTATATCTGGAGGAAAGAGCTGACATTCACCGTAAGACTAAATGGGAGGAAAGACAGATTTCTAATTGAGCTTTTGCCAGAGGCCCATAGAAATCAGACTTGGTCCATATGTTTTCCACCCTTGTGCTGTTGCAATATCAAGTGTAAGCAATAATTGGAAAAATGCTTACAGCTTTAGCTTCAGCATTTTTAATTTAAAGAGCAGCATTTTCCGTGTGTATCATGAGGATAATGTGTCTATGTTTTTATGCTAACAAATAAGAGAATTAAAAAGGAGTCCTTTTTTTGTTAAAATCCCTTTTCATTTTTCGATGTTCCATTTAAAATAAAAAGGAATTTAATTAGTGTATTTTCTGAGAAGCTAAAAAAAAAAAAAAAAAAAATCCCATAGGAGCTATTGGATAAGAACTGACAACAAAAGTATGAACACTGATTTAATTTAAAATGCAGCACATGTGAATGCACACTTGTTTTCTTTTTGCATTTAAAAATTTAATTAATTCAAATAATTATTTGCTTATACATTTTCAGGACTCAAGCAGTCTACCTACCATCCTAATTCTAGAGGAAAACCAAGAAATGGATGAAGTTAAGGAAGAAACTCGACTATCAGTGGAGCACTTTCTGCAGGTGAATACAGCTTTTATACTGCATAATTATCTAAAATACAACCTCTTCACTCTGTACTATTCTGGTTTTAAAGGAGGTAGTTTCTGATGAAATAATGGGCCACTCTCAACCAGTGTTCCAGTTTCTGTGTCCACTTGATAAATTGCTTAATGAGGAGGTACATTATGGAGGAGTGTGGGGTCTTCTCAGTGGCTTGGCGTACTTCCTGACACCTGGGCAAGAAGAAGAGGAGGTAAGTGTTTGTCAGATATCAGCTGCTTTTCTCTGCCTGTATAGTGGTGAAGTGGGGTTCTGTAGAATCTGTATGCTGATATCCTAGTTTGATGATTGAAAATTTGGACCATGACAAGATCAATGACAAATCCAACCAAGTTAGTGGGATTTGAGAAACAATGGAACTTTTCTTTCATAACACCAAAGAAATTGTATAAAGCCAAAATTACCAATTTAAAGCTATGTTACCTGGTTTTCCAATCACAGGAGGAAAAAGCAGGCATTTAAATCTATTTAAGCAGGTTCTAGCTCCCACAGTCCCTTTGCCATATCTCCAGTATTCACATGCATTAATTTCTGTGCATAGACTCAGCTTTCAAACAGTTTTTTTAGACAACAAAGTATAAAGAAGTGGACTAATTCATACTTAGCAGTCAATGAAACATTTAATAATGAGATGCAGAAAGCTCGCAGCTGTCTGCTGTCTTTTTTTTTTCATAAAGGGGAACAGTTACAAGAATCTCTGCACAGAAACCTAAATTTAATTTAACTTGCATTCAAAGTAAACATTGGCTTTATTATGTACAAAAGATTGTCACAGTATAATACAATGCAATACCGTACAATATAATACATACAAAGATTGTCACCAATTGGAAAATCAGTGTCAATTCTTTTCACGCTTGACTTCTTGAGCTTAGAATAATAAGGACAAATGTATGGGTTTTTCTGTTCTCATAAGTGAATTGTACAATATTGCTCCATTATTACTTTTTAGTGGAATGTGTGTGAAAAGAACTCTTTTGAGCTGTAATAGTTGTTACCTCCAATCTTTTCTTTACAGATGGGTAGTCCTCAAAATGAATTCCCCAAAGAGGTCACAATGTCACATCCCAAATCAAAGTCTCCTCCAGACAGTCCAAGCATTGCATCTGCAAGAGATATTTCGAGCTCTACCATACCTACTATTATTATCTCACCTTGTGACACTGCTGAAGAGCCACCCAAAGAAAATGAAGCAGAAAATGAGTTGCCGTCTGCTACCACCTCTGCCCAAGACAGAACAGAAGACTCTGATAATCCTATTACCTCTCATTTTAAAATGCTGTTTAAAGGGTTGAGCCACTCCAAGTCACAGGAGTCGCTATCCCAACCCAAAATCACAGATGACGAGGAGCAGTCCAGTCAGAACAGTGAAGCTGAGACTGCAGAGGTTTCCACGCAGCATTCAATCTTTGCACGATCAAATAAAAAGGAGAAAATAAGCTTCAAAGTGTCTAATGGGTCAAGCAAGGCTAAAACAAAGGACCAGGGAACTTTACCGAGAGGAGAGGATTACTCTGGTCAGAAGTGTCAAGCCAACTGGGAACAGCAGGAGACCACCAAAGTCATATTTGATCTGCTCAAAGAGATCTCGGGTTAGTGACAGTTTTCAGATAAATACAACTACTTTGCATTTTATACATAGTTTTATCTTTCTGCCTAGACAATGGTTATATGCAGACTTGGAGACATTCGTTCAAATGCAACTATTCTTCACTGTTTAGAAAATTCATTTTCTCTTTTTGTTATATAGAAACTTAGTGTTTTTGTCTAATAAGACAAATTTGAAAAATCTAAATTACCTTTATCTAACATATTTTGGTGGTAACACTTCTGCCTTCATCAGAAGTGTCAGCTGACTGCTGTGACGTGTCTCTTATCAGCACAAGAAACACAACACAAAAAAAACCCCAAAACACAACACAAAATACAAAAATGAGTGTGAGAATGAAACTACAACACAAAAGGCAATACAAGAAAAGCCTAAAGTCCGCAATATCCAACCACTGCAAAAGGGAAAACCATGTCATGGACTGGGACAGAGCTAAAATAGTAGGAACAGAGGAGCACAAATGCAAAAGATGGATACTAAAGGCTATTGAAATCAGTAAGCGAGGCACATGGACCATCAACAGAGACAAGGGGGCATTTACCTTGGCTTACGCATGGGACTTATTTCTCCAGAGCCCACCACGTGACGGTAGGCATGATCAGTCTGATAGATTGACCAGATTCGTCAAACTGACCACACCTTAACAGCTGATAAGAGACATGTCACAGCATTCGGCTGATGAAGGCGGAAGTGTTACAGGAACATGTCAGGTAAATAAGCTATTTAGCTTTTTACATATTTGTCTTATTAGAAGAAAACACAAAGTTTCTATAATATTTACTCACTATTCTGGAGACCAGAAGTGAACATGATCATTTGATAATAAATTATTATAATGCTATTATTGTAAATCATGGTATATTTGCTATAGTGTGTATATAGTATACTTTTTAAATGCTTTTTAACACTAACCTTGGATTATTAGGAACAAATATTTTTTAGGGAATTTTTAGGGAACTTTGTTGAAGGTGAAATGTCTCATGAGTGCATTCACGTGTTTTGTTTCAAACCCAATGAGACTGACAGAAGAAAGCGTACAAATTTTGTGTTTAGAAAATCAAACTGAAGAACAAACAGATGCTATAAAAGGCTAATTTCAGCGTTATGTTTGCTGAGAGGTGTGTCATTTGTGAAGGGAATCATTGAAGCCTCTGTCAGCCACGCTTTTATGTTTGCTCTGACATTTGCTCTCATACATAGCTCTGTGTGAAGGGTAATCTGTTCATTGAGGTGTGCCACTGCATCACAATTCACTTAAGGACCTTCTCACTATATCGTCTCCAGAAATAATGTGGTTTTGTTTTTATAGGAAACTCCATCCTTTTAAACATATTTGATGCTATCCTGAAACCTGTGATGCCAATTTTGAAAAAGTAAGTATTTTGCATCTTAATACATTTTATAGTGATAAATCCTGGCAGAGAGTAAAAATATTTCATCAAAACTTTGCATTGTTTGAGGAAGGACTCATGGACATAATCAAGTGGCTTACTATTATTCCTACCAGAAAATAATTGGTTAACATAGAGAACATATTAATTCACTATTGTGATGCATTAGTTCACTGCAGTTCACTGACTCTATAATGTGAATATTTTTTGTGTGTGGGTGTATTTCCTCCTCCACAGAAAAATAAATTCTTTCTTGAGCAAAATGAACCCGACTGAAGCACAGATGGCGGCATATATCGACACGCTTCGTGCCAAACTGTGGCCGTCCAGTCCTGCAGCTCCAAGTGCTCCTCGCACAGAAGAAGAGAAAAATCAGACCCGGGAGCGAGCTCACAGTCTCATCAATGCTAAATGTTAGCATTAACTCCTTTTATACAATTTACTTTAAATATCCATTCTCTGTGAAATGTTAATATTCATACTGTTCTTTCAGATTCAAATGTTCTTGTGCTAAAGAAGACAGATATGGAGACAGTTTTTAATATTTTTCAGGACAGCGAAGCCAATAAAACACTGGTTTATGTAAGTACAGAGCAACAATCCTATATAATGGTTGTTTTTTAATTCACTGTAATAAAACTGTTCTGTTCTTCATGGCCTTTTGATAGATGCTCCTGTCTTTCCTACTGAGGGAGTTTTTACCAAATGAACATTGCCTTAATGTGAGTACTGCTGTTCTCCAAAAAGTGACCAATATTTGACCTGTGGATTACTGATAGTCATTTTAACTTGTACAATGTACTTGTACAATAGGTTTTAAATGCTTTTTAAAATACTTGTGTTTTTACCTCAAATGCAAAAATCATGCTGTGAACATTTTCACTTTTTTACTGAGTATATTATTTTTCATAAAAACATATTTTGTCAATGTGAACATGCTTATTATCATATGCTATGATTTCTAAACTCAGGGGAGTTCAATTGAAGTTCATTAATGACTGTTTTATCTTTTCACATTTTATTTACTAAAATAATTTGGTGACTCATGCACGTTTTTGTTACTGTTTATTTTGATTTACATTTTACAAAGTACCAAATCACATGGTTGATCATCACTTCAGAGAAGAGACTGAATCACTGTCAGAATACACACGGATATTATATGTTACAATGTAAATTCATACATTCCAAATAAATGTTAAGGAAAAACACAGCTGACTTGGGGAGAAATTATGTATTTTCAAAAATAAACCATGTGAGCTACTACAGACATAAGTAAACTGAGCTATGCATAACAAAAGTACCCCATCTGCTGAGCCAAATGATAGGCTGTATCAATAAAATCTTTACTCACTGAAGGTTTCATTTATTTTACCATTCTAAGACTTTAGCTGCATAGCTGTGTGAAAAGTGACATTACTTTGCCTGCTGTTAGGCTATAGACCAACCATAAACCATAACCTACGCAATGACTATTCAATTCAGGACCAAAAAAGTTTATGTGAGGATAAATCACTTTTTAATAATCTAACACGGTACCTTTTGAGCGTCGACTCCTCCGCTCCAGCAGGGGGCACCTCGGAGACCCGCGCCAGTAACAAACATGTCTGCGCCCTGAAACGGCTGACAGCGGCGTGAAGGTTTAAAACGACAAACAAACAGGTAAAACACGCACTTTATGGGGACTACAATGATGCAGAGTTTCGTCTGTTACAAAGTTATCAGATCTGTTTGATGGTCGCTCTCTGTTTTTACACCTGCGGAGCTGTTGCTGTTCTGCTCAATGTGACTCGTGGTCAAATCCTCCACTGGCTCCACGCTCCTGTCTCTTCATATCAGACAACAATAGTCATCAATGAGCTTCTTGAAATATTTCATAAATGTCATTCACCTGAGACTTGGTTGGGTACTCAAACGTTAAAAAGACATAATAGCTCAGTATTTTGAGTTTACCAAGAGCTCTATAAAAGCAATCTTTACCTCGTCCTTATTCCATCTTACTTTGTGTAGCCTTAAAACAAGTTTTATTTTCGATTTCCACGCAACCAGGGTTGTGCAGCCGATTTATTCCACAGGGAGGAGACGTATCTGGACCTTGAGCCGGAAGTCTAGACTGACTTAATGAAACATGTTTGAGACTGTCAGTTTAAGATATTGACATCTTTGTTGTAAGTTACAGTGCTTAAGGTTAAAGTTCAGATGTATGATTGTAAAATGTTTGAGCAGTAACTGATTAGCCTTAGATAATCCCACCAAAGCTGCCTCTTTTTCAGGGGGTCAAATATATTAAAACTGACCAAATATCTAAAGCTAACAGAGCTGCAGTGAAGGTCTGGAAAAGCACTGCTGAAGAAACTCGAGAAGGAATCACATCCACCATAAGCGGCAAGTTTCTTCTCTTCACTCCTCCTTGGTCCATATTGGTCCTCACTGGTCCTCTCTGATCCTCACTGTTTATGTAGACCCAATGCAGCTGTGTTTGTTCATATCTATGCATTAGGATCCATATGATGTATTATTACTGTTAAATAGGCTATGTGATCACTGGAAAATAAGGTAGCATCATATTAAAATTGCACTGCACTGGACTGTGCTGAGTAACGTTTTAGGCAAAGCAAGCTATAACATCTCCATGGACAGAGAAGAAGGTGGTTTATGGGCAAAATTTTGTCTAAAATTAGGCTTGTGAGGGGGTGCTAAGATGTATAAGGTGTATCTAGTATTTTTTATTTACACACAATATGTAAAGGAGATTAAATTAGTCTCTCCTCCCTTTTCAATAACAGCAATTGAAGACAATGCAATCCACATCTTTGCTGAAAAACAATATAAATTCCTTTGGCCCATTAATGCGTATTTGTTTGGCCTACCTAGGCACCCTTTGCATTCTTGGCTTTCACATTGAGCTCATGTTGAGAAGTATACATAATATTCAGGGATAAAAGGACAAAACCTTTGTGTCCAAATATTTCATTGGTAATTTGTTTTTTTGTTGGTGATTGTATATCTTACTCCCTTTACTCTGTATTGCTGTGTCTGAACTAAGAGATGCCTAGAAGTCTTATCATTTTTCTTGTGTATCTGTAATTGGAGGCATCATTAATCGCATCATCAGATTTAATCCCCTCTGTGACATACCATAAGATGAAAGCCCCACGGAAACCTTTAATGTCATTTCACCACTTTAGAACTTCCCCTCATTTTTATTTTTATTTATCACTTCTTTGCTTTCCTCTTGGGTCGGTCCTTCGTTGTTGCAGTTTGTTGTAGATTTATTCCCACGGCTGGCAGTTTGTAACATTTTCTGTCGTGCCATTCAAAATGACGGGGAGAGGGGAAATGTAAATCACACAAGCCAGTAAAGAAAACTGCCTCACTGGGACTTGATCACAGGCAGTGGAGGGATAATGCATGCAGCGACCAACGCCCATCGCTCTTCACACAAACTCTGGATTCAACTATGCATGGTGGCTGCTGTGATGGGCATTTGAAAGTGGAACCCATCTGCTCCTTTTAACCACATTAGTTTTGCTTTGTCATTTCGCCTGCGCATCACATGAGACACCTAAAGCATTAAAGATGCATTGTGTAACATTTCTAGTGGAGGTTCCACCACTTGCATCATGCTCATGCAAAGGGTATTGCGTTGTCTAGAAAGTGCCACAGTATAGCTTAAACATATCAGTCACAAGGGAGACAAGCAGGTGACAGCACTACACCACATACAATTCAGATCTGTGGAGGGTCATCCCTGTTCACAGAAGGAATTATTGTATTTCTGAGTAATAAAAACACCTGTAATGAATAAATGCTAGATTGATATGGTTAATGGCACACCATGGAACATTCCAGGCAAAGCACATCTCCATGGAGACAAACACAAAAGTTGTTCACAAAGTTAGAATTTGGTTCAAGTTTTCAAAGTTTTCACTAATGGTGGGTTGCTTTTATGCTGCCGTAATGAATGGTGCATTTTGTTTTTTTCCCCTTTATGGCTAATCTGGTTGTGCTTTGTCATTTAGCTTAAGCTTAGAATCAATATTTTGTGGACACAGAGTATTAGCCCTTAATGTGTATATGTTCTGTGTTTGATGGGTGCGTTTTGTGTGTATAATAGAAATGCTGAGGACTCTACTGTCACATATATCAGGGTTGTAAGGAGGACATTGCTTATTTCAGACACTATATGCAATACCAAATGAGCTGTTTCAAATACCACTAGTACTATGTCTTTATTGTGTCCCAAATAAACTTATTAGCTGCATATTAGATAATAAGTCCCAATATATCTTCCATTGTGTAACCTTGTATCATGAGTTCTCTGGGGACACCTGTCTTCCCACTGCTCACAGACATATGCAAATGAATTGGTGAATCAAATTTACATATAGTGTTTATAGTGAGAGCAGATGGACAGTGGACATAAGCTTCAACCAGCATGAAACAGGAGAACGCTCCAGGATAAGAGACAAAATGCAAATGTGATCTGCTGTTAATACTGCAAAACTAAGATGATTATCAATATTGTGATAAATGACAGAAATATTTTGTGCCCTCTATAAGAAAAGTGACACTGTCTACATCATCTTCCCTTTCAAAGTCTTAACAAGGATTAAAACAAGGCTAATGAAATGTAGAACATTTTAAATGTGTACAGAGCTCTTCAGCATCCCACTATATTTGTGCTGTTTTAGTATGTCACCCTCATTAAAAGGTCTTTTAGAAATGTTTGAAGGTATATTTTTAAATATTAAAAAACATCAAATGTAGCCAATAGTGAATGGACATCGACCCCAGCCAAAAAAATGCATGAATAATTCAAAACCTAAAACTACAATAGCACTGTTTGATATCTGAATTGCCATTTTATTGTACTTTTTTTTTTTAAACAAGTGATATATAAAATCAGTAATTCTTTCAGAAAGAAAACTCTGCTTTGCTCAGTGGGAAAGGCATGTAGGCATGTACTACTATTACTACTACTACTACTACTATACTTTATAATACTATACTATTAAATTTTACTAACTTTTAATCTTTTTCAAAAGTATATGACCTCATTATACTATTATTACATTAAATATATTCTGCAATTAATATTTAATATGCAGGTCATGAAGAAGATTTGAGTATCCTTTGAGATCAGTTTGTAGAACATTTTGTTCTCATTGTGGTATAGAAATTGGTATAATGCTGATATTAATATACATTTTAGTATCCTGTCAGGACCGTGTCAATCCAATGAATAGTGAATAACATTAGTAGTGACATCCACGAAATAATCCAGCCCATTAGGACTTTTAATTATCCCTGTCAAACTGCATTTAATTTTCCTCCTATCTATTTTTATTGCAGAAAGTTTGCAAGACATGATTTTTGAGTTATGATGATTTTAGACTCAAATGATTGCCTGTCAATCAAACCCTGATCCAGTCCCCTGGTGCTTTTCACTTAAATTAATATCTAGTTTACTTTACTCTGCTAGTTTTGTTTTTGTTTTTTGGGGAGATTAAAGGGGCTGCTGGTTGTGAAGTGGGGTGACACCACTGTCCCTTCTCAGTCTTGAGGGATCGTTCAGAGTCTTTTGGAGTACTTGGTTTTATTTGACTGGCCTTTAGCACTTGGCATCCAGCGATCAATAGCTCTGGAGATTGAAGGCATGAATACTAATGCAGCAGAACAGCTTTGGCATATTAGCAGCTCTGTACAACTTGCATGTCTGAGTTATCTCTTCATTTTACTTGTGAATGACCCTCGCCCCAAGTATTTTTCTTTTCATTTTTTGGCTTTTCATTTTCAGGGTCAAAACAACAAAGTGCCTCCAGTGAGCGTATATGCGCATATATTGGCAAAAACAAGCCTCTGTGTGTTACTAGTGAAATAATAAGTAATGTCACCATCAAAGCTAACCCGAACAGCGAATCAACCGACCTCAAAGCTAAGTGAAAATTAACTGAATAAAAATGCAACACAATGCAAAATTCAGCACTAATCTGTATTTAATATAACTTTATTGCGATAAAGTTATAAAGCTTTATATTTATTTTTATTTTATTTTGTTTAAACTTTATCTTTCCTTGTGACACCAGGTACATTCAGGGAAATGATTAATTCCTGCTATCAAGGATTAAATGAGGACTATTTTTGAGGGGGGAGATGCCTATCTTGAATTTGTTAATTTACTGATGATGTTATTGCTCAAAAATAGCTTGAAAATCATGCATTGTCTCCACTGATCTGACTTGTAACTTTACCTAATGGTGTCAGGTATTGTTAAGCAATAACATCTCTTTGCAGGCAAGCAGGGGGCAGACCCACCACCAAATTACACTTTTTAATATCTATGGCAACAGAGGTG